AAGCCAAGGTTCAACTATAGAACATCTCTAAGCTTCTTCACATTTTTTACAAAATGCTCTCAGATTGAATAATTGTGGACCACGAGTATGGCAAATAACGACTGATTAATGGTGCACTGACCTCTTTCCGAACTCTGTCCCGTTGTCCAGTCTCCCGACATAGTGATAGTGGACGACGTCACCGTTCTGTGCTCTGACCTCGCACTGCCCAGGGACATACGTTCTCAGTACCTTCAGTCCTTCTCCCCACTCCTCCTCTGGAGGGTGGTGCATGGTTTCAGACCGGTCAACACACACACACACACACAGACTACTTAGCTATCTACTAGCTGAATCATGAATCATATCAACGGAGAGCTAACTGCTGACAATCTTACCAACTCCAACTATAGCCCCTGCAGCTGAGAGCAACAGGCACCAGCAGAGGCTGGCTACAACAAGGAACCGTCTTGCTTCCATGCTGCATGTGATGTGCAAGTTCATCAATTCTCTTCTTCACAAAAAGACTCGCGCGCGCCGCCCATACGATGAGGGACGGTCCCACGGCCGGCCGGGGAAAGGGGGCGTGGTGCAACGTGCGTTCGGGTGACGCTCGAGGCTCCAAGTTGGCGCGTAGTTTGTGCGTTTTTCATCACTTTGGATAAACGGAGAAGCTTTATACAGAGGCAGAAGACATGGATGGTGTTGCTAAAGCCAACAAGCTGGCGGAGGAAATGTCCAGGTAAGTTGAACGTCTTACGGCCTCACGTCGTACTTATGAATAAAGTGCGCACTAATTGGAACCATCCTCGGTTATGTTCCTAGGTTCGAGCAGGAGATATTGGGTGCTGCGGAGTCGGCACCAAAAGGCCCCTCCACCGGTCCTCCTCCAATCTCCACACCAAACACCAGCACTCTGCAACTTCCGTCACAATTCTTCCCTCGGCCACCCAGACCCCCTGGATTCTCTGGACCCCCTGGACCTCCTCCGGGCATCCCCCGCCACCCCGGACCCCCTGGTCCCCCTCCTGGTGTCCCAGGCAGACCTGGTCTCCCTCCCCATGGTGGACCAAGACCTCTCATGCCTCCGAGACCACCACCAGGACCCCCGGGACCTCGGGTTAGTCTGAACAGCTACTTCACTGTTTACTCCAAAATGCAAGTGTGTGTTCTGCTTAGAAGAACAGTTGAGGGTACACAATACTTACATTGATTGTGATGTTGTATACTATCTGCCTGTTTAGTATAATGACAATAGTATAGCTGTCACACCAAAATGTATGCGGCGAAACTCTCCCTCAGTGAGCAGCACAACAGGCTTGTGTTTTGTGGTGTCAACAGTCTGTGTCTTTCCAGTTCCAGATGCCACCCGGTCCCCCGATGGGACCTCCTCCCAACATGATGAATGGACCCCCTCCTCCCAGAAGACCCCCTCCTCCCCCGGGGGGCATGCCCCCGCAGATGCGACCCCCCATGTCTGCCATGCCCCCTCCCCATCCCCACATGTCTCAGCCTCCTCCTCCCCCTCCTCCCCGACCTCCCCTACAGCAACCACCACATGCAGAGGTTTGCCATCACCCAGTGGAAAATGAATGCAACGCATCTGCCAAGCGAATACTAGTGCGAAATTTTTGCAGATTTTTGTGAATTTAGAATGTCGACCGTATTAACAAGATAATATACACATCGTTTTTAACTTTTATCCTAAGTAAGGTCCGCAAACCAAGCCCAATAGTGCCATGGTTACATAATTGTAGATGCTATCTACATACCAATATAATATTGCACCTGCGTTCGCTCACCCAGATGTTACATTCTAGTAGTAATTAAATTAGACGTCATATATACCCCTCCGTTCTGCAGCACCGGGTAATGGCACAGTCACTGCCCCCACCTCTAGCTGCCCTGACTGCTCCATTGTCGGCCCCTCCTCCTCATCTGGTGCCCTCCTACCAGCAGCCACTCAAACCAGCCGTCCTCCCCACCCCTCCTCCTGGCTTCCCCTCCTCCTCCTCCAAATATGGTGCCTCCAGGAGTGCAGGTACAACACACGGTACTAGGATCGTCAACCCTTGGTGTAGTTGTGCAGTGAGTGTCACAGTAAAATACTTAGTGGTGGATGTGCTGCACCCTATTCTGCCTTACTACATAAGTCACCTGCAGCGCAGCAGCAAATGAACAGCTTCAGTGATAATTATATTATTGTTGAAATTTGTTATTATCATAGTTGGGAAAACTTATGCAAGAACGATGGTGTACCAGGACCAGTTTTTATTCATGTAATACGTGCAATACTGTTGTCTGTGTGTCCTATGTATGTATGTAGTAGAAGGTTACTCTGAAGGGGCTGAGGGAGGTGTCGTGGAGGCCGGTCTGCTCCCTGTGCCAAAAAAACCTCCAAAGGGTATCAAGACGGACGTGACCAAGCTACGGTTGGGCGGCGGTCAGGTGTGGCAGGACCACTCCCTGGAGGACTGGGACCCCAGTGAGTACAGGGACGGACGGACACACAGACCCAGCGTCTCACAGTTGTATACAACTCATGGTGTACACGGTAGAAACAGGAAAAACCAGTGTGTGCAGTCGTGGAAATGTGAGGCTAGCACCCCTGAAAGCTAAAATTCACAGATAAAAAGAGCTGGGAAGACATAATCTGGGTCCCCCACTAGGACTGGAGCATTAGTTTCGTTTGGGTGCCATGCAGTGTTGTTTTATGGGGGAAATTGTCTGTCTCTACACAACGAGAAGGACCATGACAGTATGATGTTACTGCTCTATTGACTTCACAGCATCATCGCAGTGTTTCATCTCTATCTAGATGACTTCAGGATATTTGTGGGAGACCTTGGTAACGATGTGAACGACGACCTCCTGGCAAGGACCTTCTCCAAGTACCCATCATTCCTCAAGGCGAGAGTCATAAGAGACAAGTGGACCAAAAAGACCAAGGGCTACGGATTTGTCAGTTTCAAAGACCCGCACGACTTCATACAGGCCATGAGAGAAATGAACGGTCAGCAAATACACAGAGTTTTGCTATAACAGTGCACGTTTTTGGAGTGTGAGTGTCTGAGTAGTGTAGAGGCCAGTGGTAGAGCACTCCTGTTATCCCAAAATGCAGTGCCGACCAGATCACGTAACTTGCTCACCTCGGTGTTGTGGTTTTGATGAAACTCCCCATGTGCCTCATTCAATCCTGATTCTTTTATTGACGATGACGATTAAGGTGTCAACGCCAGGGGCACCTACATAGGCCTCTTCTGTTACGTATCTCTAGTGTTGTTTTTTTAAACATATACATGCCACACACAGGGAGGTACATTGGGAATCGGCCAATGAGGTTGCGCAAGAGTACGTGGAAGGACCGGAACTTCTTGGAGGTGAAGAAGAAGGAGAAGAGCAAGAAGAGACTGGGGTTCAAGGTCTAGCATTGTGACTAATGGTGTCGTATTTCTCTTCTTGGCTCGCTCTCTCTCTCTCTTGCTCCCTCTATCCCTTTCTTTAATTTGCTGCTGAACATCACAATGTTATATAGTATAATTATTACACCCACCGATTATGCGCAGGACATGGTATGTGGCAAATTAGTCTGTCAATCGCTGCATTAAAAAAGTTGCAACAAGTACAGTACATTCACGAACAAGTATTGTACATCCACGAAAATATGCAATTAATTTAACATGAAAATCACACATCAAAGATTTGAATTCTCTGGTTGTGTTCGTCGGCCACTACGAGGTGGCCCTTGTTGTCGACACACATGTGCCTCGGGTAGTGGAACATCCCCGGCTTCGTCCCCTTCCCACCGAAACTGCAGATGAACTTCCCGCTGGGGGCAAATATGGACACGCGGTGGTTCCCACTCTCCGCGACGGCAATCAAGTTGTTTCTGAGGACGGCAATCCCGTGGGGTAAGAGGAGTTCCCCATCTCCAGTGCCGAGTTTCCCGATCCTATTGATGGGCTTACCCTCTGGCGACATGACCCACACGCAGTGTTTCCCGCGGTCGGTCACCAACAGGTTCCCGAACCGGTCAAACACCAGACCTGCCGGGAACTTTAGGAAGGCGTGGTCTTTCCCGATGGTGGTCATGTGACGCCCGTCCTTCTGGTAGACCACGATGCGACCTTTCTCCCAGTCAGTGACGAAGAGTCGGCCGTCGGGAGAGAACGCCATGCCGTACGGGTCGTGCAGCTGGCTCCCCCAGAACGCCTTCTGCCCAAACTTCTGCAGGTACTTTCCACGACTGGTGAACTTTTGTACCCGGGGGTTGTCGAGCTCTGTCACAAAGATGTGCTCTTCGCTGTCCATCACAACTGCACTCGGCTCCTTAAAGTTGCCGCCTGAGCGTCCCTCTCGCCCAATCTTCTCGATGGAGCAACCGGTTTTTGGGTCCACGAGTCTCAAGCAGTGGTTGTAGACGTCTGTCACCACCAGGAGACCGGTGATGGGGGAGCAGCACACCCCACACGGGTATACTCTCTCGTCATTCATCGGATGGGCCAGCTGCTCGGCCGAGAAGATTGATAGGGGTTCCTTGTGGCCATAACGATCGTTCTCGTAGAATTTGATATCTGGGGGAAGTGTGCTCATCCGTTTGTCGGCCTCAGTCGAGGAAGCCTCGCCGTTCCATCGGAATTTATCCTTCATCTTTGCCGTGGGTGGGGCCGACTGCGGCACCTCTCTCACGGTGTGCGCGCGTCTCACGGGGCGAGGGGCTGGGATCGGCCTGGCCCGCACGTCAGAGCTGCTGCCTGATGCGTGCAACGCAGTCTTCCCTGCAGATGTGTGCGTCGGTGAAGGCGAGGTGTCCCTCCTCTGCTCCGGGAGCTGGATGTGGGTGTTGATGTAATCGAACCCCGCCATGGTGGTGCTCCTAGGCTTTGGTTTCGGAGGAGCTCCACGCGGCGGGACTACTCCAGTGGGGTAGTCTTCGCCGTGGGTCGGTGTGGGTGAGAGGAGTGAAGAGGTGCTGCTGGAGCTGCTGATGCTGTTTTCTGCCGGTTTTGGAGGACGCGGAGGAGGTGCGGGGGACAGGGGCCTTGGGACGTCGTATATCTCGCTGGCTTCTCTGCTCTGCAGCTCGACCAGCTGTTGGTAGTCCGAGTCTTGGAGAAAGGGGAAGGATTCCAGAGGCGATGAAGATAGCAGCTTACGCGGAACGTCGTACGTGTCTTCCGACAATACGGTGTGTTGTTGGAGCAGACTGCGAGGAACATCATATGTGTCGTCATACCCGCCGCCGACTTGCACCAGGGAGCGCGGAACGTCGTAGAGATCCGCGGCAGAAATCTCGTCCTCGTCATCTTTCGGTGGCAGTGGCGGAGGTTTGTTTCGGTGGCTGGTGGTTCGTGATCGTGGAGGGGGAGAAACCGGCACCTTGCTTCGTGTCCTGCGAGGTGGGATGGGTGGCTGGCGGGGAATTGGCTCGGGGGACTTCTTCTTTTGATCCACCGGCCGGCAGTCGATTGTTGTCGGGGAAGTCTTTCCGTTTGAATTGGCTGCTGTCTCACAGTCTTCAAGGAAGAGGTTGGCGTTTGCAGCGGTGGCTGTAGGAAGGCGCCCTCGGCCAGTGAGCGTACAGCTCCCCCTGTTGGAGACCCCAGGAAATCTCGCGGGAGTTGGTACTGAATGTTCTCGTCCTCCACCATGTCCGACATCTTCATGACACGCTGGGACCTCTTTGTACCGTCGATGCGGACCTCCTCGCGGGGGGCGGATGTCTGGAGGTCCTCGAAGCGGGAGGGGACGAGGAGGTAGGGGTCCTCCTGCTCGCTCACCACCACTCGCTGCATGGAGAGGATGTTGGTGTCAGGGATCCTCTGGCACTCGTTCAGGACCCCGGCATCCCGCAGCGTCTCCCCCAAGTGCACCTCGTCCCCGCTGAAAGAGAGGAAACGGGCGGCAAGCTTTGCCTCCTCGAGCCCGTCACACACGCTGAGGGCCGAGTTATGGTGCAGCTCCAGCTCTTCCTCGAGTGCTCCGCCGTTTGCGAGGAGCGAGGTGTCCAGATGCCCCTCGTTGGCATGGAGAAGCTTCTCCAGAGACTCGACGTTGCTAGTGATGGCCATGTGGTCTTCCTGCAGCTTCTGGTGGTGTAAGTCCAGTGTCGACAGCTTGATGTCCGTGTACTTGCATACCGTGTTGAGGACGGCTTTCTCTCTCTGCTCCAGAGCCTGTCGCAGCTCCCTGAAGAAGACGGTCGCAGCTTCGCGGGTGGCGTTGCTGTTTGCGACGACTCTGTCTCGATCCTGGTAGAGCATGTCCATCTGCTTGTTGGCTAGGGTTGCCACCTGCACAGAGAGATGAGAGAGTGGAGTAAACTGAGCGATAACGGAGAGTAGTGTGTTTCTTAACAACGCCAAATACCGAAATGTTTACGATTTCACAATGAATTATTTTGACCCCAGTCTAACAGGCAGTTCCTTGACTGAACTCTGAGCATTGATTGCCAGAGACTGGAATTATAGGACTCGAATTATAGGGGTTCACCCTATGCACATTTACACACCTGGAAAATTAAAAAGTGACACTCTTTAGAACAGGTGACACGGAGGTGACAGGTACCTTTATGGATGGTTAAACACAAGAGGAATGGATCCGTTCTGTTCACTACACTGCTTATTTTTACACTTTCATTTTCATGTGTAAACACCTTGACACACAGATCAAAGCCGACAGTAGTGACATAAACACCTTGCTATTTGAGCCAGTGAAACTGTTCCTGTGAGAACGTTAGGTTACCTCACTTGCCAGCTTCCCGAAACATGCTTCACTACTACAGCAGTCTCCTTTGTAATACTCCATTACTCTACGACTGCAGCCACAATTTCACAGAGACATCTACTCCATACATTCACTACTACCAGTGAGAACCAGAGTTGAGCATGACTTGCATGGGCCATGGGTCACGAGACTCAAAGGAAAGTATATAAAGAGTAAGAAGCCTTCCCTGGAGGAGTGCCTATGCGGTGAGAACCAGAGTTGAGTAGGACTTACACCCCATGCATGGGCCATGGGTCACGAGACTCAAAGGAAAGTAAGCATATAAAGAGTAAGAAGCCTTCCCTGGAGGAGTGCCAATGGGGGTGTATAAAAGGTGCATGTAGGTGTGAGGGAAAGGACAAGTGGGGTGGTGGTACTGTATATTTTAGGCTTTGGAGGCCAATTCTGCCACCTACTACACACTAGACTGAACCCATCCCTTTGTTCCATTCCCCCTATACTGCCATGTCCCCTCCGTTTGCACAGTCTCTCAAGTTACATTCTCACTGCCCCCTCCTCTTCCTGCTCACAGGATGCAGGCTTTCGTCTAAAGAAAACATGTGCAGGAGTTAGATACTCTCTGTTTGTTTGTCGGGGTAAACAGAGAAGAGATGTGTGTAGTAAAGATGCCAGTTTTTGGGCATTGGTCTGGCACAGAGCACCTCTCTGTAGTACACAAAGTTGTATGCTTATGCTTCACACCACCACCAATCCTCCCACACAACTTCCCCTTCTTTTGCACCCTTCACTCAGATCAGCTTTCACTATTACATACTCTCACTCAATTTCCAACTTGGCCTTCCCCAGTGGCATCGGAACCCCTCCTGTTGGAGGGGCAAGACTGATCTCAGTGTGACCCAAGCATGGTTGGCAGTTACAGAGCAACATACATAATTGCTTTGGCGATGCACGCTAACCTTGTACCCGGTGATGTCTGAAGGAATTAGGTTGCACACACTCTCTTTCACTGGTGACTAGAGGCTTTACCATGTGCAAGGATGTATAGCTTGGAATGGTGGAAAGCGGGAGTTAGTTGGGAAGAGGGGGCAGCAGGTTTTTTTAAACTACATTTGGGGAGGGGGAGGGGATTGGTAATCAAACCACCTGTCCCTTCTCAAATGTATGTGTACCTTAAGCTCATGGTGATAATGTTTAGGAGCCAAAGACAGCCATTAATTGGATGTATATATACTGTGTCTCAGTTCACACTAACGACACCACACCCCCATGTGCAGTGTGTATACGTACACCGGTGGAGCCTCACCTCGCATGCAGGCTGGATGAGGTTCCTGAGCGAGACCGCCTTCTCTCGCAGAAGCTCCTCCAGCTGAGCCAGACTGCAGAGGCTGTGCCCCGTGTGTCCACCGCTCCGTCTGGTCCCGCTGCCGGCCGAGGTGCACGCGGCGCACACCATCTCCCCGCAGTCCCGACAGAACCTGTCCAGCGGCTGGTGATGTCTCTGGCACGTTGGGCCCTTCTCAGAGCAGCGCAATCGAGCCCTCACTGATGACCTCCGATGCAGTATCTACACAGACACAAGATTACAATCACGCACAGTGCTGTGAACTAGAGTGCTTGGTTTACACACTGGCAGATTAGGATCTTCCCTACAATAGACTTGATAAAACTCCAATATACATACCCCGATATGCAGCCATGCACTCCCAGGTTGCAGCACTCATCTTGTTTTCAGGGAAATGCAACAATGAAAATGTGAGCTAAGTTTGTGACTGTAACAACAAGTCTGATTAATCTATGGTGGCCATAGACACATACGCCACTGTAACATGTAGGGTTCAACACAAGCTATATACACTACAAAACATGGTGGTCTTGTCTGGCACTGATCGCGAGGTGGCTACATTATTTTTCTAACTTGGCCAGTCATACTGGCTACGTAACGTGCCATGGATATAGCTGTCTCTGAAAATTACCAGCAATGCGTATGCAAAAGTCACAATTATACGTCAGCTAAGTCATTGTAAAAACATTGTACGGCCCTTGTTTGTGGTGGTTTAAAACTCCACCACAAAACTAAACATTGTATACTGACTGAGGGTCATGCAGGTGGGTTAAAAAAATCCACACACTCACCGCACATTGCATACGCATGCCACCTGTCCATGTAGGGAAAAAAAGCCCCTACCACTTGTAATTCACTGTTATTCCCTGAACACCTTGCATTTTTTATTGGCTGTAGAGAGCTGGCCGCCTAGGCAAATGCCTCAAAATCAAGAATCAAAACATTATGACTATCTGCAACGTTATAGATAGATATGCATAAACACTGTTTGTTTTACAAAACTAGTTGCGTATGTGCAAATAATCCAATGATTGGTAACAGGCAGAAATCTTGTATTTCGTCTTGAGGCAGGAATGCATGCACACACCAACGTAATATAGATATCCAAGATACAGACAAAGCTATGTGTAGTGATGACAGGCACATTTTCTTTGCACAACAAAAACAAACTATATAGGTCCCAGCCATAGACACATTATTATACCGATCCAAGCTACAACAATGAAAAACCAAGCTCGTGCACAGAAACAAGCGAAATACCTTCAATGTACGACCTTTCTCCTCGTCCGAGACGATATCAACGAGTCGTTTCAGGTTGACGTTGGTCGAGAGGTCTATGTCCACGCGGCCGTGCTCCAGGACAGTGACGTGGCGACAGCTGGGGCACTCCAGGTCCAGCGAGCGCCGCGCCTGCTGGCCCGTCGTCACCCCCTGCGCTCGCTTGCCCCCCTCAAACATCTCCCGCAGACAGCGGGAGCAGAACGAGTGGGCACAGTGGAGCACCTTGGGCTCTCGCAGAAAGTCCAGGCATACGGCGCATATCAGCTCCTCGCGAATCCTCTCCATCTCCCGACTAGTGAGTGCAGCTAGCTAGCTCGCTCCTATCTAATCAATTTCAGATTGGCCCTGCGCGCCGCAGCGAAACACACGCCGTACACGTAACCACCCCCGCCTTTCGGGCGCTTGTGCGCATGCGCACAGTTCAGTGCTAGAAACCCTCTGAAAAAATCACTCCACTTGAAGACACTACAAAACTGTGTAACGTGTCAGACTGTGGCCGAACCCTCTGTGCTGTATAGCGCAGTGGAGGGCCATCAGAGGTGTGAGTAGCGGTGAGAATAAAGCGGTATTTGAGCATCTTCTTCCACTCCTGACACATGACATCTTCTGAATGAAAACTTCTACCACCACCAGCACCGTGCTGCCCACTACAACATCAATCGTTGTAATACACGTAACAACATCATTATCATGGTGTCGTGTAAAACTTGCCTAACTCTCTGGCCAGGTGTGTGAGTGAAAAGAAGAGGCCTGGCTGCAAAAGCCACAAGGTGGTGCTCCTCCATGAGCAAACGGAGGGCACTCACCCACGTCGACTGCTTCACCTGTGCTCCGTGGAGGGAGCCGGCAGCCTCTGCTCTGTCCAGCCAGTGGAACTCGGCCACGTTGTCCATGAACAGGGCACACACGTCGGGGTGGGCACTCAGGAAAGAGTGTCTCAGAGACTGGAGTGTCAGGCCCAGTTCAGTGCTAGAGGAACAGTGGACCACGTGCAGTCTGGAGAGGCACGACATTATCAGGGCCTTGTAGTCAGCACTCTCTCTGTCTTTCTCACAGACAGACTCTCTTGCTCTGACGGAAGAACCATGTCCAGCTGCGCTGTGATACACACTACTGAGCCGCTGGGTTGATCGTAACTGTCCGTCTGTAGCTGTTCTTCCACTTCCTTCATCTGTATCATAAGGATTATCGCATATCCCTCCCTCCAGAATGGCCACAAGCCGCAGTAGGTCAAGTTTGTGGTCTGTACTCACCCACACCACCTCCACCTCCTTCCCTCCTATCTCCCGCCCACGCCACTTGCGAGGCAGGACACACTGCGCAGCAATGTTGAGGAGGATCTCACTCTTCCCACTCCCCTCCCCACCAGTCACCTCCACCAGGTCACCAGGGCACAGTCCACCTCCGAGGGAGGGTAGGGAAGTGAAGAGCGGGAAGCCGAAGAGTGCCCAGCCTCTGTTTGGCCCCCAGTCTTGCAAACAGCTGGACACACACACACAGAAATAATTATTATACAGAGTGAGAGAAGAAATTCAAACTAAAGAGCGGAAGTGGCAAAACAGTGTATACGTACTTGAGCAGCAGATTCGGCCATGAACGAACATGCATGTCGATGCGTACATATACGCATGCGCATATCGCCCAGAGAATTGTCAGCAGACCACGGTGCGGCGCTGCCTACTCCGACGAGTCTGTTCGTGAGCTGTGTTGCATGGTCAGACAAAGGTGTGATGTCGGTCAACCTCGATCTACCGTCGGAGGCACTGGTGAGTTTGCTCAAGCTGCGCCAGAGGCCCAGTGGTGGCGGCCACGCCCTATTCTTGTGTTCGTGCGGAGCGCGTACGTGGACGACAGCTAGCAAGGGCCGGGGGTGTTAGCCGAGGCTGTGCAGACTGTGCTGCTGCTAAGTATCCACTAGCCGTTATTCTGCCGCGTCAGCAGGCGGGTGTGCAGGTGGAGAGATCCGCCCCATTATTGTGGTGTGGAGTAGCTATACATGATACTCTAGCAAGAAATTTGGCACAGAGATATTCCTCTTGAGCATGGAGCTCGAAATATGTGTATGCAGCATTGATAGCATTTCTCTTAGTCTTTTTGTATGTTCCCCCATTACCTTCCCCTTACCCATACTCCACTCTTCTCTCTTCATTGCTTCTGTGGTGCCTTACCTGTGTAGTGGTAGATTTGGCTGTGAACTACCATCTTCCTCGCCATGGGAAATGTGTGTAGTGTCCCACTGGGCCTTCTCTCTCGCTTGCTCAAGGTACATGACACAGACAACACCCTGCAGGTTGTAGACCCATTGTTAAAATTAAGGATTTGTTTTTACGGTACATTTCATGCTAGCTAGCCTTTATAGTAGGAGCTGGTACGCAAGGTTGATGGCTGTAGTCTGCTTTTTCTCATGCTCATCATATTATATCAGTGTTCATAATAGTGCAAGTTGACACCCATACAACAGACAAGAGTGTGTGGAGGATATCCCTTGTGTATACAAAATCAAATTACCTTGTAGCCCTAGGCTGTAGCACTTGTGTGGATTCTTTATGAACAGCATGGGGAAGACTGCATGACAATGCCTGCTCAAACACAGAAAGAGTGCAATTTGGAGCACTGCAATTTATGCTATATACCCACAGCAAAGTAAAACTTTAGGAGTTGTTGACTTTAAAATACACTAGGGAGCTTGACTGCCTACAGGAAGAGGTAGTAAAAGTGTATCAGTGGAGACATGACTGTGCAGGTCTTCAAATTGATTCAAGGGGAGGGAAGCTAACTGTGTATAATTAAAAGGTTGACTTAAACTCCAAGGGGACGAGAGTTTATCAACGGGATGAGCGCTCCCTCCTATAACCCCTGCTGTGACTGTTAACTTGCAAATAAAAATTTTGCAAATCGCGAGTTTTACAAGCATGGCCATCCAGCATGGGTTGTGTGCTGCATTCGCGAAAATACTTTTGTGATTTCATATTATGGTGGAAACTGGTTCAAATCAAATGAGTTAACTTACATGTTAATATGCTTTGTGCAGTACGGTGCAGACACTAACAACCTCCTGTCACCTCACCTCATGTCAGTCGGGAGAGGGCGGCATGGAGGGGACGTGGGGCTGGCAGTCGCGGGAAGTTTCCTCCTGTGGACCGACCTCTACCTCCTTCTCCACCTCCTCAACCGCCGCTGCTCCGCCGAGTGGAACTGCCGGACCATCACCGCCCTCCACGGAGCCCTCTCGGCCAGCCTGTGCCTCATTTCCGCCGTGATTGTGGGGCCCTGGCCGTTCTCCTACGTCGGGGAGAAGAGCACCGAGTTTCACACCGTCATCATGGTCATTAGCCTCGGGTACTTCCTGTTTGACTTCCTGTGGTGTCTCTACATGCGGACGGAGGGACCGGTCATGCTGGCCCACCACGTGGTGTCCCTGCTCGGTCTGGCCTACGTACTCTACCAGGGACGATACGGGAGCGAGCTCACCGCAGTGATGGGTGCCAGCGAGTGCACCAACCCTCTCCTACAGCTACGATGGTTCATGAAAGAGGCGGGCCACTACACGGGGAGGAAGGCCCTGCTCGTTGACTACCTGTTTGTCTCGCTGTTCCTGGCAGCTCGGCTGGGAGCCGGGAGCGTGTTCCACTACGTCTGCCAGACGTCTCCCAAACTGAATCTCATTATAAAGGCTGGCGGTCAGGCCTTCTATATCATCAGTGTAATATTTGGCATCCAGCTGTGTATGTTCTTCTATCGCAAGTACTTGAAAAAGAAGAGGTCGAAAAGAGAAAACTAGCACTGCACTGTCTCGTTTTAGGCACATTTATAATAGTGCTTTTGATTCTAGGCTTTCAATACTATCCTGTCTGTTTGTGTGTCCTTTGATACATGTTAATAAAAATTTTGAATAACACTGCCATCATAATTATATAGCATCAGCAAATTAAGGGCAATGAAATGTGTGATAGTACATCAATGTATATATATACTAAGCGGAACCAGCAAAGCAAGTACTAGTCACCCTGCATTCACAGTGGGGGTAAATGCTAGCGCTAATCTACTTATGAAAACATAAAGAGAAGGAATTTTGAGGCGATTATTTTTACAAACTTGGTCTATAAATCAGTGTCCTAGGTTTAATTGTTGATGACCTGAACACGCCTAAGGCTGTTTGTTCATACGCCAGGATCGTAGACCTTGAAGTCAGTTCATTTTGTCTGATCACAGAAGGCTTCTCTGCTCATGTGTACATAATGACCTGCATACACTGGGAAAGGGTTGGGTGACTGGCATTGCTTAGAGTTGCATAACCATTGACTTACAGATTTTATATAATACCCTTTCTCTTCTCTAGTATATAGTTTCCCCATGTCGCTGCTACGTTTTTGTTTGTGACAAACAACTGCCACGTGCCATTGTTGTTTTTGTACATGTGACTCTTTCACTTTCAAGTCAGATACAACATTGCTAAAAGCTATTCCCTTTCCTGTTTGTGTGTTCGCATGCAGCCCACGTCCCTGCCTATTTTAGGATAGCCCGCAGGTTGTCGGAGAGTACAGAGCAACGAAAAGAAGAAACGATGACGAAGGAAGCAGCTCTGTTGGTGCTGGTTGCTATTGGGGCAGCAGTGGCCTTGCCGATGCAGTGGCTGGAGCTGGAGCATGCCAAGACTCTGCACAAGTCCTCTCGTCTCGGCGAAGTCTACAAATTTTGCAGTATGAGTTTCGTCTTGCGCGCTAACTATCTTGCTATCCCTCGCTTGTAGATAAATCGCTTGACCCCCTGGTCATCACTAACCTGACACTGAGCCCTGACCCGCCGCGGGAGGGACCTCTAACCATCAGCGTCAGCTATCACTTGTGTAAGTGGCGGCCTCACCGACACGCGCGCACTGCTATGTTCTTGCATTTCGCAGCGGAGAAAGTGACAGGCGGAGTAATCAAGGTTGATGTGAAGTTGGACGGCATCCCGGTGTACAGTAACACCTTGGACTTATGCCAGACGCTCGTTCAAGCGGGGGTGAAGTGTCCCATTGGACCAGTGTCTGGAAGAAAATCTTTTGATGTCACTCTTCCCGCTATTGGGGTGAGGAGAGAGCAGATATACTGTGCCTGTGATTATTATTTGCACCCCTGACAGGGTCACATCACTGCTAATGCAGTTGTGACTGACCAGAATGGGAAGGAGCTGGCATGCGTTGATCTTGATTTCAAACTCTAAAGCAACATTTTGTAGTTTGTACGTGTGTCTATAATCATTTTTTTAGCAGTATGCCAATACAAAATTTTGGTCAAAGACACATGTGCCTGTTGGCAGACTTACATTTATTATACTGAAAATGAGAAGTCAAGTGTTTTCCTCAAACACACAAACATTGACTTTTCATTTGAGGATAACATAGCACATGGTAAACATGAGAGCTTTGTTAGTGTAAAGCATGTGCAATAGGATTTGTTGGGGATGTTAGTGTTGATGCAAGCAGAGTTAGGTAGAGCTATACATAGCTCATGAGGTCAGTCCACCAGATCTCTAAGTGAGTCTTGTACAGATGAGTTGATCTGATCTTGCCATGTCTGGAGAACATAGTCCTTGAATGGGTGGCCCACTTGTACAATCCACTGCTCCTGCTCTGGAGTGAATGGAGGGTAGAGGAAGTACTCAGGAGAGGTGCAGCGATTGGCTGCATACTCTGTCCACATTCTCTCAGCAGTAGAGGGACCAGGAGGAGGAGGAGGAGGTGAGGGTGGCTTGTCGTCTCCCAGGGACAGATTGAGTGGAGCTAGTCTCCTGCCACGAGATGAAGGAGGAGTCAGTTGTACTGGTGGTAGTTTGGAGTCCCTCGGGGCAGACTCAGGCTGAGCAAGAGCAAGAGGGGGCAGGGCAGCATCGAGCTCTGTGATAACAGGGGCCTCCCCTGGCTCGTTGATGATTGGAACAGACGGGTTCTGTTGTAGATCTGGATAACTTGTTGCCGCTGATCCACTGTAGAAGATTGGTTCCGTAGCAGGAAGAATGGGATTCTGTCCCCACAGTGGATTAGCTGAGGTGACATGTGGGCAACGGTTTCCAACTGGTAGCACTTGAGTAAAGTATGCACCATCTTCTGGTTCACTCAGGGGCTGAATGGAGAAGGAAAAGTAGTGGATGTAGTGTCCAACTGGTCCACTGGGTGGTTCAGCCGGAAAAGCACCCATGTGATGACTGATAGTTGGCTTGCAGTCTTGTTGAGTGGAGAAAGCCAAGTGTGAACCACTGTGTTGAAATCCATAGTTCACGTAGAGCCCAGCATCATCGTGACCCACACATTCGCTCGTCAACTCTCTCTCTGTTGAGAACCCCTGGGTGGGTAGTTGAGCCTGTGAAGGAGGAGGTGGAGAAAGAGGAGGAGGTACGGAGGGTTGTGTGTCTTTGTCGCCAAAAATGGCTGTCAATTCCTCCGAGGAGGAGGTCCTGGACAGTGCCGGTCCATCTTGGTAGTTGCACTGCTGGACGGCTGACTCCAGCATGTCCCCCCAGCACTGGAGGATATCGTCCTGGGAGGGATAGTAGGTATACAGTTGGTGTTGGAAGACATTATGGTGGAATTCACAGCTCACATGGTCTGTCTCATCCTCCTCCAGGGTGACTGCACCTCCAAAACTGGTGGTCTTTTCAACGAAAATGGCTGGACCCACTCCTTCCTCTGTCTCTGTCTCTTCATCATCATCATCACTGCTGTCATCGTCTTCATCTGTGTCTAAAGGAAGACATGATGACAAGTGTGAATCATTGTGTATATAGAGGTAGACCCACACCTTTAGTTTCCCAGCTCTCTCCATCGTCCACCTCATCATCCTCACTGTTGTTATCTTCCTCATCTCCACTGTAGTCTTGGAACACGTCTGACATATACACAGACTCATCATCTTCTCCTGAACTGTCGCTGTTGCAGGAGATGAGAGAGGGAGATGCCATTGGGGGAGGGGGTGAGGTTGTGGAGGAGGGAGTGTGTGAGGAGAGGGCGAGGCTGGGAACACTGAGGGGTGACTCAGCTCTGGACACTTGTGCCAGTGAACTACTGTAGAAAGAAACATTTGGTCTCAAAATGTGTCAAAGAGAGGTAGTTTGACTCTCACCCTCCCACTTCAGTAGCATCGTCACAGCGAGCAGGTTCTGCTCTCTGCTGCCTCCGCCCTGAAGGTAATTTTCTTTAATTGCTAGCTAATTCGAAAGAGGAAAGTGAACTCACTGAGTATCATCCTCATCCTTAGTAAGGATGCGATGCGTCGGCCCAAAGCTGTCACTTCTCCTCTCGCCACCGCACGCCTTTTGCGTATCCGACGCAAAATTCCCTTCTTGAGAGAAGCAATGTTGAGTTTTATGTGATTCATCGTTGTAAAACACCGCACAAAGTCGCAAAGAAACTCAGCAAACAACAATGGGTTCGCGTCGCGTCCGACGCGAATTTACGCGCATGCGCACATTTTTTTTCTAATTGCGTATGCGTGCGTGTAGACGTAGCGCGTGAACGACCTTTTGAACTGGACCGACGATGCAGTCGGAGGCGAAGGCTAATTCGCTGCTGCAGGATCGGGATTCCAATCCATGGAGGTACTGTGTTGTGTGCAGTCGTCACCACGATCAAGGACGCAAGCACATATTCACGACAAAACACAAGAACAAGCTCAACGCCATCCTCAACAAGTTCTCCGAGAAGGTGAGCCAAGCAGGACAAAACAACAGATAATCAGACTAAGCCGTCTATGGAAGTGGTGAGGTTTTGATGTCGGTGTATCCAAAGCCCAACGTTTCCTCGCCATGGCAACAGCTAACTCCAATTAACGCGCTCCAACAAGCTCTATCGCGCGTGTTTTCATGCAGTAAACATGAAGTTCCTAAAATAAAATAGCAAATATTCTAATATTTGTTGTGCTGATCCCTCAACACTCATAGCTGTACCGTACGTGTGTGTGTGTGTGAAACGGTTGGTCACAGTTTCTATATGACGCTGTATTCAGTGAAAATAAAAGACAGAGCAACAGAAAATCAGGGGACTAAGTTTGATGTGTGTATCTGTTGCAGGTGCGGAGTGCAAGGCAGCAAGTGCAGAAGCCTGGGGTGATGGAAGGGGAGCTGGAGCCTGACTCCACTCTCTGGTGCTACTTCTGCCAGCTGGAGGTGACACGACACGCCACAGACCGCTTCACTACCGTGGTGTGGGGAGGCCTCCTGGAGCACATGGCCAGGTAGGCTGGGTTTATTTCTGGACTCTGCATAAGGGGAGAGCTAGTATAAAACCAGTAAGCGAAAGTAATATCGGCAATTATAAAGTGGACAGAGTTAGATGGGTGGTTGTGTGGTACATAGAGTGCTCTATGGACATGCTCCCTCAGTAAAACATAGTGGGGAACACCTGGACACAAAGCCAGGAGAAAACTCCTGCAATACACACCCAGCCGCAGCTTCCCTATATTATTATGCCCTACTGTCTTTCTTACCATGTCAATGATGTGTGTGGTACTTTTCCTCCAGTCCGTCCCACCACAAGAGCACGCGGCGGTTCTGGTGGCTGAATGGAGCTGACCAGAAACTCCTGCAGAATTTCCTTCTCTTTGAGGCAGAGTACAGAAGGTAGAGATGTGTGTAGTGTGGAGGAATTGGTTGTGGTCATGTGTCCCCTGACTCTCCAGGTACAAGGAACTAGTGGCTGTGACTCTTGAACAACTGGAGACAAGAAGAGAGCTCAAACAGAAAGAAGTGTGTTCTCAGTTTGCTTTGTGATTGTGCATTGAAAGTGTATCGCTACACACTGTGCTGCATAATTACCACATAATGCTCCCATTAAAAATGCTCCCCCGCCCTCTTTTTGTGGTCATGTCCAGGAAGTGAGGCAGCTACAGGCCAAGGAGGAGTCCCAGGCCCTTGCAGCGAGGGAGGTGTGTCATTTACTGCGCTGCTTGTCTAGCAGCTACATGTATCCACTTACCAAACCACCTACTACTATAGTTCCTTAAAGTATCACATATAGAAGTATTCTATTTTTGTTGGGAGATATACTATTATGACATAGTTTGTTCTTTTGAAAGAAAGGAACTTTGCTCCTCCTAAGAAATCACGATTTCTCCAAACTTGTGGTTGGGTTTTGCCTACTTAGAGTCACTGAGAGAAACACAGTGTGTTTGTTGTTGTGTCGTGTTTGGTTTGTATTTCCTGACTGTTTGGTTCTCTGCCAGCCACCAGCCTCCCGATCTCCAGTGAGAATCAGATATGTCACTGTCAGGAACAAACACGGAATCGTACAGAACCCAACTGGAGTGTAAGTGTGTCATGAATCACAAGTGTTATTGAAGTCCGGATGTTAGCTCCAGAGATTTGTGCTGGGGGACAATCAGCCCCCTAGCAATTAATGTAGATGGTTCCAGTAACTGGACGCCTACTATGTATTTATTGGTCAAGTGTCCCCTGGGAAGCATATTCAGGGGGACAAATGAAGAGATAGAGGGACTGTATGTCCCCCTAGTGCACTCTGGCGCCAGCTCTGTATGAGTCGTAGGTACATCTTATCAGGGAGTTATTGACTGAAACCCAAACAAAAGTAACCCCACATTAATCCCTTGGTTTCACGTGAGAAAGAAGAGCATTTTGCCTGGTTTTTATCCCGGTAGAGGCTTATTGTGACACGGTGAAAGTGTGGATGATGTTTCTTTTCCATCTGCAAGTGAAATGGTTTTCCATTTCTTCTCACCACCTGCAGACACGAAGGCAGGAGAGTCTGGGGCGGAGGCATTGTCAAATACAAGTGAGGAATAATTAATAACAAATCCCTGTGTTTTCTGTGTGTGAAGAAAAAAAGTTTCTATACATGTAGTAAAACAATGAAACTCGTATATTTTGTGAGCGCACAATAGTGTGAAATGTCGTTGGCTCATTTGTATTATGTAAGACATCACGGTATGGTGACAGTGTGGTATGTGGTATGTGGTATGTGGTATGCTCAGGCCACCAGGTATATAGACTCCCTTCTTCACTTGCCAGTTAGCCAGAGAAAGTGCTCCTACATTAATTATTCCTAGGTATGTAGTAATGTGTAGCAGGTGTGCTATTGGCATGGCTGCAGAGCTCTCAGAGAACCAAGTTCTTAGTAGGCTAGCGTGGCCTACATAGGAGGGTTGGGGAGGATGTGTCACTATAAGCAGAGAGGTTAGCAGACACTTCTCAACCACACCTTGCGCTGGAGGAGCCGAAGAGAGGCTTTGTGGCAGGCAGGAGTAATGATGAGCCAAGCACGACACGTTTTGTCGTGTGTGAAGAGTTGGTGGGTTAGTCGGGCAGTTTCTTAGAAACCAGATGTGCTAGAAATTGTATATAGCTAATGTTTGTCTTTGGGAGTGTGTGTGTGTTTCCCTTGACATGCTTGGAGATATTGGGTGGAAAATTAGGGAATTTTCATACAATATTGCCGAGGTATGTAGAGTAATTCTGCTGACCTAAGGATACAAACTTGAGTTTGATATCCATGAATGGTGGCTAAAGAAATTTCTCTGCAAGATTGACATAGCTAGTGTAGTTACAGTTGTGTAGAACATGGGTGTAGTGGTAGTGTTTGCACTGTGACCTCATTATTGACATGCATTAGTTTGGAGTTGGGGGTCTGGTGGTTGAATTACCCAGGTCCGTTCCTACATACAAAGTGACTGATTTCTGTGCCTCAGCACTGAGTCCTTTGAGGCTTTCCCTTGTGTCTGGTGATTTATTGTGTTTTACTACCAACTCAAGCCGGAAAACATGTGTAATAGATCTCGTATTAGCTCACATCGAGTTTACTAAGTGACTGCGACACCGTTTACCCTCTATACCTGCGGATGTTTCCAAACATTGCTTAGTAATTAGGTTTGAAATCTAATGTGTGACTCCTTACATAGAGTCCTGGCTATGCTCAGAGCACTGGACTTATAATGCACATAGATTTCGCTGTCTAACTACTGCCATGGTAGCTGTGTGGGCAGAGCGCTCTGCTGGGACTGCGGAGTGTTGCTTTGCATAAGCCTCACTGTAGTTCATCCCGTTCATTCATCATGACTGATCCTTCCCAACCTCCCTATACACACAGGCCAAGCGAGTCTCGAGAGCTTGTGAGCTCTGCAATCTCTGCAGCCATGCTGAATTTTCTAGTCAAAAAAAAAAAAGGGACAGAATTACTCTTGCTGTCGTCGTGAACACACTCTGTGGCACACTGTTGCCTGTATAACATTGCATAAGTGCAGCACATGATTTTTTCCTCCAGGCCTGGTTCAGACCAGCTTCTTCCCTGGTCCATAGACAGACTCCACGCCATCGGCAGAAGTGGTAGAGACGGCTCCTCATCCTCCTCCATGGCAGGGGGAAAGGTGACAGTGGCAGCTGTAGGAGACACGTCACTGACTGCTATTCGACCTCCTGTGAGTCTCTCTGTCTCCTCTGTTGGGTTGGCATACACACACACACACACGCACACTTTAGCTCGTTCCTTATTTGCTTTCTCTCACTCCTTTGGTGTAGAGGAATTGTATGACAGAAGTGTGAAACCAGTCATGCCTGAATGCATAATTACGCTGTGTTTCAAATCAAGCCATTTTCTAGGCAGGTAATGATAATAATATGCAAGATGAGTGCAAACTGTTTTGTTAATTGAAACCTCGAGTGGAATTTCATCCGCATTCTGCTGCACGCCCGGGAAATCACAGCAATATGTTATTACAATTAGAACTTGAGAACACGTGTCATCTGGGTCAGTTATTGACACTGATGTCTTACCCCCACACCTGCGGGATTGTTGACTGCATTTCTCTCCTGCTCTGTGTGGATAAGTTGTGTACGCGGTCCCCTTGAAAAGGTGCCGTGTTTGTGTGCCCCGTGGTCCTCCCTCATTCCAGAGCCTCTCTGTGGGACGAGGCAATGTACACTCGGGGGCCACTCCACCGTGGCTGATGCCCGACTCCAGTGGAGACGGTGGCAGTGTCCTGGTTGGCCCTTCTGAAGAAGAGTTTCTCAAACACAGTAAGGGAGAAGGTTGTTCCTGATTGAAACTCTCACACGCATACACATATGCACATATGCGCCTGAACTATCAGGTCGTTGCATAAAACAAACCTTTCTTTGTGTATGTGTACACATCCTCAGTATATAGGTGCATTGAAAGTCTGTGTGTGTGTGTGTGTTGTGTGTGTGTGTCAGAGGAGCAGGGTAAGAGGAAGGGTCGTAAGGGAGTGGTGGGTGCAGACTTTCACCTGAAACTGGCCTCCTCCTCCTCCCATCAGGAACACGAGTGGTGGGTAACTCACGTACACTAAAGTGTGGTGGCATTATGTTTGCGTGTCTCACTCTATTGGTCAGTGGCTATGTAGCACAGTATCTCTCCTGTCCTCGTATTCTGTGAAGACATTGTGGCCATGAGAAGCACGATTACGCCTATGTTGTTCCTCAGTACACCGTTCTTGGCTCTCAGTAGTGAGTCTAGGATGGGGTCTGTGGGGTTTGGATTAATTCCCATCTAACACAATAATGGTATGGCTGGCGTACAAGCTTCTACAGCTTGGGAAAAGAATGGGGCAAAAATCTGTCGTGTGTGTGCGATCCAATGCTCGTGGTTCCTAACACGAAAGCCCTGCCACTAAGAAAAATTCACTGTGGATGCTCTGAGCCCCGGTTGTACAATTGTACTTGGTGTATAGTGGTTACACAAGACAGTGGTGGATATGTGTTGGAGTCTGAGGCCAGTATAATGTGTCTTCCTTTCTGCAGGTTTCCTTCGTTTGGCCGAGTGTGGAACACTGGACCGCGATCTCATTCCCTGTACGTGTCTGTTTGCCTGTATATATACTGTGTGGCATGAGTGGTGGTGAAACTAAAGCCACACTGAGATGCTTCCCATTTCAACAGGGCTGACTTCAAGAGGGAGAGATCGACAGGTCACATTGGTCCAAGTCACTACTCATCCTATGCCCCACCCTCTTCCTCCTCCTCTCTCTCTCTCCAATCCCTTGCACCCTGGGACCGACCTGGCCCCTCAGGCCTCCACCAGACGACATCTGGTGGAGGTCCTGCCACCACAACTGCAGTCTCTAGGACCCTCCTCCCTGTTGGCGTTGCTCCGGAAGATGTTCAGCCTTACGTGAGGAAGAGGAAGAAGAAAGCCAAACATCAAGGTATAATTAATATTATAAGGAGACACTAATTAGTTTGTGTCTTTATACAGATAATGGGTGACTGATGGACTATGTATAGAATCCACACCTGAGCCACTTTCTGCCTGAGCTAGGCATCTCAACTGCACTACAGTGACGTATCTAAATCATAGCTGACCTGATTTTGTTTTTATGATCATTGATATGACAGCTGTATAAACTGAAGGTTTTGCCTTCGCATAAAAAAACTCTTTGCACACCACCACTAGCTATATAGAGCCAGCTAGAGTACACTCTTTACAGTAGAGCTATATACTACAAGCTGTGCTTGCTCGTTGGACGTCATGAATTTGTACGCGTGCTCACTGCTTCTATTCGCTGTTACCCTCCAAGTTCGCTGCCAGAGCGTCTGCTATCATCCTGGGGTGAACTGCGGGCCGCAGTGGGGTGTAGGGGGAGGAGGAGGAGGAGGCTGGCTACTGGCGATGCTGGAGTCTAGAGCCCGTGCCCAGGGAGATCAGGGAACAGCTGAGCTGCAAGAGCTGGCGTGCGACTGTTGCTGCTCTTTGACTCCGTGCGCTTTTAGTCAGAGTCTCTGCGGCGAGAACGTACGTTACTGTTCGGTCGGGGACTGCTATGCCCACATACTAGGTAAATCGCTGCAGCATTTCTGCAGACAATTCGCTAGCTAATGACTTTTTATTCAGCGCATGCAGCAGCAGACGATTCGCCGAGGACCCCGAAGTACTCGGCCGAAGTTTTGACTGCGTCTCTGGGAGCGCAGAAGGAGCGCATGCAGCAGGAGAGAGCCGAGCTGCAGGATATGATTGAGGAGCTAATCAGGATGAAGAATGGCAACGCCCAGCCCCCGACTGACACCGACGTCCACCCGCAGCAGAGCGATGAGGGATTGGAAGTCGAGGACACTGCCTCTGTCCCGCCTTCTCCTTTCTAGCTAAACACTTTCCTGAGAAGTACATAACTAAATTTTGTTGTTGGTGAAATGATTAGTGAAAGACAAAACGGATGTTAGCCTTCGCATAAAAGGATGCAGCACTGCCGCGGCTTTACAGCTACGAAGCTACTGAAGTGCGATGAACGCTGTTTATGCAGTGTGCGTACTGCTCTTGGCAGTAACGGTCGACTGCCAGAACCCCGTCTGCTACCATCCTGGAATCACGAACTGCCAGCCACCTAGTGGGGGCTGGCTAATGGCAATGGAGGAGTCCAGACTCCGCGCCCAGGGAAGAGAACCGACCATCGCCGAGCTGGAGGTCCCGAAGAAAATCTACTGCGACTGTTGCTGCAAGCAGGTTCCGACGTGCAGGCACGGCGAGGCAGTTTGCGGCGGACCTCGCTCTTGCGAGATCAACAGCTGTTACCAATGGATACTAGGTAGCTAGCTAGCTTCCCTAATACTGTGTACGTATTTTTTCTGTGATTAGCGAATGCAGCAGCGGACGGTTCGCCGGAGACTCCGGGATACACGGCGAAGATTTTGACCGCAGCTCTGTATAGACAGAGGGAGGAGCTGTATCGGGAGCGGAGCGAGCTACAGGGTTTGATGGAGAGTCTCGCTAGGACGAGCTCCGACGGAACTCACTCACTGACCGGTGCCGATACGTACAAACCCGGCGGATTCGAGACTGAGGAGGAAGATAACCCCTTCCTGGCATTTCAGAATGCTTGACACTGATTTAGCATATTATTATGTAGCATAGCTCTGACAGATCAACTGTGGTTTTGTTTACAACGACGTGCGTAGCCGCTACTCAGCGCATGCGCAAATATACTACTATAATAGTCAACGAGAACAAGGATGCTCGAGCGCTTTAGCTAACCGTGCGCGAATGTGTAGCTGTGTTTGTCCTCTAATTATGCTGCAGAGGTTTGGTTACCAGATTCTGCAAAGGATAGGGAAAATACTTTGAGACCGTTCAGAGCTTTGCCTAAGAGCTTTGCTCAGATCGGGAGAAGGGAGGCTGACAACATGGTCACAAGGTGTATACAGTGGTGGCAAACCCCATCCTCCATACATGATTTTTCCAAAGGCGCAGTAAGTCTGCGCATGCCCAAAAATATCCGACCGCTCTACACGTACGTACACTAGACTCGTTCGGAAATGGGAAAGGTAGCAATACTAGAGAGTCTGAAGAAGCATAAAGAGCTGCTGATTGCAGTGAATGTGCTGTTTGCCGCGCTCTCCATCTCAGGCCAAGTTGGAGTGAATGTCACCCTACCCCTCTGGACCAGTGCAGCCACGGCCTCTTGCCAGCATGGAGCCTCGAACAGCTCCAATTCGACCAACGGTACCACTGGAGACGGTCTGAGTATGGACCCATTCTTTGTCCTGAGCTCCTCTTCATTTGCGTTCATGGTGATATACGGGGTCCTGGCGCTGGTTTCTGCGGCATTCGGAGCGGTGACAATGGACGATCTCCGGTTCCCTCAGTGGCAGCTATTTCTTATTGGGTTTTTCAGTGCGCTAAACGGTGTTCTGATCGTTTATTCCTCGCCAACCACCAGAACGCCTCCGTTTTTGCAAGCCATCCTCGGAAACTTCCTGATTCCCATAACCATAATATTCAGGTCTCACACCAAGGTTGTAGAAATTGACATTTTCACCTTGCTCCACCCATTAACAATAGATTAATACTGCTGCGAAAAAGGCCACAACTGATCAAGCTGATGTGTGCAGTGGTTGTGTTCTTAGGTCTGGTCCTCTCACTCATCCCTGTCATAACTGGGATGGATGCAAGCGACAACAGTTCATACTTGAATCAGAACTCTGCAGCCAGAATTCTGTGGCCACTCTGCTTCATGCTTGGATATGTGAGTACTTTATTATCCCATATATAGGTCATCAGAGAGTATCTTATATCAGTAACGTGACACACAATGAATATACTTTAGGTTCCAGCGGCACTGATGAATGTCATTGAGGAAAAGAGTCTGAAGGACAAGAGGAATGTCAACATGTTCTTTCTGCTATTCTGCAGCTCCTCTTACCAGCTTATAAGTGCATTCGCCTTCTTCTGGACTGACCTCATTCCGCATTTTGGCTATACCAATAACATCCATGAATTTGGAGAAAAGTAACTCTATGCATTTTTGAATAGTGTTTATATATCTTGTGCTCTCTTGCTATGAATCAGCTACAAGTATGCTCTGTCCTGTTTCTTTGGTGGGAGTGGCTGCACCTATGTTCCTGGACTCAGGGGCTCAGTCTTTGTTGTGATGTTCACAATTTCTCTCTTTGGTGGAGGTCTACTGTTGAGATATGCAGAGGGTGCCACCTATCTTGCTGTTGTCAATGTAAGGGCACATGATGCATTAGCTAGCAAGCATGAGAAATATTTCTGTCGTATTATGTCCAGAAAGGAGTTGTGACTAAAGTGTTGCTGTTGTAAGAGAACAATAGCTATCAAGCACTGTGCTAGGACGAAAACTACTATTGAGAGCAACTTGGCCTGGGTAGCTGTTTAGCTGATGCGGCATGTGTGTGTACGAATCAATGTGCGACATCAGATAATGTGGATTGCAGGCTGTGGTGACTCCACTGGGAGCTCTGTTCTGGAGTCTATTTCAAACAGACAACTGCGGGGCGTTCTTCTGGGGTCCTCATGCAAACAGGCTCACATACTTCAGCATCCCTGGACTACTGATTATGGTGCCTGCCATCTACATCTACAACTTGATGTGGGTTTCGCTGCAACATTTCTGACCGCAAGTGATTATTATGCTAATAGGGTGTCTGAAGTTGATCCCTTGGAAGAGTTTCTGAAAAAGCTCTTGGGAATAAGGTGAGTGTTTTGCTGTTAGCTAAATACTCTTATTTTATACTTTGACAAGGCGGACCGGACCTTCCCTGTTATTGGCCAATGCTGCTCCTGACATACACTGTGAATTATGCATTTGAAATTAATATTTTCCCAGGGGCGGCCTCTCAATACAGGCAAATGCTGAGAAAGAGGAGAGGACTGCAATACTAACTGATAGTGATGGTTTAGACTCTGATATATGACTATAGCTACACATTATTGTTTTTACATGTTTTTTTAGCTGCTGAGAATTGGCAGTGGTATACTCCACCCTGACTGTCACGATGTAGCTATAACCGTATAATACTCGAAAGGTTGAAGTAACTGTGAGTGTGTACCACATAAACACAGGGAGAGGGCTGGATGCGCATGCGCAAAAAATATATAATAAACCCGTGACGCGCTAGCTAGCTACATACGGCCGGCACAGCTACGGCAGCCACAGTTACTGAAAATGAGAAAGGTAGCAATACTAGAGAGGCTGAAGAAGCATAAAGAGCTGCTGATTGCAGTGAATGTGCTGTTCGCAGCACTCGCCATCTCAGGCCAAGTTGGGCAGAATGTAACCCTACCCCTCTGGGCCAGTGCAGCCACGGCCTCTTGCCAGCATGGAGCCTCGAACAGCTCCAATTCGACAAACGGTACCACTGGAAACGGTCTGAGCATGGACCCATTCTTTGTTCTGAGCTCCGCTTCGTTCTCGTTCGTGGTGATATTTGGAGTTCTGACGTTGGTTTCTGCGGCATTCGGAGCAGTGACGATAGACGACATTAGGTTCCCACAGTGGCAGCTTTTCCTCATCGGGCTCTTTGACGCGTTCAACGGTGTTCTAATCGTTTACTCCTCGCCTTCTTCCAGAACGCCTCCGTTTCTGCAAGCTATCCTCGGAAATTTTCTAATTCCCCTAACCATAATATTCAGGTATCATACAAAACTGAACACTGCATGACACAGGTGACCTTGTTTCGCTCCATAAAGGTTGATACTGCTGCGGAAAAGGCCACAACTGATCAAGCTGATGTGTGCAGTGGTTGTGTTTTTAGGTCTGGTCCTCTCACTCATCCCTGTCATAACTGGGATGGATGCAAGCGACAACAGTTCATACTTGAATCAGAGCACTGCAGCCAGGATCCTTTGGCCGATGTGCTTCATGCTTGGATTTGTAAGTTCTTTACTTCATCTTCATTACCATAACTATATATTATGCATCAGTGAGTGGGATTGCATTCTGAATTAATATACTTTAGGTTCCAGCGGCAGTGATGAACGTCATTGAGGAGAAGAGTCTGAAGGACAAGAGGAATGTCAACATGTTCTACCTGCTATTCTGCAGCTCATTATACCAGCTGATAACTGTGTTTGTCTTCTTCTGGACTGACCTCATTCCACACTTTGGCTATACCAGTAACATCCATGAGTTTGGAGAAAAGTAAAGGAACCCCAATTTGCTCTATATATCAATAACCCGTTTGTTCTCTTGCTATGAATCAGCTACAAGTATGCGCTGTCCTGTTTCTTTGGTGGGAGTGGCTGCACCTATGTTCCTGGACTCAGGGGCTCAGTCTTCATTGCCATGTACACAGTGTCCTACATTGGTGGAGGTCTACTGTTGAGATATGCAGAGGGTGCCACCTATCTTGCTGTTGTCAATGTAAGGGCATTGGCTAAGAATTTCTGTCGTATTATGTCCAGAAAAGAGTTGTGACTAAAGTGTTGATGTTGTAAGAGAACAATAGCTATCAAACACTGTGCTAGGACGAAAACTACTATTGAGAGCAACTTGGCCTGGGTAGCTGTTTAGCTGATGCAATGAATGGCATGTGTGTGTACCAATTGCAGTTGTCAACGTGAGGGTGTATAGCACTGCATGATGCAATAGCCAGTTGCATGATGCAATAGGTGTGTACTGTGAGACATGTTTCCCATGTGGGACCGTGTTTCCCATGTGTTACCGTAACACATGGGAAACACGTGCCACAGTACATTAATCAGCAGAAATTCATCCTTCTATCACGCAAAATAAGTGTGGGTAGCTCCGAAGAGTACTACTGTACTCTACTATGTACATGTTACATCAGAATAACGTATTATGATGCTGGGTAGCTGATGCAAGTTCTTGCGCAGCATGAGTTTGCGAAACAAGTATGTGCAGCATGTCGTCTTTATTGCCTGCAGGCTGTGGTGACTCCACTGGGAGCTCTGTTCTGGAGTCTATTTCAAACAGACGACTGCGGGGCGTTCTTCTTGGGCCCTCATGCAAACAGCCTCACATACTTCAGCATCCCTGGACTCCTGCTTATGGTGCCTGCCATCTTCATCTACAACTTGATGTGGGTTTAACTGCAGCATTAATATTTGCTCAGTGATTTTGCTTCACCATGATTTTGCTTCACCACAAATAATACTTTTCTGATAGGGTGTCTGAAGTTGATCCTCTGGAAAGGTTTCTGAAAAAGCTAGTGGGTTTAAGGTGAGTGTATTCGTACCTTGGCAAAGGACCTTAGCAGTATATTCTCAATTCAACTAAAGTGTCAGAGTATTGTGAGTTAATGTGTGATACTTCAATCACCTCAGGGGTGGGCTGTCGATACAGGCAGACAAAGAGGAGAAGACTGCAATTCTTTCAGATGGGTCAGACTCTGATATGATGTGACTAGTATATAATATTATACACAATAGAAACCTACATGCCTACACTGTTTGCACTTTGTCTAGCTATTCAATTTGGCAGTGCCCTACTATATACAATGTTGACAATGAACTATCACTAAGTGACTAGTATACCACACTGCTTCGTCGGATCATAGTGAGACACTTGCACTTATGGCGCATGCGCAAAATTACGTAGTGCGCACATAGCGGTGGAGACATGAAGAATACATGACATAACCCGCGACTGTTCACATATACACACACGAACCGACACTTCCAAATGCAAGAACTCCCTATATCAAACATTGAACATAAAGTCAGCTCATGTTTTAAAAAGATAAACACCAAGTGGCTAGTAAATGTATGCAGATCCATCGCCTGGTCCCAGGTAACCAGTGCCAACGAGAATGACGTCCAGGATCGACCACACCCCCAGACCGCCGAAAGACAAAAGTTTCCCGATGGCAGAGCCCCAGTGAGCTAGGTAGAACCTGTCCACACCAAATCCACCCAGAGTGATGCTGCAGTTTCAAGAGTAAAATGATGATAAGGACACGTGATTTAGTTCATAGCGGAACCTCTCAAAACGGACCCTCCGAGATTGAGAAGCAGACAACCTCTGAAAAGTGGACAAGCACCAAGGAATGGACTGAAAACTAATACTATCGATAGTTTAATACACAGTACGTTACAATGGAACACGGCTATATAGGGGTTAGACTAGACAATGTAAATACGAAGGGGACAGACAAAGCTGTTTCTCCAAGGTGTCCCTATCTTGGAGGTTCAATTGTAGTATGTCACTATACAGCCCAGTTCATAAGGACAAGGTTTACTGTCCAGATAGGATATAAATACCTCAAGAGAAATGCAGTGGTCCATCTTGTACCCGTTGAATAATCACAAGGTCGCATTTTCTCAAACGCTCTTGGAGCTGCATGAGACACACAGCTTCTTATAAAGCAATGCACAACCTTTTAAGGCACTTACGCAAACAGAAGACGTTGTTATTGACGATGCATTCTGACCGGTACATTTGGGGAGGTGTGCCTCTCACCTGCAATGTTACGTAACACATGGCTTCAACACGAGCTACAGCATGTGAAAAAACAACGAACATTGCAAGAGTCGTCAGGAGAGCAGCACTGTTCGTCCTCCCCTGTCTGGTAGCAGTAGCGACATGGGAACTTGTGAGAGAAGTTACGCTCACCCTGTGAACAAACACAGTCAATTTGCCCCATTTCGGTGTGTGTTCCTGTGGTGATGGCCATTGTATATCACTCTACGACGTACCTTACACACTGCTTCTGCCAGGGCCTGACAGAAGAAGGTCGTGTTCTCATTGTAGGTACAATTGGGGATACCGTCTCCGCGGAAGAAATCACAAACCACGCACACGGCGGGTAGCTCGCTGCAGTCAGGATTCTTCGACGACGTACACGAAGGATCAATCACCGTATCGTTGGTCGTATTGCTCGCCGGCTTTTCCTGGGACTGCGAGTGTGATAACCCAATGGCCAGGAGTACGACAGCAACTGAGTAAAACGCCAGGGTGCCTCTCAACAGCGCCACAATAATCGACTTCAACTTCGCCATCTTTTTCTAATTTCAACATTTCTTTCGCTAACAGGGAGAAACAACGAACGATAAAGGTCAAAGGGCAAATGAATGCAATTTCTAAATAATGCACACCGCACTGCAGTTCTCTCTTCGTCGTGGTTTATAGTTGTGCCTCTTTTTTGTTTAAGGAGCAGGGTAGGACGATTCCTGCACTGGTGTAAGCATAAAGTGTATGCGAAACAGTGACGCCAAGATAGCTAACCCCGACACTGAACGGTATGGCGGAAAAGGGTGCAGACGGAGAGAAAGGAGGAGGAGGAGATAGTGGGAAGGAGACAGGGAGCACTAGTAGATCCTCTTTCCGCTCCCTGCTGCCGCAGCAGAGTTCCAAGGACGGTCTGCCGTCTTCTCCGAGTCCTGGGCGGAATAAGTTCAGGTTACGCAACTAACTGTCATTGTAGCTATGGTGCCGTCACTCCATGTTGTTGTGTATGTATACAGTGCTGCTCATCGCTCAAAGTCAGCCTCTCAGGCGACGAGTTTTATAGACTCAGACTCGTATGTGGTGGTGGGGAAGGAGCATGTGGTGGGGGAGAACCAGGCTGCTGCCGGCCTGGACTCTCCTCCTCCTCCCAGGGACACTGCCTCCAGGGCTACCCTGGGAAGAGAGCCGGCCAGAGACAGCTCTACAGGTGATACAGACGGTATTCATACAAACATGCATCCTTTCACTGCACTGAGAACTTCCTGGGGTTAAAGATCAGTAGAATTCCCTGGAAATATCTCGCCTCATTAGTCCATGGAGCTATTGTGGAAGGTTGTAGGTGTCTTGCAAAACTGTGAGCATGTCTGTCTGCTGATTGAAATGATGTCCGTGTCAATGTGGTGGAATGCAGTACTTGTTCTAGGAAGGCAAATACAGGTGTTGGTGTCCACAGTATGTCCGTATACATGCGCTGACAATTATCTGTCATGTTCAGTTGACAGCGGGGAATGTTGCTGCCTCTGTACACAATATATGTACTCCCATCCCGTGTGTGTGTGTGTGTGTGTGTGTTCACACAGATGGTGGAGTGAGGGCTGAGGACGCTACTGCGGAGGGAGACAGAGACAGGTGACAATAACACCTCTCTACTATAGTTGTTGAATTGTACTGTTGTCCTTTGGAGTATCATGTGTATTATGTACATAATTATGTACATACACTTTGGACATGTTAAAAGGCTATACTCGCCCAATGTAATATTGTGTTTCCTGCACATCAGTGCTGTAGACTCTGATTCTGCAAAGGACAAGGAGAAGAAGAAAGAGACAAGTCGTGTGAGTGTCATGTCCCGTATGCCCCACCTCTTAAAGGGGCAGTTTCATGGTGCTTGATTGGGTCTATCCTCAAGCATACTGTCTCCCTATAAGATATCCACACTCAAATTTTTATGCTGACTTTTCCATGTCTCCATGTCCATTCCTTGTTTCTCGTCCTCGCCCCTCCTCCTGGCAGTTCTTTTCGCCTCCCAAGATGCGAGGAACAATGTTCCCGTTTGACCAGATTGCAGTGCCAATGTCCTCCCATCGCCAAAAGAACATGGAGCTGCACAGAATATTCAGCTCTCTCAACGGCTCTGAGAAACTCATTGACGGTCAGTGTTTCACCGTCTAGCTTGATGGAAATTTTCAAGGGTGTAGATACAGCTTTTGTTAATTCCGTGTAAATTTGCAATCTGCGAGAAACTTCTGGGTGGAAATGTTGTGGGCTGGCAGCACTGTATTGTGAGACGTGCTTTCCGCTGACATTAGAGTGTTCGTACTGTGACGCAGTATTTTACACACTACTTCCAGTCACATTTTACTGAATGAAATGTATGTACGTAGTATAAATATATAGCACATTATCCAAAGTTTCAGCAGTAAAGAGCCGTCTTTGCAAGAGATAATGGCTGCAAATAATTATAGGTGTGCTCGCTAATAATTCTACGTTTCTCTCTCAACTATACTGCAGACTATTCGTGTGCCCTGCACAGAGACATATTGGTCCACGGAAGGGTCTACATCACACAGAACTGGCTCTGCTTCTACGCCAACATTTTCACTTGGGAGACGCTGGTGGGCTGCATACACAACAACTGGATGAATACATGTAGCTGAACACCTTCCTTGTCTGTCTCACGGGCAATGCATCTTTCAATAACAAACCTGTGTGTATTGCACTTACATACATACATAATGCACAGTACGGTTTCAGTAATCCAAACACTTTGGGACTAAGGTTAGGATCAGTGAGTGTTTGGTTTTTGTTGAAGCAAGAAAACTTCAACTTCAACGATTGGTGCGTAAATGTTACCTTTAGCTATATAGGGCACCTCAGAATGTTTGACACTCTTGAGGCTAACTGCATGTGTCTATCTCCCCCTAAAACTTAATGGAAATATGTTCTCTCTTCAATTTCCCTCCCTCCATCCATCCTCCCCCTCTCCTTCTCCTTTCCCCCCTCCCTCCCAAGCTAACGATACCGTTTTCCAAAGTGACGGCCATCACGAAGGAGAGGACGGCGTTTGTGTTCCCCAATGCAGTCCAGGTCACCACCACGGCAGATAAGTACACCTTCTCCTCTCTCATGAGTCGAGACATCACCTACAACGTCCTCTTCAAAGTCTGGCAGAACAGCCTCCTCAACGAGGTCACTATGATGTCATTGTTGGTAGACTGTGATACAGAGAAAATGAAGCCCCTTTTAATGCTCCGCATGCTTGGGTTACAGTGCTTTGTCTGTGTGTTTGTTAGTCGGTCAAAACGGAGCATCTCTTCTGATGAGATTTTGTGATGTTTGCCCCATTTTCATCTTGCTTTTGCACATTTACCTTTGATCCACAAAGCTAAGCTAACCTATTTTGCACAATGACTCTTTAGCCTGTTTAATGCTCAGCTTCTGAATTGGCATAGCAGTGAGGCTCATGGACTGTGAAGTTCTTTTCGTGATCATTTTCTCCGCTTGCCGTAGTGAATGTGTCTTTGTGTATTTGTCTCCCCCACTGCAGCACCTGCGTCCTCTGGAGCTGGTGAAGGCGGCCCGGAGAGCGTCTGGGGACACCACTGACGTGGGGACAGCTGATGAACTGTGGGGGGCAGATGATGGGTGTCCCTCTGCCACCGTGGCTGACTCATATCGCCTGATGGTGTGCAGAAACGCTATACAGTGGAGCCCTATTAATCCAGACACCAGTGGGAAAGAATAAAATTAGTGAGGTGTCCTTATTTTTAAAGCCAAGGATTGCAGAACTCTTCTTACAGAGGTGTCTACCATATAATGTGTCAACAACAAAGCCGCAAGGCAAAGGGCAAACATGTCAACTACACTAGTCACCTGTAGGAGAGCATGCAAGACTTGTGTGACCAAGTAAAAACTTAGTAGGTCCTACTTTCATTCATAGTGCCCCATTAGCGTGAGAAAACAAGTTTTTACACTCCTGTGCTACGATAACATGTTCTGTTTCAACAGCCAAAGGTGACGACATCTCTGCCAACAGTCCTGCCGACCCACGTGGAGATCATGCCCAGTCCAGAGAACAGCCCCCATTTCGTGGCGTCGGTCTCTCAGCCGGCGGCAGATGATGATGAGAGCAGTCCCCTCACTGCACCTGATGCCCAGGACCACGGTACTACAGTATATGTATGTACATGATGCATGCCATCACTAATGCAAGTGTCAACAACTATTTAGCAAGGCAAAGCCAGCGCAAACAAGTCAACTACACCGGTAAGTAATATACAGTCGATCGAACCTCTACAAAGAGACATACATATTGAAAAATCAGTCACCCTCCAATAGGGGGACAAGCAGCTTGTCCTTCAATTGATATCGCTGTTAAGATGTCGCCTCATTTGTGGTAGTGACGAAGGGACTACGAAGTTGGGGCAAGATAGGGATGCCTATTCCACACTCCAAACTATAAACATTATTAGAATAGTTTTCTTGTCATTTCTGTTTCTCGTGCCTGAAAAAAAGCAACACCCTTATTGAGGGAGGGGAGAAAGTGAAGGGTGAGGGGACAGGATACGTTTCTCCTTCCCCGCCTCCCCTTCCCTCTCTGTTTAATTTTGCTTGAATCAACTTCTAAATGAAGACCATGTGTGTACGCAACACAACTTTTTCCATTAACATTTTGGTTTCAATATCGTTCACTTGTATATAACGGACACAACAGTATAGTTCTCTGTGATGTGTCGTTGCATGCATCTCTGTCAGGAGCGGTGGACAACGAGGGGAACGTAGAAGCAGTCAAGAGTAAGGAGCAGCTGACACTCCAAGACCTGCCTAGAGGGAGACATCCTGCTAATGGACACACGGACACACGTGAGTCCTTGGACACTTTGGCCCAGTTCTGTCCTCAATTGTCGGTTGTCTATGTATGTACCAGGGAACAACTCTTAGCACAAAAAAACTTTCACATCAATTGTAACCCGTGGCTTGACAGCTGTCATTAACCTCTCACCCTCTCGCCTTCCTTCTCCTTCTCCTTCTCCTCTGCTCCCTTGTTCTTCCTTCCCCTCAACTCTGACACACAGAGAAAGCCAACAACAAGGACTCACACATGGCCTCTCGTGGCGGCTCTGACCGCCAGCAGCCCACCTCCACGACCCCAATGACCCCAGCGGCAGGGCAGTTACCGGATGTGGTGTCCATGGGAGGAGAGAGTCTCGGGAGTTTCTCTGAGGATTTCGAGACTGTCTCTTTTGCTGAGGAGTCAGGTCGGTAGCGGTCGAAATAAAATGTGGAGGAAAAAATTTAGAAATACATATGTAACGACGCTCGACGCGCCCGAGTCCAGATGTTATTCGACTGACTTACAAACACGCATGCGTAGTAAACATGAATAATGTATGACACTAAATAAGTCAAGTTTTCCAGCTTTGTTACATCACATCACCCCTTAGAAAAGCTCGACCACGAGCTTGTCATTGCTTCAGGTTGTCCATTTTCTGCCTTCAAATTAACTTCTGCTTCATCCTCCACGTACACTGTCCAATCGCTGTTGAATCCACGTTGTCCAGCACAATCAGACAGTGGCTTGTCCTCAGGCGACATAATCGGCTCTCCACACCCACCGCGTGCTAGGCCCTCTCCTCTCCGGAAGCAGGAGTCCGCCCCCGCGTGCTAGGCCCTCTCCTCTCCGGCAGCAGGAGTCTGCCCCCGCGTGCTAGGCCCTCTCCTCTCCGGCAGCAGGAGTCCGCCCCCACGTGCTAGGTCCTCTCCTCTCCGGCAGCAGGAGTACGCCCCCCCCGCGTGCTAGGTCCTCTCCTCTCCGGCAGCAGGAGTCCGCCCCCCCACGTGCTAGGCCCTCTCCTCTCCGGCAGCAGGAGTCCGCCCCCCCGCGTGCTAGGCCCTCTCCTCTCCGCAGCAGGAGTCCGCCCCCCGCGTGCTAGGTCCTCCTCCTCTCCGGCAGCAGGAGTACGCCCCCCGCGTGCTAGGCCCTCTCCTCTCCGGCAGCAGGAGTCCGCCCCCCGCGTGCTAGGCCCTCTCCTCTCCGGCAGCAGGAGTCCGCCCCCCGCGTGCTAGGCCCTCTCCTCTCCGGCAGCAGGAGTCCGCCTCCGCGTGCTAGGCCCTCTCCTCTCCGGCAGCAGGAGTCCGCCCCCGCGTGCTAGGCCCTCTCCTCTCCGGCAGCAGGAGTCCGCCCCCGCGTGCTAGACACTCTCCTCTCCGGCAGTCCCAATGCCTTTTTCACTCCGGCTTGCTCCAACCGCGTCACGCTAAGCCGCTTTCTCCGCTGGTCCTGCCAGCTACTGTACATCGAGCGTCCTGCAACGATAGCTGTACACACTGTCACTGACTTTGCTGACGTTTGTGGACGCGTCCGTCCCACGTGGTTGCTATCGTGCGATCTTCTTCGGCTTCAGCGATTGCTTCGCTCGTTCCGGCACTCAGGATGTTATAAGAGTGCTTAGAGACAGCTATCCGAGGTTCCTGGGCGCCAGCCGCGCCGAGGCAACGGCGATTGGCCCAGGTCTCGGTGAGATCTCCACTGTAACGACGCTCGACCCGAGTCCAGATGTTATTCGACTGACTTACAAACACGCATGCGTAGTAAATATGAATAATGTATAACACTAAATAAGTCAAGTTTTCCAACTTTGTTACACATACGTCCTTGTTTCTAGTTACCAACATTTCTGCCTGCCACACCCTCTTAGAGTGTAGCACTCTTTCTTGACAAAGTGGTAGTGTCCTTGCCCAGATATCAACAAAAACATCCGATTTTCAGTCCCATGCTTTCTTGTTTTTCGGCATGGCTTAGCCTGCTTGGCATGAGATTTACAAAGCTGTCCGTGCTAGCATTTTGTGTAACTGGTCCTGTAGCAGTATACTGTACAGCAGGAACCTTTCAAGACAAGCAACTTCACAAGAACAATGGGTATGATCGATTCTTACCCAAAAAAACCTCCATTTTTTTCTGGCTCAAAACTTTCCTGCTCTAAGGTGTGTCTTATGTTGTATGCAGGAGAGGTTCCGTGTGGCTGTTCGGAGCACGTTGGGAGAACTATCATCAATGACGTGAGTTTTCCCATAACAATACGTTCTGTATGACATTATTGAAGACGCACGTGTGTACATATATATATATTTAGGTTTATACGGCAGATGTGGAGACAATATTTCAACTACTCTTCACTGATGCTAACTTCTTCAGAGACTTTCTGATGGCCAGAAACACCATTAGTATGTGCATACAGTAGTTAATACTATGTAGTGAGATGCAAAGTGTACATATCGAGGCCATGATATACGATGCAACTTTGTTGCAAATGTACGAGGATGATGGTCCACACGCAACCCTTTTCTCCTTGAATGGTCTATCACACCCATGTGCATCGTGCATCATAGCCTTTACGGTGTCATGTCACCTCTGTCTCTCTCTGTCTCTCTCTCTCTCTCTCTCTCTCTCTCTCTCTCCAGATATCGACATAGGTGAGTGGCAGGAGCAGACTGACAGCAGTAAGCTGAGAGACCTCAACTACACGGTGGCCCTCAACTACTCCTTCGGTCCCAAGTTCTCACCCACCACAGAGCACCAGGTCTACTCCAGCTCTGGCCAGCCGGGACTCAAACACCTCGTCCACACTGAGGTCTGTACCACCTCCAGCTCCAGCTACATACATACGTAGGGCTCTGATGCATATTGCCCGTATTTTCTATGCTTTTGGTGCACACACGGAATGCATAACGGGGGTATATACATACTATACTGGTCTGCCTCACCTGCAACTGTCTGGGAACTGGACTAGGTGATGAACCGGAACATTCCGTACGCGGAGACGTTCTTTGTGTCGTGTCAGTACTGCATGACTCGAGTGGCCCACGACAAGATGAGGCTGAGGATCACTGCCAACATCAACTACCGGAAGAGCTGCTGGGGAGTTGTCAAGAGTGAGCCTGTCTTGCCTCTCGTTCCGTGCGAGAGCGAGAGGTCATTTATTACTCTGCAGATCTCATTGAAAAAAATGCTGGTGATGGACTGCGCTCTTATTACAACCATCTCGGTAAGCCACTTGCTGCACAAGCTCATCTGTACAACTAATTCAAGCCACCACAACATTGTAGTGTGAAAGAAAGACAAACCTTTCGTTTTCTCCACAAAATTTGTGACCAATGGTCTGGTACACTATTTTACCAGCAATCTGGAAGTTTTAATCCATCATGTTTCCATTGTATTCATACGTATGTGGTGCACATGTTTTCCTGGATCTAGCCTGAAGCCGCATCTGTTTCTGAGTCCAACAGTAGCCACGTGTAACTGGTTCGTCTCTGTAGCCCAGGGCACAGAATACATAGGTCACTCCTGGGGGTTTTGTGTCGTCTGCCAGTGAAGCAGGCAGTTGGGAGCTGCTGCAGGAAAACCTGTCAGCAGCTGTGTCCACAAGCCACTGTGTGCACCAATTTGAAACCTTCACCTTCCCCTTCCTTTGTGTCTCTCTCCAGACAGCTTCTTGAAGGAGCACCTGGCCTCCCACCCTGCCCACTGCCGCACCAAACACCGTCGCAAACGTCAGAGACATGGCCCTAGACTCAGACACAGGAAGACGGCCCAGCCTGCCCCCTCTCCTCCCTCCCCCACCCACCACCAGCCAACAGTTAGTCTTCTCTCTCTAACTCCCCTCTACCTATTCCATAGCAAACACCCCAGTGCTTTATGTGCACCCTACACTGTTCATATACATAGAGTCACTTCGGAGGTTGATGTTACGATTGTTTAATTATACACAAGCACGAACGAAGAGATTATACAAGGCCTGGTCACTAGCATTATAGCTGTACAGGACCCTCTTCTGTTGCATACTCTCATTTTAACGGTACTTTTGGTACTAGAAAACATTTTTTGGTGTGTTTATGGTAATTTTGCCAGCGTGAAAGTCCACCTCCGTCGCTGCCCTCCTCTCCCCTGAGCCCCCTCCAACCTACCCACCCCAGCACCGCAACCCTTCACTCTCTCCAACTGAATGGCTCCACACCCACTGAACCTGGTACACACACACTACCTGTACTGTGTGTGTGTGTGTGTGTGTGTGTGTGTATGCGCGCTTTGATTTGAGATACGTACCACACAGCAGTTTTAGTTCACGTTTCATTTGCCAAGTTTATATCCATGTGCATCCGTGAGCCCACAAGCAATAGTTTAAGTGTGTACGCAGGTAGTTGCCTTGCCTTGCCTTGCCTTGTTGACACAATGAAGACACTATAAGTGAGCATGCACCTTAATCGTTAGACAAGTGTGTACGTATAATGGGCAGTGGTTGTGTCTATTTGAGTTGCTGTTTGTTTTCAGAGGGCCATCAACTATCACTTCCTGCAAAATCAGACAAAAGGTACATACATACATAATTGATTTGCCGGTAATGACTGTGATTATACGCAACACATCTTTTCCACAGATCGACCTTCCCCCAAGTCAACTTGGCTCTTACGCTCCTGTAAGATGTGTGCCAAAAATCATCCTCATGTATTGAAAGGAGCTGCTCGTCTTTCCCGCTCTCCCTCCATCCCTATCTTCCTCCTGTGTCCCCCCTCTCTTATCCTCTCCCTCCCTCCCTCCCTCGCTCCGGCAGGCTAGGTATCCTGATAGTGTCCAACATGGCACTCTACCATCACCTGATGAGCTACCAATCCTCCTCCTCCACCTCCTCTTCCCCTTCCAGACCTCTACCAGTAGACCCTCTCACTGAGCAGTCAGTAGTGCACCTCTATATACCTACAGTTCTGTTCATGTCACTCGAGCTATATACCAAACTTTACACACATCATGTGTACTGACAAATTAAGGACATCACATGCTGGCTTCTACAGCAAATACGGACATGCTCGTACTCTCTGCTGTGTAGTGGGAACACATATGGCATATTGCCAGCCACTGCTGGCCATAACACCCACATACAATTATGATTAATAGTAGTGTGGGAGACTTACTGATGCCCAACATTGAATACACCTAGTAACACTATCCCCTTTAAGGAAGACCTGTATGGCTAGAGACTAGGTGTGTCGTTTGAGGGAGCATTATTCATGTACAGTGGAGTCTCATTATAAAGAACACACTTAGTATGAAATTCTGGATACTACAAACACACCCTCGGAGCCTAGCCCCATAGAACACTGTACATTTTCTCCACACTTATGACAAATCCCCCTTACCGTGAACAAATTCTTTAGGTCCCCAGCAATTCATTATAACGAGACTCCACTGTACATTATTGCATGACATTTCTCACTTGGAATGGATGAGCCCAGGGATGAAGGTCCATTCACACTAATACACCTTGAGTCCAGTCTGAGTTCAGTCCAGATTTACCTCTATAATTATGTACTTGCATGCATAGGGTTCAATTCTGTACAATGAATGTATATACTGTGTGCTTAGTATCATAGTAGAGGTCACATGGAAACAGAAATGGACTCTTTATGTGACGGACAGTCTTGGGTTAAGTACAGTAGAAAGAGTGTGGAAGGTGGTGGTGATGGTGTGTGATGTGTGTCCCTGTGTGTAGTGTGGAGTGGCCTACCAGTGACCAGGAGTGGATAGCCCTCACGCGGAGACACCTGGAGAGCCACGAGGCTGACAGGCAGCAGTGGCTGGACACACTCGCTGCCATCGTCACCACACTCGATCAGGTATATATACATGTCTGAGTAGCGACAGAGTTTCAGGTTAGGGCACGTTATTTTTGCCGACCAACAGATTTGCAGATGGTGATTCACACTGCTGTCATGTATAGTACAATGAAGCATAATTATTGAGACCAAAAATTAACACTGTGTGTGTGGGGAAAATTTTAGGTGGGGGGCAAAAAGGCTCTTCCCTAATTCAGCCCTACAAGGGAACACTGATGTTTAAATCCCTTGCTGTTTTGATGTCTGTTAGTGCTGCCTTGGTTACAGCCACCACATTACTCTAACCATTGAGTGTAATTTTCTGATGACATGTTTGTGCTCTAAGCAGATGTCCACAGCTGGGCACATACTCAGTTTACTTCCCTATCCCTTTTGACTTCCACCCACACACTCTTCCCACCACACAAACCAGGCTGGAACTTCCCTGGACACAGCCAAGAGAATGCTGACGGAGAAGATGCAGTTCAGTGACAAGCAATTCCCCCACTCTCGACCTCCTCCCTCCTCCCCTTCCTCTCATAGAGACAAGACACAGACTGCACAGCACGCCCACAGCCAGACTAAAACAGGGAATGTGATATAGCAGCAATTATCAGGCTGTGTGTGTGCCAACTATATTAATTTTTGTGTGCTTTAGTTCGTGTCACAACTATTACGTAATGTATCGTAACCTGATCTATTGCGCATGCGCAAGGTCGCGCTTAGTCGCGTCGACAACGACCGCACCGGATGATCCCCTCGCCCGATCCTGTTGTTGCGCACGGATTTAGTTTTTTCTCCAAAGAAACAAGACAAGATGCTCACTCCTTCAACCATCGTTTTGCTGACGCTCTCAGCTCTCCTGCCGGGGGTAGTCCACGCACGTTCCAACGGTGCACCTTTAGCTGCATGCGACAGGATATTCCCAGAAGGCCACGGCGTCGCTTCGCAGCCACTTGAAGACAGCCCATTCTCTCTAAACGTATCTTCCTTCGGCGGCGACTACATTCCCGGGGAGGCGTACCAGTGTAAGAATGCAGTGATCCCGCACAGTACTGTGTAGCTAGCTAAAGGTTTTGCATAGCTGATTTCCAAGCACTGCATCTACATTGATCGCCCGCACAACTGTATGTCTTTTTGCAGTGACACTCTCGGGCAGTGGGGATTTCCGTGGACTGCTGGTCCAGGCTCGCTCGATTGCTGACAACTCCCCAGTTGGCTCGTTTGAGGATATCAGTGATTTGACCAGACTCAGCAGCTGCAATAGACCAGATGTATGTATCTCTTTCTCTGTGCACACTCAACAGACTAATAAATTCATCATTCTCCTCCTTAGTCTGCCATTACTCATTCAAGCAGGGCGGAAAAGACCAGTGTTGAACTTTCATTCACGGCTCCACCTGCTGGCACTGGGCCTTTTCGTTTTCAGTGAGTCTCTCCAGATGTGTTCACCAATCAATTGACTTTTTAGTTTGTTTTTAGTGCCATACATGTATGTCTTCTGCTAATACATAGTGCCCACTTCACATTAGCTTCTCCTTAGAGGAAGTTTGAAGTTACGTAACCCCCTCTGCAGCAATATTTTATCTGAGTCAACAGTTTGTCTTCTGTAGGGAACGTTTCTGAGCCAAAGCCAAACAAGTACAGTGCTTTTACCACAAATACTGATCCTCCCCTTTCCCTCTTAGTAGTGCCACTTTTTTTAATGCATGCTAACATTTTATATAGCAGGCAAAAGTTGGTGTATTGTTGATATGTAGGTATGCGGTGGTGGATACATTTACTGTGTTCTATGCTCCAATCATGTCTGACATTATTGAAGAAGCCATTGTAGAAGAAGGTAAGAACCAATATGATTTGGTAATTGTGGGGTGGATGAGTTTGATGGACCCAAAACATTTCCCTTAGCATTGGTCTGCGTAACTGGCAATTAATAATAGAGCGTTGGTTCCTCTTTGGAACATGCATGCTTAGCTAACACTAGGTTCAAAAGGAGACTACAAAAACCAAGCATCTACCATGCCGTGGAAAATTCTCTTCCTTATATCGTAACCTATTGCTATTACAGTAGTGGAATGGACTCTTATTCTGCAGGCCATGCATGCTCTGCATGATCGAATGTCTCTCTGTTTTATTCGGGCGATAAATCCCGATCAAGTCAGGTAGTTCGTGCTCTAACTCATAAGTGAGGGTTTTAATGCTATACATACACGCCAAGTTTCAAGGTTGCAACCTTGAGGGCAGCTTTCTCTATCAAATCACGAGGGTTTGAGTACCTGATTTCTTCATTTTGTTGCATGCAATATTTAACCTTCCCATTCCTCGTCCTCCACTCCAGAGCCAATTGAGCTGTACTTCACCGGAGATACTCCGATGGTGACTGGTAACGACATTACGGCACAGATATATGTCTCTCGACCAATACCTCTCCTGTGTCAACTCATCACTCGTGGTACCCCACAAATGCCAGTAGTCACTTCCGAACAAAACTGTGAGCATTGGTTATGAAATACACACTACATATATACTCCATGTGTAATATGCAGCCATAACCTCCCAAGAGCTTTTGCTGTGTGTGTTGAAGTTTACCGTTACTTGCAGATACTTGTACTCGTGTTGTTACTAGTAGTGTTAACGGTTTTGCCCGTGCATCCCTGTGTGTGTGTGCCATCTACACAGGCACAAGTGGGGAGGTGGCATTCGTCAACGTGTTGAGTGGAGAGCACCGAGTGAGGGTCATAGCCGGGGACCAGGATGCCGTTATCCGCAGCCGTGTCATCGTCATGCCAGACAGTCCCGACTTCTGCTCCCTCAACGCCATCAACAGAGGAGTCACAAAATACCTTGGCCCCGACGGAGCTGTTGCCAACTACACCATCGAGTGGCGGCCAATCGGAGTGGACGCCGGGTTCCTCTGCACTGTCGGGGACTCTGGAGTGGCAGAGAAATGTAATGCTGTTTTAGTATACCTGTGAACCTTGCGTCCTGGGGCCGAGGAGACTATACTTGTGTACCATTCTTGCTGTTGTTACTATCTTCTCTGTCAATTCCTTAGGTAGCAGTCCGTACACATTTGTGGCTGGGGATGGGGTGACGAGGGTAAAGGTCCTCCCTAATCCTCCCACATGTGAAGGCAGACGCAGGCCTCTTGTCTTCAGACTGGACTAAGCAACTTTCAAAGTTTTAAGACTGAATTGTCATAGTCCATCCATAGCTCTTCATTACTAATAATTATAATTCGTGCATGTGTATAGCTATCCTATGGTCTTTGGTGGCAAAATCATGGGCATCGGTGAAATCATGAACTGACCCCCTCGGTGCTCGGACAGCAGACAGCCGAGCCAATCTTTATGCGCATGCGTATATCGTAGTGCGCGTGCGGAGTCTTATTATACTGCGACTGACTTTTGGCAGAGTCCCATTGCTTAATTACATTGCCGTGACCCTATAAAAGAAGAGCCTGCTTGCATGCAAGTGCACATGCACCAAGGTTGCAGCAGATTTGCAAAAGTGAAGAATGGGAAAAATCACCCAATATTTGATCCTGTGTGCAGTCCAGGCACTGTGCACTGTGTCTGCAGTCAATGGGAATGGAGAAATATGCCCTATTGAAGCTCAGGGAGACGTTAAACTGGTTGGTGGACCAGATGGTAACACTGGTTTTCTGGAGGTGTGCAGTGGAGCTATAGTCGTTCGAGTGTGTTTTGATACCTTTGGTGCCAATTCGGCAGAGTTTGTGTGCCAGGAACTGAATATTGAAGCACCTACAGGAACAAGTATGTCTTTATGTGTATTTTCTTATGTTATGCTACTTAAATAATTCGGTTTGCAGTGATTCCTACGGCACACATTGCACCTGGGTCTGAGATGGTGGGCCGTGCGGACTATACTTGCATTCAAGGCAGTGATTTCGACAATTGCTTCACACCTACCACTGATGCCGAAACCTGTCTCCCGGTATCAATAAGTTGTCTGGGTACGTCAACTGTAGCGACCATTCACGCTACTCTCTGTCGTGTCTCTGTGTGTTAATGCTCTCCAGCAGATTCCAACTTTTAAAGCAGCCAACCTGTAGATAATTATAGCTACCTGCCGTCCAGGTTTCACAGAAGTCGGTAAAGAGTGTCCATCCCCTGTATTATTTGAGGGGATGGTAAAAGAAAAATCCTATTTTAATTGCTTAAAATAAAGACCCGTGAAAAGGAAAGCTGTAGTCAATCAATGGCCACTGGTTAAATGTCAAGATAGTATTATGTTTATACAGGAGACACCAACATCGTTAGCTGTGAAGAAGGTGTCAAATGTGTTAATGGGGAATGTATGAATACTGCTGAAGGTTTCGAATGCATCTGTGATGATGGATTCACTCCCGTTCCCGTTGACCCTACTGATTGTAGAGGTTTGAATTATTTTACAAAGTGTGCTTGTTCTTTATCTTTCTTTTAACAACACAGACATTGATGAATGTGTAGAAGAAAATAAAATGGACCAGTGTGCGCCAAATGGAAAGTGTCGTGATGATGAAGGGACCTACACTTGTGTTTGTGATGTCGGCTTTAAGCTAACTGCAGATGGAACAACATGCGAAGGTTAATGACCAAACTCTTTGAAGCTATATACCAGTTGTCAACTGTCATATACATGTAAATGCAGTTGAATGTGAGAATGGGGTTGACAGTACGTCATGTCCTGAGGGTGAGAGCTGTGTGGAAAATGAGGATGGGATCTTCACTTGTGAAGCTGATCGCAAGACTGGGACTCGCAAGCGTGGCTCCAAAAAGGGAAAAAGCAAGAGCCGTCGCAACTGATCGATAGGCAGACAACTGACAGCCAAATTTCTTCGCTGGCTGCACTAACTCCTTAGATTAGCCATGGATATTTGTGCAAACTCTTGTGCTGTATGATGTAGCTGACTAGAGTAGCTATATACTTTGATCATGATTCTGTAGCAGATGTGAAACAATTTATTATCATAAGAAACTCTTACACATTAATACACCCTGCGCACCTAAGACGTGGCTCATGGATATAAGACAGAGAAATAATTGATAGACTGCCCCTTACAGCCTGTTATTATTCCTATGATTATAGTCATAAAATCTGAAACAGGTCCATATGGGTTTTAATCGTCAGGGCATCGTTGCACCGATGTCACAGAGATAGCAGGACAACACCAGACAACTGACGACTCTTTCTCGTGAAAGGCTCAAGCCCTCACAACTAATCATTCCATTTACGAAGACCAAAGCTGTCATACAGGTCACATGCCAGACACACTTAGAGGGTAAACAGCGCCAAAATAAGCTACAAAACTCCATGATGAAGTTAAAACAACCATCGTTGCACCGATGTCACAGAGATAGCAGGACAACACCAGACAACTGACGACTCTTTCTCGTGAAAGGCTCAAGCCCTCACAACTAATCAATCCATTTACGAAGACCAAAGCTGTCATACAGGTCACATGCCAGACACACTTAGAGGGTAAACAGCGCCAAAATAAGCTACAAAACTACATGATGAACATGGGACAGGCCTCAATGAAATTCTCAGACTTATCCCACCGTTATGCATGAGACCAGTAATACATACCCACTCCAAAACGTACTCGACTTATATAGGATCAAACACTGTTAAAGCTTGTTTTTTTGGGGTCTTTGGCACTGCCATTCCTAAATCAGCAAACTTTAGTAGGTTAGAGATGGACATTAATTTTGTGCAAACACTTCTGCTGTTTGTTGTTGGTCATGTTTGAGTTGATATAAATCCGTTGAGACTGTGACCAGGCCGTTGCATTTGCACGTACATGAATGACTGCAGAAAAGAGAGGGCCTGAATTCGAGAAAGAGAAATGCATAGGAATACAATAAGCTGAACACAGAGCACAGAGCGAAGGGAGAGGAAGGAAGAGGGAGAGATAGGGAAAAGAGAAAATCTATTAGTTATATCTCTCATGTCTTATGTCTCCCTATTCCTTATGTATTATTATACCACATGGTACATAACGAATATACGGAGACATGACACTTTTGACCAGCGGCATGGGGAGAAGAATCCATAATGCATGATACAGAGATGTATCATCCATTATGAATTCCTCTCCCATAACCACTGGACAAAAAGAGTGGTCACATACCTGACACACCTAATGATCATAATAGGTGTGTGTACTCATGAGCCATATGGAAGAGGAACATTGTGGGTGGATGCACAGGACCTCAATGTTAAAGTTTGCTGCCAGCCTCACTGTTAGCATTGAATAAGATTCTCAAACCTTTCCCATGCCATTTGTATACATGGTGTGCCAAATAATAAGTACCCACCTCTCCAAAATTAACAACCTGGTCTTGATACGGCAACCGTCATTTAGTGGATCGCAGATTTTTGGGAGCACTGTGACTGTCATGAACCCTCGTCTCACCAACTGCAACTTTAAAGGGGCAGCTTGTGGGATGGCATTTAAGCAAAAGCCATGGACATCCTGTCACGGAATTTATGCTAAATCCTAATGGTGCTGAATGCTGTCTCTTGCATGACTGCTCAACCCTGTATTTTATGGTGGACATACCCAAGAGTTTTGCAATGTTTGACAGTGTGTGTTACTGGAGTTGATGCAACTGTCAGCAAAGGATGCTGCAACATTCCTTCTCTTGGATTATTCAAATAGCCATTAACGCGCACACATGGACGTGCCTTATGCAAAACAGCCCACAAAACGATAATTGACCACAGGTCAAAGAAGGTCACACAGGTCACAATTTAGTGGTCGTAAGTACTAAGGGACAAGTATGCCACACAATAATGTGATGGGTCAGTGACAGTCAGGCTGTCAATAAGATTCTCAGACTACTTGTATGGGAACGATGATACCCACCCATCTTTTACCCAATAGCACCCTACCTTTCATGATTATACAGCCATGCCGCTACATTCTTGTGCCTATCAATATCTTCCGCAACTCCGCAACCACAGGTCAAAGAGTTGTCACACAGGACAATAAGTAGCTATTCAGGGTCCAGTAGGCCACAAAAAGATGTGTTTGGCAAGTGACAGCCTGGCTGTGAGTATGATTCTCAGACTCTTTGGTAATGGTATGAATGATACTCAACTGTATATGTGCATGCATTTCACCATGACTATGCAGCTATTCTTGCATCTGTCAATATCCTCCCTGAGTGTAAAGATGACTGTATGTGTCCCAGACACATGCACCAGAAAGTGGGCGAAAAACCTGTGTCAGCCTCACACAAATGGGTTTCATATATAGCTCCAAGGAAAGTGGGTCCAAACAAACCACTGCAGGGAATGACATATCCACGTTTTACAGGCGTGTATGCAACCATTTCCCGATACATTATTATAGTATTTTATAAACGTCAGCAGTCATAGACAAAGTGCCACGTCTATAGATGCTGTATAATATGCTCTTCACTTCACTTCACTTCCCATCAGTAAGTAGCTAAGAGGATGGCAAACAACTGCCCTGACTGGGCTATCACTACTGTGGGAAATTCATTTGTAAGGAAGGACAGTAAATCTGGTTGTCACAACACTTCTTATACGATACGTATGGTTTGCCATGTAGGATAAGCTTCGTATAAGAATGCTTGCTATCATGGGCCATTTGTCTTCTTTATTTAATTTGCATTATACAATGTTGATGTTGTGTTTGCTATCATATACATGTAGGATAACCTTTGTTTGAGAATGCGTGCTATGAAAGGTTGTCAATTGTGTGGTTTGGCTTCATTACACTCTCAAACGCATTAAGAACTTGGCAAAGCTAGTATGTCTACAGAGACACTTAGTGGGAACAGGGTTCAGCGGCTCGCGTCCTTTCCATTCACACTGTAAGTGGTGATTCATTTAGTGGCTGTGTTTTGGACCAGCTTCCTTTGCGGATTGGGCTATTGGCAGTGAGAAACATTATTCACTTGACAAAAGGTTGTTGTTCGCTCTAAGATGGAGAGTGTGAAGAGAACAATGTGTCTCAGAGAGCTATGTGTACAAGACAGTGTTAGCTACTGGTAAGCACGACACTATGTGACGCTGTGTGAAACGAAAGAGTGAGTAAATTTCCAGTCAAAAAACCAATCATTACTGTGAAATACAAATAACTAAAATGTATGTGTTGGCAGTCACAAAGAGCTGGCCAATAATTATAGCTCATTGCATCTGCACTGAGCCCAGATGTTGCTATTGATTTGGAAGTAACTTTAAGAGAAACAGACTGGACCAGCGTTGAAAGCCTCTGCTCTCTGATCTGAGTCCACCGATATCCCTCTCACTGGTAGAATGGCAACACTGCTCTCTCTGTTGCTGATGTCTTCCTGAGTTACCTCCAGAACCACTGGACATTCACCGGGCTGAGAGAAAAGGGGAATAGTACATACAGCTACTCATGCATTTGGCAGACATAGACAGTACAAGGACTATGTACAATGCACCCTGAGCAATGGGTGGGAAGTGCATATATAACTGCTGGCATGGATAGCTTTCTTCAGAGTAATATCCTAAACCTTTTTTTATCTGGCTACAGCTAAAAGCTTGCATCATACTCAGATGCTGTTTATTGCAGTGGTGTAGATAGCTATGGCGTAGACCGAAATGCATCAAGGAGAAGAAAGCTCACCAGTGAGACCATTCTGATTGTCTTGTCTCCATAACTGAGAGTGCCGCCATTGACTCCCTGCAGTTTCATCTCCATGAACCCATTGGCTCCACTGTCACAGGTGTAGGTGATGTTCTGTCTGACATGGCTGTGCCTTAGACGCAGGAGACGCAGTGGAACTACCCCCTCTGGGTACACAAACTACACACAAGAGAGTATAATACACCAGTCACACAAAACAAGAAGAAACATGTGGTATATAACTACCATAGATTCATATACACAGTGCTATTCAGCCGTGAGTATAGCTATCATGATCATGTACATTATTATACCTGACTGTTGCTCTGTTTACGAGGTGTCAAGCAGGTCTCTGGTCCCTTGCAAAACACCCTGATGGCATCCTTTGGTGAGCCCTCGTTTGGATCAATCCAGTAGTGCCCTACACAAGAACAGTCGTTTGCTTGCTGCCAACACAAAGTGTTTTGTGGACTCACCGGCACTGAACTGGTCTCCATGACAGAGAGAAATGTCGAGGCAAGAGATGGCCGGGTTCTCACGGGTCCCCAGAGGAGCCAGCATCTTCTCCAGGTCCTTGATCATGGCCGCTCCTACCACCTCTGCGTCAAAGTCTGAGGGAACCTGCAGCAGCAGAGAGAATGAAGTTGATCACTTTCAGTGTGTGTGTGTGTGCGTGTGTCAGCATGTATGTGTGTGTGGGTGTCTATGTATGTGTGGGTGGGTGCGCAAGTGTGTGCATACATGTGTGTGTGTCCTTGCATTTGTATGTGCGAGTGTGTGTGGTGTGTGCTCGTGTGTGCTCGTGTGTGTGTGTGACTGTATTATGTGTGTATGTGTGCTGACATCAATCTGAGTGAGATCCTGCTCCAGCTGGGTAGAGTAGAACTGTCTCACTGGGGGTCCAGCAGTCTTGGACTCTGGTTCCTCCAATCCTGGAGGACCAGGGGGACCTGGGGGACCCATGTCACCCTACGTAGTGGTAGGGAGAGGGAACCAGTTAATATGTAGGTAGCTAATAGTACCGAGCATTTGCACCAAGAGATTCCTACATTCAAGTTCCTCAGATTGGGTTCACAGTAAAGTATTGCGGGGACATTAACTTACTTGCATTCCAGTTGGTCCTTTCGGTCCTCTGGGTCCCTGAGAGATGGGGTTAAAAGGTGGTTACCGAAGTGACTGCATTTGTGAGAAGGCAACAATGCACACACCTGAGGTCCCTCTGGTCCTTCAGATCCATCTATCCATCTCCTCCAGCTATGCCAGGCAGTCCCTTCTTTCCCTGTACACATACCGTAATATTCGACAAGTATACACACAAGCAGAAAGAAAAAGTTACTCACATCTGGTCCTTGGACACCAACAGGTCCAGGCATTCCTGGGATACCTTTTGCTCCCTGGAGAGATTCAACAGAACAGCTGATACAATGGAGTACAGGGACTAGTCAAGGCCACCAACCTGAGTTCCAGGAGGACCAGCTATTCCCTGCTCTCCCTTTTCCCCTTTCTCTCCCACTTCTCCAGGGAGACCAGACTCTCCCTCATCTCCAGAGGGCCCTGTCTGGCCTGAGGGACCAGTGTCTCCTGGTGGTCCTGCTGGACCAGACAGTCCTACATCACCCTACAGAGACAAAATACACATGCTCTCAGTAGCTTATGTCTGGGGTAAGGCCAAGATCAGTGCACCAATCCTTTTCCCAAGGTATATCATAGGAGAAAGAGAAGGGAACAATGACTAACATCCATTCCCTGAGGCCCAGGTGGTCCCCTCTGTCCAGAAGGTCCAGCAGGTCCAGGTGCTCCATCTTTTCCAGGCACACCCACTACTCCAGGTGGTCCTTTATCACCCTGCACACATGGGAGTTGTTTATAAGTACATGGATGAATGAGCAGGAGAAATAGTGCGCCAGAGGTGTTACCAGTGGTAACATACACTGGCAAATGTAGCCACCAACAAACGTCGTAGCAGGATTGTTGCATTGACAAGTATAGTTTGGTGTATCAATAGAGGTGCTAGACAGATTCACCGGTGGTCCTGTTGTTCCTGCTGGTCCAGTGGTACCTGGAGCTCCTTCATCACCCTGTATTACATAAAACCAAAGCATGATTCTCAGTTAATGTAAGACTCAATGTCATTTGTGAGGTGTGAGGTCACCATCAACTCACATCTGGTCCGTCGTTACCATCTTCACCAAGGGCACCGAACATCCCCGGTGCACCAGCATCACCAGACTCTCCCTGCATACCCTGACTGCCTCTCTCTCCTGGCGCTCCCACACTGCCCTTTGAACCCTCGTCACCGGGTGTGCCATCAGGGCCGTGAAGCCCCGTGGCTCCCTTGGCTCCAGCTGGACCAGGACTACCAGGTCCACCAGGGAGACCCTGCCATTGATAGAGTAAAAAAACAGATACTGTAGAGCCTATACCAAAGTTTAACCTCTTGGCAATACACTTGTGAGCACAACAAGTAAAAATCTATGCACAGTGTTTGTAAGGTTGATTTGTACTTGATGTGTTCACATACATACATGGTTGTAGTTTGGCGGGTTAGATTGCTAATTATATTATGCCTACCTGAGGACCATCGGTACCGGGATCACCAGGATTGCCGTCTCTTCCGTCGATTCCATTGGGGCCATTTGGACCACGACCTCCACTTGGGCCCCTGGCTCCTGGTGGGCCCTTTGGACCCACATTACCCGCCCTTCCTGGGTTCCCAACATCTCCCTCTCACCCTGAAGACAGTGGTGTTAGATACAAACAATATGTCAGATCACTTTGAAACATACAGAGTATGGTCGTACGATATATAATTCTACGTTGAAAATGTGGTCCATCCAACACATCAGCAAACATGCGTTATCATACCGGTGCTCCAACTGGTCCCTTGTCTCCCCTCATACCCTGACCTCCGACCGCACCCTGCAGGTGATCGAGATAGACAGAGAGAAACTCAACATTGGCCACAGCTGACTAGCCATACTCACAGGAGGACCGACTGGTCCAGATGCTCCAGTGGCTCCATGAGAACCCTTCTCTCCCTTGATTCCCTGGACTCCTGGAGTTCCTGCCGGCCCTGGTGCTCCCGCTGATCCCTGATAGAACAATAATTGAATCACTGCTGACTACACAATAGGCCTACTCAGACTAGTAAGTACACCAATTAAGCTGCAAAGATCTGTGATAGGATGTGCTGTTGATGTATGTCTCACTTGTTCTCCACGTCGTCCGTTCTCTCCCTTGGGACCAAGGAATCCTCCTGGTCCCTTCCCTCCTGGAGAACCAATTGGTCCTGGCTCTCCAGTAGGTCCAATATCACCCTACACAAAGCGGCATAATACAACATTGATCAAGAATGGTAAATTACTATTCCAGAGGGTGCTGGTGGTTGATTAAATGCTGGGAGACTCAGCATAGGCTATTCTCGTTGCCTCAGGGTGATTTTAACCCACACCCATCAGCTGCTGAGGTAACTCTTCCTAAACTGATTGTCTCAGTATATGTATATACCCTCTGTCCAGGTCCACCAGGAGGTCCTGGAGGTCCAGCCTGTCCGATGGGACCACTGGGTCCAATGTCTCCCTCTGGACCATTCTCTCCCACCTGTCCTACTGCTCCCTTCCTTCCCTGGGACCCTGGTCTGCCTGGCGAACCGGGAGGTCCACGCTCACCCTACAGTGAGTTAGTGATTGAGAAAGAGAGAGAAACCATGGCTCATCAAGAATCTTCAAGATTATAACTAGTTTGATACTATAGGGTTTTAATTTGCATTGTACATGTACCTGTGGTCCAAAGAGGCCAGCTTGTCCCTGCATGCCTTTGGTTCCTCTGAATCCAGGAGGACCTGATGGGCCGAGCTGTCCTGTTAGTCCAACTTCCCCCTTTGGACCCTGCAGATATCACAACAGCAGACAAACAGTTTATGAACCTGTAGAGTGTTATGATGAGACCGGGGAGGAACGATACTGCTGGTCCTCTCTGTCCCTTAGCTCCAGCAGGTCCAGGATCTCCCACCTCACCAGGCTGCCCGTCTGCTCCCCTGCGACCTGACTTGCCCGCTATCCCTGCTTCTCCCTTCTGACCTGCATCTCCTGGTTCACCCACAGCACCCTACATTGGTGGTTGTCAGTCGCATATATGAGCATCAATGCAGCTCATAAAGGAGCATGAGTTGCTGGCAGATGCATGAATCGTGGAAGTTTTTGTTAGGACATGCCGCTTTGTCGAACCATTGCCCCCCAAAATAAGGTTTGTGCCCATTTTACACAATCAAACTTTCTTGCGTGAGACAAAGTTGCATATGCTTGAATGATGGTCCACACAACATGTCACAGGCTGCATGGCATAGTTGTATGCAACATTGTCTCAAGAAACAAGTTGCATCGTGTACCATGTCCTTTACAGTCATCTCACTTGTGGCCCAAGAGCTCCCTTTGCGCCACGAGCTCCCTCTCTGCCGTGCGCTCCGTTTGGTCCCTTTGGTCCACTGGGTCCTGGTGGTCCTCGCGGTCCTTGCTCTCCTGAGGCACCCTGAAGTCCTGCATGACCTTTCTGACCTCTGGCACCGTGTGGACCCTTCGAAAAAAGAAGTTTTTTTGCTGAAACAGTGTCAAAACACCAGCCAAGGTGCATGCCTATAATTTACTGCGTACAGTGATTTATAAGCAAACACTGTCATTGATAACCATTAGCAGTGGTACTCACTGTGGGACCATCACTGCCAGGGATTCCAGGTGTTCCTTCATCTCCAGCAGGACCAGGGGATCCAGCTGGCCCAGGGTTACCAGCAGAACCTGTCACACCCACTGAGCCTTGAGGTCCTGGGAACCCAGGAGGACCTTTCTGACCGGCTGGACCCTGCATGATTAGCATCAAATTGATAACCACAGATCTGAGGTATTAACAGTAAAGAGGTATGAGGTACAGCATTGACTTACAACAGCACCATCTTCTCCAGGATCTCCAGTTGAGCCGGGGAAACCAGGTGATCCCTGTAGTAATTAGAACATAATCAATCACATTGGGTTTTCGTTGTGTGTCATGATTCCCACCCTTCGTCCTGGGAATCCTCTTGCTCCCGGTGCACCGTCCTCTCCACTGGCCCCGGAGGGTCCGATATCTCCAAGCTCTCCATTCTCCCCGGGATCTCCAGTGAATCCACTTCGTCCTGGCTGCCCATTGGCACCTGGAATACCTCGAGCTCCCTGCAACGTTCACAAGAGAGAAACACAAGTGGCCAGTATATGTTTCAACAATTGTCTTACCCTATCCTGTATATACCACACTACAAATTCACTGTCCTCTAACAGCTACCCTTGCCTATCTCCACTGTACTTGACACGCTAATGGAAATATGTGTTTCAAAATTAGCTATGTTTGAGTATTTACCCCAGCACCGGCAGGTCCCGCAGCTCCTGCTGCTCCAGCTGGACCTCTCAGTCCCTTTGGTCCATTCACTCCTGGGTGCCCCGTCTCTCCTTTCACTCCCCTCTCACCCTTCAATTAATGATTGTCATGACAATTTCAGATGCAGGCTGCTAGGTACTCTGTCATCATTATATGCAGCAAACCTTTTGTCCATCTGCTCCTTTGGCAGCCTTGCTTCCTGGTTGACCTGGGTTACCCTGCTCACCATTGAGACCTGGTGCACCATCATCTCCTTGTCTTCCCTACAGAAACACCGATCCAAGACTGTATTCAACTGATTGTGATGCTTCAGAAAACCGCCATCTGTATGTATATAGATATGAGTTTCACCTGTTCTCCTGGTCTTCCTGGAGGTCCCCTCTCTCCCCTGGGACCTGCAGATCCTAGGAGACCAGCTGCACCCTTGTCTCCCAGGCTACCATCTGAGCCCTATGCATCAAATCAAAATGGTATGGCGTGTAAGGTGTTGAGCTAATAGGCCATACATGGGCTCCGTCTAATCCTCTGTCTCCTGGCTCCCCATCTGTTCCAGGTGGTCCAGGTGGTCCTTTGCGGCCGACAGGACCACTCTCTCCCAGCTCTCCCTACACACCACACCATACACAGATGAGAATATGCGTCACCTCAACTATAATGGCTTAATAGTTACACATAATGTTCATGGCACACTGGGTGAGTAGATAGAAAGAGACTCACGGGGTCTCCCTGCATTCCCTGTGTACCCTGAGGTCCATCAGGTCCCCTCTCTCCCTGGGCTCCCAGAGTGCCTACTGGTCCTGTTACACCTGGTGGACCCTGCAAAGAGATGCAAAAAAGCTATGATGTTTGAATCTCATTAAATCACTCCTTCACGTCTTTTCTAAACCAAAGCTTGCGGGACACGAGTATGTTTAGATTAATGCTCTATTCCCTTACAACTGCTCCACTGTTTCCAGGTGCTCCACGCTGCCCGGCTGGTCCAGGGTGTCCCTGTGAAATACAACAGGGGGGCAAGACTTAATGATTACTGCAAGAAGTGCAGAGCTCACAGCTGGTCCCTGGATTCCTGGTGGACCCTGAGCGCCTGGTTCTCCACTGCTGCCTGGTTCCCCTGTCAGTCCAGCTGGTCCGGGTCTCCCTGATTCTCCCAGGTTCCCCTGTGACCCAGCTTGGCCTGGGACTCCCATAGGTCCAGGAGGACCCTACACCAACACCACAAAATAGGATATGAAACGAGCACACTACACTGTGGAAACTATACCTTTGGTCCCCTCTCTCCGACAGGGCCAGGGAATCCCTGCTCCCCAGATTGACCACGTGGACCTGGTGCTCCAGACTTCCCCTGCGGCCCCTTCAGCCCACTGAAACCTTTTGGACCAACTTCTCCCTTAGCTCCGGCGGGACCTTTGGGACCTTTGACTCCAACAATCCCAGGTACTCCAGGATATCCCATGTACCCCATTGCTCCCTGAAACACACACACAAACAGAGCAAGTGGTGAGAGCAATCAAGTGAAGTATATTGTCATCTACCTTTGGACCTTGAGGGAACCCAATGACTCCAGGTGGCCCCACTGGGCCTTGCGGTCCAATTGAACCAGGAGGACCTGGATCGCCCTACGGATATAATACATTTCTCTTCATAACTGTGTCTAAATCAGGACCACTGTTTGATTTGAAAGCCTTTTCGAAAAGCGCATTTGGCTGTCCTGCTTAATGACTCACTGGTAATCCTGGTGGTCCATCTAAACCATCTTCACCATCAATGCCCTACAGTAGCAGGAGCAATCGTAGCCACCAATAATTAGCAATATACACCTTACAATGAATGTTTTTGTCCCCATAACAAAGGACAAAAGAGACATGCTCTGTTTACGTTTCAAACAGCAGTTGCACTTGTCTTCTCTAGTCTAAATATTCAACATTCATTTTTGGCACAGGATATCAATTCCCCCCGTTACCCAAAAACTGGGGTCAAAAGCTTACAACGTTGTTAAAACTAACTGCATGCCTAAAATGTAAATCTCCAGGCATTAAAACACCAGTATTATACAACTAGCTACTTTTTAAGGCAATATTATTTTGATGGTCCCCTGGAGTTCATACTATTGTAAAGATTATGCTAACACAGAGGTGACGTACATAAATAATGAAGCTCTTAGCGTTTACACAAACTCACATTAGATCCTGGGTCACCAGCAGGTCCTGGAGCTCCTGGCAACTGTGGAGTTTTTAATAATAAAAATGAATGCTGCCCAATAAGGTGTTTCAACTTACTAGTTCTCCGATCACTACCCCTGGTTGTCCTGGTGATCCTACTGGCCCCAATGGATCTGGAGACAAGGAGTTTTTCTTAACAAGACAAGCTAAACCCTTATAGCAGTATAAACAATACTGTGAACAGTTGCCTCTTCTCACCGGTAAGAGTCATACAGTTTATGCATCGCTCATCACCAGCCGCTACGTATGAACCTCCACCAAGACCCCTGTCACGAAGGAAGCAACACTCCGAGGGGGTGGAGACTCTCCCTAGCAGATCACCGGCACATGAGTCTCTGTCGAACTGCTCAAAGCAGAAGTACATCTGTGCTTCTGTATTTCAGAGAGATCAGTGCATGAGTTGCACCAGCTGGGGTGTTTTATCCACACAGTTTAGCATACAGTGTCACTTACGTGCTAGGGAGGAGATGAAAGTAAGGGAAAGCAGTCCCAGCACCGCTAGTTTTGAATGCATCGTACTAGCTCCTATAAAGAAAAAGGTCTATTACTCATGATGCATGCATGAATCGCATTGCAAAATAGCAAGTTACCTTGCCCGCCCTACAGCAACGTCAAAGCTGCTATCCCCGCTCGATTCTGGCTGACGTTCCTCCTTCTGCAGTCGTTGACGCAAAACACCTTGGAGCTTGCTCGTCAGTATTGGCTCCTGATCCACAGTAAGCGCGACACAATTCCGCAGCGAGCGGCGTATAATATTGCAAGTGCCGACGGGGTAGATAGCTAACTATTTCAGGCTATCTGGAAATAATAGCAGTCCAGCATTCTGCAGGGCTTAGACAATGGAGGACGGTCCTCGCCTCACTTGGCAGTAGCCCAGAGAGCTTTCATTGTCAAGACACAACGAAACAGCTCCCAACAATCTACTCTCTATGGCTTTTGTTGAAAGTCGTGGACATAACAACACGCTAATCATAACGACACAGTTGGAACGTTTTTCAATGAAACATAGATCATTGGATATCACAGAGCATTGAAAGAGATAATGTGAAAAAAGGTGAGTAAATACAAAAGCCAAAAATCCAGAGAGTAAGTATTAAAAGTGCAGAGTGAACAGTGAAGTTATTCCGTGGTGGCAGCTTCAGTTCCTTCGTCTGCCACAACCCCTTCTCCTCCTTCACCCACACCCTCTTTTTCACCTTCCCCCTCTCCCCTTTCCTCCCCTTCTCCTCCTTCACCCACACCCTCTCCATCCTCTTTTTCACCTTCCCCCTCTCCCCTTTCCTCTCCGTCTCCTCCTTCACCCACACCCTTTCCTTCCTCTTTTTCACCTTCCCCCTCTCCCCTGTCCTCCCCTTCTCCGCCTTCACCCACACCCTTTCCATCCTCTTTTTCACCTTCCCCCTCTCCCCCTTCCTCCCCTCCTTCTTCCTTCTGCGTTTCCTCTGTTACGGACTCCTCTGTGACGTTTTGTTTTGAGACAGAGACCGGAGCTGGCTCTTCTGCAGCAGCCTAAATGAATTAACATTAAAGTCAAAATAATATGGAGAATCAAATGCACTGTTGCCTCACATTATCCATTTCTTGATCCTCCTGTCTGTTATCATCACATACTGTCTGTCCTGGCTCGCTACAATCATTACACACAGGGAATAAAATAGATCTTGTCGTTTTATGCCACTCACTTTTCCACATTTGCTGTTGATTGCACGGCACCCTCTTCCTCCATATCCACATCTTTTACATCTTCACTCGGCCCACTCTCTACCACAGCTCCAGTATCTTCCACTTCAATTTTAGTCTCCTCCCCTACCTCTGTCGCACAGGACACACCTCCCTCTTCATCCCCCTCTTCTGTTGATAGACACACACTAGCTAGGGACCTCTGTCTGATATGAAGCCTTCTTTTTACCTTTGGTTGTGTGTTCATCAGCTGATGTTGAATTATCCTGGGTTTCTGCTACTACTGCTGATGGAGCTGTGTCCTCTTCTGCATTAGCTGCTGTAGTCGCTACCTGGACAGGTGTAACATCAGTATAATTATACACTTCAACTCACTGGAGTCAAACCCACTGGTTCAGTAGTTAGGGCTTGAGTGGTTTGGTTACTTGTCTCGGTAACTCCACCTGGTCATAAATGGTGTAATATTACACGCTGCACACGTCACGTGATGCCTTCTTCACCTTCTCTTTCCTGTAGCTTCTTCCTGAAGTACTGGGCGGCAAACTCCACCAGATTTTTGGGCTGTTCTCGAAGGATCTCTCTCGCCAGACCCTCCAGCAAGTGCTCGAAGCCAGGGGGGACCCTTAGCTTGTTTGCCGCGTACGAAACAGACATGGTGGTCGGTGATGGTCAATGTGCGTTATTTGGAGTATGAACATGTTGCCCCGCAACCAGCCCCGCCCACAAACGTGTTACGGGAGCGCGCCTAGCTGACTCGGCAACGATTGCGTTACGTAACTCTGAGATATTTTGCGCATGCGTAAAACCAAATCTTTGTCTTTGCTTTGTGTTTTCTGTCTTGCATTGTGTTCCGCGCCTGTGTCTGGAGACATATGGCCGCAGCCGTAGCATATCCATAGCCCCTTCCAATATTTACGCCTCCGCCTGTCCTGTTTAGTCGCCCTATCTGCATAACACTTGGTCTTTTCACTTTGCCAGCCAAGTTATTGTTTGGCAGAAGTTCATACACACAGAGCCATTGTAATCTTCGGAAATTTTTTGTGCTATTGCCCAGAATGCTGCTAAATTGACTGATTCTTGCAGCAGGGCGAGGAGATAGACCAACAAGCGCAACGTTCTGCGTGCAGTCCACGACTATTGCATTTTGTTTCGTTTCGAGGTTGTCTCCGTTTCGCAGCGGTAAGAGTCGTTCAGTTACAAGATCTTGAAAAAGAAAGGGGTAAGGAACATACTGTACCAGTAGCTATGAAACATACGGACTGTTTATGCTTATAGGGGTGAAAGATGGTGCAGCACAGGGCTCTGCTGTTGCTCGCCCTCTTAGGAGTCTCTCTTTTTACTAGCTCAGGTTAGTCATGAACTCTACATTCAATATTGGCTTAGTAGCTGGAGTATTTCTAAAATTTGATCCTTCGTCATACGTTATTCATATAGTCAATGCTGTATATAGCTAGCTAAATCGTATTTGATGCTTCACAGATGCTGCCAGTGTTGCCAAACGACAAGCAACTACCGTTGTAAGTTGCACATCTGATAATAATAGAGTGGTCTCTCATAATAATTTACTACTTTGCAGATGCAAGGTGACCCAGGTCCTCCTGGTGAAGACTTACCAGCAGTTCCAGTAAGGACATCATTTAGCAATGTGTTTGATAAATTTTACATGAAATGCTTTTTAAAGGGTCCACCGGGACCGAAAGGTGCCCCAGGGAGACCGGTAAGTTTACATACTGCATATTGGTAAGTGTAGGTATAATTTTGCACTGTAGGGTAGTAATGGAAATCCTGCAACGCCGGGATTATCCGGACCAAAGGGAGGACAAGTAAGCCATGCCTCTTTCCATCATTCGTGTAAGCCAACACTCTGATAACCTTCTGCATCAGGGTGACGGTGGTCCAGTTGGGCCCACTGGTCCCCCTGGAGCTCCTGGAGCACCGGCATTTTTCCCTCTGGGGGTAAGAACGTACACCGTGCTATAGTACAGTAATCTTAGCAGCTGGGATTCTATTATAGAGTGATGGAACCAAGGGACCAGTTATTATCCCTATTGTCGGTGACAGAGGTCCCAGAGGCCCACCTGGTCCTGCTGGACCACGAGTAAGTGCACTTGACAAATCACACCAATTAATATAACCCTGTAACCATTGTAGGGTCCTTCTGGAGCTCCTGGTCACCCAGGACAAAGAGGAGCTAGAGGTCACAGGGTCAGTAACTTAGTCAAGTGAACCTCATCTGTGTGGATGGTATACTGAGCACTGATTCAATCTCTTTCAGGGAGAGATTGGTATGATAGGTATGCCCGGAGATGCCGGCAGTGAAGGAAAACCGGTACGAGTTCATCCATATCCATGATAGAAAACAGTGTTCATCTTATATCATCCGCATAGGGTGCACCTGGGCAACGAGGACCAATTGGATCACCTGGACCACATGGTCCACAAGTAAGTTCAATCACACCTCATATTTTCTTCTATAGTCATTTTATCACTCTGTTCCATTCTTCCCTCGCAGGGAATCCCTGGTTTACCTGGCATCCCTGGATTTGCTGGCCTAAAAGGACCAGATGTACGTTTTCTGTCCTTAACCTGTGCATACTTTGAAGTCTCTGGTTCTCTTCAACAGGGTAGTCCTGGCCCGGCTGGGTCTCAGGGGCCTCCTGGATTCCCTGGTGACAGTGGAGAGGCTGGAGACCTGGGACCTCAGGGACCACAAGGAAATAGGGTATGCATCCCTCAGTTCTATCCCCCTTTCTTCAGAGTACCACAAACCTCTATGTGTGTAGGGTCCAGATGGAATACAAGGTATCAAGGGAGACAGCGGTGACACTGGAAATCCTGTAAGTGGTATAATCACTTCTTGTCTAAGGAAGATATGATGTGTAAAAGCTCTGGCTCTAGATGAGATTTTTACTGATTGTAGGGCCCTAATGGACCTCAAGGACAGATAGGATTCCCTGGAGCTCAGGGCGATCCAGGAGAGCGTGGACCACCAGGACAGCAAGGATCAAAAGGACCTCAAGTTAGTAATAGAATTGTCCTATGATGATGATAATTACGCACCTCGCTGCTTACAGGGACCACAAGGTTCAACTGGTAACCGTGGACAATCAGGTCCACGGGGACCTGCAGGTTCAGGAAACGCCAAGGGAGGACCGGGGGCTAATGGACAGAATGGAGATGATGGCAATCCCGGAGTTCCTGGCCCACAAGGACCACAGGTGTGCGGTCGATTCAGAAAGTTGTTCTATATAATACATGGTATGCTCTGCTGATGAGGGCATACAAGCCCGAAACAGCTGTCCAGAGCTCCACATCATTTTTCTCTTGGCATCACATGGTCTAATACCTTCATGTGTTACCAACTACTGCTTTATAGCTACTGTCTGTAATATTCTAAACACTGTCTTATGATACCAGGGAAATCAAGGTCCTCAGGGTCGTTCAGGATTCCCAGGTATCCAGGGGCAGACTGGCGAGGCTGGTAATCCAGGACCAATGGGTCAGCCCGGAGAGAAGGGAATGCCTGGAGTGATGGACAACAGGGAGAGCATGGAGATCCTGGTGCACAGGTAAGACTGAAAAACTCTTTTAAGAGCCCACATTGCACTTTGTATATATACACATTTTTATCCCACTATTGAAGGGAGCACAAGGCCCAGCAGGAGCAAAAGGAGCAACAGGTCCACCAGGTGACCAGGGAGTGGTTGGTCTCCCTGGACCAGCAGGACAAGACGGACAGCCCGGACCCAAGGGGCCACCTGGACATGGTGGGATCCCAGGAAAACATGGCAGCGACGGACCCAAGGGAGCACGAGGAGAGAAGGGAGAAAAGGGAGAGACGGCCAAGCCTGGAATACCCGTAAGATTCACCATCCCATAATGTTTGGATTTTTGATGCCAATTTCTGTTGTACAGGGGTTAAGAGGCTACAATGGAGCATCTGGTGCAAATGGTCGACCTGGATCGAGAGGCCCAAAGGGAAATGAAGGAGACAGAGGAGCTCCAGGAGCTAATGTAAAGTTATGACTTCACAATAAGAGAGACAGTGTTACCTATCAAACTTTGTCCATCTACAGGGACCACCGGGCTTCTCAGGGTCTCAAGGTCCTCCTGGACAAAGGGTGAGAAGCTTTTCATCAATCTGAGTGTTAAAGTCATTCACGCAATATAGGGCCCCTCTGGCATTCCCGGTGCAGCTGGCGAGTCTGGAGACCCAGGATTCCAAGTGAGTAGTGTCTTTAAATGGTGTTTCAGTTGTGAGATACAATGTAATGTGCAATCAGGGTGGCAAAGGATCGACTGGTAATGATGGGGAGGATGGTCTTCGTGGACCTGCCGGACAGCCCGGAATCCCAGGAGAGAGAGGAGCTACCGGACCAGTGGGGAACCAGGTAATGTATAGCGCTGATTTGCAGAATCAAGTATAATGTGTTATTTTTCACAGGGTCCACCTGGTGTGTTTGGTGCACCTGGACCTCACGGGGAAGCTGGAGCTGCAGGCCCCACTGGACCAGCTGGAAACCAGGGGTCTAGAGGTCCCCCAGGAAAGCCAGGTTTTCCTGGACCAAAGGGAAAACTGGGGCCGAAAGGAGCAGATGGGCCAAATGGTGATATTGGTCCAACTGGAGAACCGGGACTACCAGTCAGTTTCTATACACGGCAGATATGCTGTGTTAAACAAAGGGTATTGTTGTCTTGTGCAGGGTCGTAATGGTTTGGCTGGACCTGTTGGGCTACCTGGCACAGAGGGAGGAACTGTGAGTGTGCTCAGTAGATATTGTCTTGTCGCCTTCGACTACAATTATTGTGGTGTCTACCGTTTCTATAGGGAGCACCTGGTGCACAGGGAAATGCAGGCCCTGCTGGTCCACAAGGAGCAAGGGTGAGCTATTGTTTTCTCCCATTCTGCTGCACCACAATTAAATGCCTAGCCAAGTGTTTAGGCAATAGAACACATAGGGATAGTATGAAACCTTAGCTCTTTTTTATCTTCATATCTTACAGGGACCGCAAGGCCCTAGAGGACCCAAGGGACCACGAGGTCCCACAGGCACACCAGGCCCATCAGGTGACGAGGGAGATGCTGGACCAGATGGTGCACCAGGACGTCCAGTGAGTAGTGGTACCTACCTACCCCATTACCTTGATAACATTGTGAGTTTTTGCTGCCTTTTTGCAGGGACCACGTGGAGAGAACGGAGCTAGTGGTGCAGCAGGCTTTCCCGGAGAAGAGGTAGCAACTAAAACTCTGGTTTTAGTAGCAGTTTGAGCATTTTATACTGCAAGCAACCCCATTCTCTAATGTGCCATCCCGCCAAAGAGCGTATAATGTCTGTATAGGGTGATGCAGGAGAGCAGGGACCTCCTGGGCCAGTGGGACCAGCTGGGAACAAGGGACAGTCTGGACCTCAGGGAGTTCAAGGACCTCCAGGACCCCAAGGACAAGCCGTGAGTGGATCACACCGCACTCAGCACCAAGGCCAAACTAGGGGCCCATAGGAATCACACACGCTTTCACCAGCGTTTCCATAGGTGCACTTATACATTCCCCACATTTGGGCCTGGAATACTGGAATGCTGATTCCGCCTCCCTGCAGGGAGAGATTGGTCCTCGAGGACCAGCTGGAGAGCAGGGTCCCAGTGGAGATCGGGGATCCGTGGGCTCAATGGGAGCACCAGGGAAGCCAGGAACGCCCAGCCCACAGGGAAACAGAGGCCAGAGTGGACAGCAGGGTCTTCCTGGACCTGCAGGCCCACCTGGACAGCCTGGACCAACTGGACCTAAAGGACCACTTGGAAATGCTGGAACACCGGTCAGACACCAATCACGTCTCAAAATTCAATATAGCAAAGTTAAGAGCCTTTCGTGAGATATTTCTTATTGCACACACAGGGTGCCAAGGGAGCACGAGGGCCTCCTGGACAAGCTGGTCCTCAAGGTCCACGGGTAGGTTAACTAGATTGTGACGTGGTGACATAAGGTAACATTAATTCTCCCAACAGGGCTCCATTGGTGCACGGGGTAGTGTTGGAAAGCCTGGAGATGCTGGAGGAGCTGTAAGCCAACATTTTATGTCACAGAGGACATGATAGGGACTCTATCATTATTCAGGGTAAGCCAGGAGCTGATGGTGAGAAGGGAAGACCTGGGCCAGCAGGAGAACAAGGATTCCCTGGTGTGCCAGGACCTCAGGGGCCAAAGGGAGCCCAGGGGAAGAGTGTAAGCTCAATAAACTGTACTACGGATGCACCAGTACACACTGTAATATTCATAGATGTTAGAACACCATGACTTAGTGTTCATCTATTACTCTACGTCTTCTTCTTACAGGGAACACCAGGACTAGCTGGACAGAAGGGAGAAAGGGGAGATGCAGGCCCAGATGGAGCCAAGGGGCAGAATGGAGAAGATGGAGTAAAGGGGGAGAAGGGAAGACTGGGTACACCAGGAGCAAAGGGACCAAGGGGACCCAAGGGTGCACCAGGAAGGCCCGGTATCCCTGGTTCTAAGGGGTTGCCTGGTGGTCAGGGGATGGATGGAATGAAGGGCAGGACAGGCCCGACCGGACACCCTGGAGTTCCTGGGCAATCAGGACCACGAGTAAGTATCATCAGAGAAACATTTGCTAAAACCTAGCATAAAGTCAAGTAAGCAAAGAGGAATCAAATAAGTACAAAGTGTTATATGATTATCACAAGGGCCACTCCATAGAAGACGTTGTGGCTTTCGTACCTATGCAAAACTAGCTACAAATGACCACCACTACAGGGTGAAGCTGGGGGTCCTGGATCAGATGGTGGAGTGGGAAGTGTTGGTGCCAAGGGACCCATCGGAGACCCTGGCCCAGCTGGGACACTTGGAGAGGCTGGTGGACCGGTAAGTAGAGATAGTCTTTTCTTGATCATGGAAGAAACATATTTTTTCTCAACGTACCTACCTGTCAGGGTGAAGTTGGACCACAAGGCCAGCATGGAGCGACAGGAGACAGAGGAGAGAAGGGCATGAGAGGGTCAAAGGGAGATCCAGGTCTGCAGGGACCAGTGGGAATGGTTGGAGACCCAGGGCCAAAGGGAAACCAGGGACCACAGGGGCTGCAGGGACCCGAGGCAAGTTTTGACACTCAACCGCCACACTGCCAGCCTAACACAGTGCTCTATAACTGGCTTGGCCACAATATAAATGTGCAGGGTTTTTATAGAAACATATCAGCCAATGTAGTTATAACACACAATCAGGATACGGATACAACAGCGACAGTGTGAATAATGCAAGCTCATACACACAAATGAGTTTTTGCGTTCCACAGGGACCTAAAGGGTTCCAGGGTTTACTAGGGCCTCAAGGTGAAACAGGCCCGGAAGGTCAGAAGGGATCGCAGGGTGATACTGGAAATGAGGGAAATACTGGACCAAAGGGTTTCATTGGACTCTCAGGTCCCCCTGGTCCACCGGTGAGTGGCTTGCTACCTTATTATGTCTGTGAGGAATGTTCTATTGCTGATGTATTTCAGGGTGACTCTGCCAAGGGTCCGGTGTTCTATAGAGGAGATGACGATGAAGCCGTCCACTTCAACAAAATCAAAGAGGTATTATACACATGAATGTGGCAAACTGAGCAGGTGACTGTTATGCTTTGAAAATATTCTCTCTACCAGCAATTCCTGTATGTGGAGCTGATAGCTCTGCAGGAAGAGATCTCAAGACTGCAGTCCGCATCACCCTCTCGCACCTGCCAGGACATTCTGCTGGAGCATCCGGCTGCCAGCAGTGGCAACTATGAAATCGATCCCAACCTGGGCTCCCCTAAAGACTCTATCAAGTCTTACTGTGATTTTGATGGGCCTGCTCCCAAGACATGTGTGGACAATTCCACTGCTGAGTCCCAGCTCATGCATCTCCATCTGCTGCACACCCAAGTGGTCCAGAGTGTCCACTTGCCCTGCTCAGTACAGGGACCACTCAGGTCAGGAATAACTGCACCATTAGCTCTTTACAGCAGTGTTTAGATGAGACACCTGCATGAGAAGGCTATTTGGTAGTTCATTCCAGCATGTATATCCTGGCAAATCATTGCTCGGTACATACAATGCGTGGCCAGTAAGTTATGAGGACAAAAATCAATCAAGATCTGCTCCATTCCCACTCACAGTGTATACTAATATTTGCCTTACAGCTTGTTGCCATTTGATGGAGACAGTAGTGTGGAGGTTGCACTCGGCAAGAGCAGCTCACTGGACATCTCTGTTTCCACCTGCAGTCCTGTGAGTTAGCAGCATGTATATACACACCGATGTTGCATAAAGATGAAGGAAGAAAGGAAGTAGAGATTTGTGTGTGTGTGAATGATTCGACTTCTCCACCCCAGTTCACACTGACTAAAGAGGTACGATTCTCAGCTCCCAATGAACCACACCAGCTGCTCCCCTTCACTGCTGAGCCGATCCACTCGGGCCACCACAGCTTCCGGTTCCAGGAAACCTGCTTTTACTAAGACCTCTAATCAGTATCACTGCATTTAGACACGACATAATATAGAGAATACATCGTGTTATGTTCCACAAACGTTATTGATTGACGTTTAATATGAAATCTAAATCTCCCTTTTAAAAAGCATGAAATTACATTTGAGATTGAAACATGTATCCAGTTGTAAAAGATAATTAGAAAAGTACTCTTTCCGTTGCAAAAATCAAACAGTTATTAATGTACACTGCCAAGGAAAATACGAGATGAAAGACAAAAAGTGTTTGTAAAGAAGTACACAGGGAAAGGCGAGAATGATGAATAATGGGAAAATCCAGTACAGATCACACACACACACTATTACACAGATGGGTGTCATCACAAATGACTACATGTTTATATTGGTGACTTCATGACTTTGACGCCGGCCGCCGTTGACTGGTTGATGGTAATTCGCCACTGCTAGGGTCCTCTCCAGTGGAAGTCGAGTGTGTCCCTGGTCTCGGCCTTGGAGTCCTCTCAGGCTTGACAACAGGCCTGACAACAGTAGAAGAGCCACCGTTAGCGGATGTGTCTTTGGTCTTGTACGAACTGGCTATAATGCGCATGAGTCTTGGAGACGGACCGCCAGTCAGAGTCATGACTGTCTCTCTACTGATGCCCTCACTGACACCGTCTATTGTCTCACTGGACAACTCTGACACTGACAGTTGCTTCTGTCTCTTCCCTACCTGCAGGATGTTTGAAGAAGCAATTGAGGTGTAGTAAAAAAAGATCTGTTTATGATGGGGAAGACCTACCAATAGTTATATTAAGTGTAATGCACAATAATATTCACACAGTTGAAAGTAAGCTACATACTGGCTAAAAAATCTTGTTAGAATTTTGACATTGATCCCTTCACTCAATAATCTATAGGACAATTGACACACCTCTGGTGGTGGAGTGGTGTCCCTGCTCGACTGGGGTCTGGGGGAGATGGGGGTGTTGGCCCCGCCACATGGAGAGTTCCTCGGAGTGATGGTGCCTGAGGCCATCGATTCTGTCTCCAGCTGGGGAGTGGGCGTGGCAGAATCCTCACAGGAGAAGGTCTCCGGTGGGGAAATGATGTGTGAGAGTTCCTCGTTTCCCTTGACTACCGATACATCCTCCTGGGAGCTGAGGGACACCACGTCGGCCGGAGGAAGACCCTCGGGACCCGTACACACATGGTGGGCCCCAATCAGAGCACCACTGGATGTGCTGGTGTCGTCGTCTTCACCCTCAGTTGCCATCCCTTCAGGTGTCTCACCAGTCTGGTCGTGAATAACATCACTCTCTCTCCTCACATCCTCCCCACTTTCTTCCTGTTTGGTGTGTTCGTTGCCATCTCCCTGTACCACCTTTTCCTCTGTTCCCCCAGTGGCAGCACCTTCTTTCTCGTCTGGTGGGCTACTGCATAAGGCAAAAGAAAGCGCAATGCATGGGCCAATATGTGGCACTGGCAGCACAATTATATGCTGGTTTCACTTTACGAAATGATCTTGGTGATATAGCACTAGCCATTGTATTGAGTGAGGCTATCACAGAGACAGTGTATACACATCATAGTAGAGCAGCCTGCACCTGGAGTGTGGATCCAGAGAGAGCACGAGTTTGGAGAAGTTCCGTTGGGCCTCTGAGATGATGTCTGCCAGTCGGGACTGGGTCTGGGACAGAATGTTCTTGGTGGGGTTAGTCACCATCACGTGGGACAGCGTGGATGCCATCTCACCAGCTGTGGTGGAATGTACAGCAATTACTACTAGGCTATGTAATACCAACAACCTCCTCCATTGAATACATCTGTCTTTTGCATTACAGATGTATCACGAGCGTTGATTTTCAACAATCTCCTCTGTGCAATGTCTTCTGTGCTAGTGTTTGTAAACCCCTCTGTTTAATGTATAAATGCAATGCCTATCTGCACTAGACTCATGGCACAAACTCATTTGTATATGCTTCAACTGTGTGGAGTAGTAATAGTGTGACAAATGACCCAAACCTTGTTCTATTGCCACGGAGACATAGGTCTTGGGGTCACCTAGTACCTCGCCCTCTTCCTCTCCCTTGGTCTCCAGTCGTCTGCGAATGGTGTGCGTGGTCCCCTGCATGGAGCGCAGGATCCTCAGCTTCTCGTTGAGCAGTCTCTTGATCTCCTCATCTATCCTGTTCAGTTGCTCTGGACAAAGACATTACAAGAAAGGCTGCTTGTGTGTACATAGCCTTGGCCCCAGACTGCCCGAGATGTTATGGTTCAGGTAGTAATTTACGGTGTGGGGCATTGTCTTGTAATCACCGTGACATATGTCCCGTACTGAAGGGGTATTACTTCTGAAGTTCTACACTCGAGGTCATGGTGAAGTGGTCCTGCAGCCCACCTCTGCCTTACTAGGCCTGTTGGGCAGGCACACATGCACTGTTTGTTAATGCTAATGTGTATTATACCCCTGCCCATTCAACTGCAGACTATTGTCATTATAAAGACAACAACATTGTACACCACGCATACCTCTAATGACATCTTGTGAAGATCCATGCATGGCGGTGAGGGGAGCTGAGTGTAGGTCAGAGGAGCCAGGGGAGACTGGGGGGTCTAGTGACAGGATGTCTGAGACAGAGAGAGTCAACTGTGAGTCAACTAGACCGAGTACTACATTATAGAAAGTTTCCTACCTACCACTCCACCCACAATTTGAAGGAGCCCTTGGTGCTATTTGACTCCAAACGTGGTCTTAATGTGGACCGTGGTACGGCTGTATAAAAGCTGTGTTGTCATCTTGTCTTCTTCGCCATGCAACGTTACATGCATAAAAGCCCCCCTCCTACTAGGGTCTGGGCATTAATTAACCATTCTGCAATCTGATCAGAGGTCTTGCTTTTAAGTTCAATAAGCCCAACAGTAGCACAACGAGCGGGGATGGTACGTGGGGCTAGGGACGAAACTATTGCCGAGTGAGTTGTGTGGAGGGATGTTCAAATAGGACACCACGAGGGAGTCCTACTCACCTTGTCCTTGCATTGCTCTGCTGATAGCCTCTTCCCACCTGCACAAAAACAGGAGATTCACACACTAGCAAATGCCACTATATACTCCGGTGTCTTTGATGCACAATCTTAGTCCACTTCAAGATACAGCTGCACATACGTATTATGCAGCATCCGTAATAGCTTTGTGAACCTCAGTATTTCTCTCGCATTACGCTCCGCTCCGATATATGTATGTATGGGAGTAATTGGTAGAGAAATTTTGGTCAAATGTCCGTATGATTCACACACACACACATTTAGGGGGATTTCATACCACTATGCACTATGGTTTATTGTGCACGTACACCACACAAAAACACAGTAAGGACTAACTGTCTCTTCTCTCGAGGACTGTCGGTGGTAAATTCGTACATCTGAGCCAACTTCATGAGGGAGCTGTTGTTGACCATCAGGAACGTTCTACCTCCTGCACAGATGAAATGACAGTCAGTGAATGGCTGGTCACAGGAACTACACTTCTAGCAATAAAGGTACGTATATAAGTGCGGAGATACTAATACCCATCATCTATGCCAGCACTTACGCACTTACATTACCCAGTACAATATGAGTTGTGTCAGCCAGAAAGGAAGAGGGGTATGGTATTAAAAATGAAAAAGGGAACGTATACCCACTCTCCATGAACAGTATGGAACTTGGTGTTGATGCCCCATTTCTACTGTTTTCGCATCCACTATACATTCATTGCACACACATTATCATATCCTTTTGCTCCATTTCTACTGAATAACCTAAATAGCATCACATGTGATTGACATTTCATTTCTACTGTATTCCCACACCAACGTAACATTCATTGATTCATGATGCACACACATACATTTAATATCAACACGAAGTATGTATTACACTAAGGGTTGCGACCTTTGTCTGCGGCGGCACTCCGGAGCAGACAGTCCTTGAGTCTGATGACAGGACTCAGCTCCTCCTTGACGCCGCCCAGACCCTCCACCGTGTAGCAGCGGAGGTAGAACTTGTCCCGCTCCTCGTGTCTCTCCAACAACACCAGTATGTCCGTCAGGAGAAGGGCATACAATTCTGTGAGCACAGATGACAAACAAATCCTCCACAAACATGGGATGATAATAATTGTTTTGTATGGGGAAGGCTTTAATTTTTGGTACATATGTCCAATGCAACATTTTTATTGCATAAAATGCTGTGTGGACAAAAAAAATTCACAGATCGGAGAAAAAGGTGTGCTCGGACTTACCGATGACTTTCCTGCCCTGGATTTTCCAGGTGAGGGGTCCCTCATGTAACAACATCCTCCGCTCTATTGTCAAGTCCAGTGCCTGAAGAGGGTATCAACCAATTATGGCTCTCTTCAATGACTATAGCTCACTGTACATGCGTCTTCAACTAAGTAATTTGGGCTCTTCAACAGCTCACTGTATATGAGTCTTCAACCAAGAGCTATATACTGCACATGCAACGCTCTTGTACACCAAGACTGTATAGCTCAGTGTGTACATGCAACTCTAAGCCCCCCATCCAGGACCTGACCTTGAACTGCTGTGCGATAGGGTGGGAGGACCTCTCCAGTGCGGAGGTGTCCAGTTTGGACTGGTACTCCAGCAACCGCCGTCTGCTCTGGGCAAGGTTCAGCTGCTTGTTCACGTACTGGAGGATACCCTGCAGAACCAGCACCATAGATCGGTCATGGACTATACCATCTTGGGATAGCTGAGGAATTACTACACCTACAATGTACCTGGTATTCTATGGGGACTAGATAGAAGCCCAAGACAGTTGGCATTTATTGCCATTGAGTATATACAACAAGAGTGTGACAGAAGGAACATAAGGACTAGACATGAACTAGGCTATAGAGATGTGAAATTTGTGTTGATATTGACAAACCTTGATACAGGTCAGGGTGGTCTCAATTTTCTGCGCTTCCTCCTTGTCATTATCTACATAGTCACACGTGAATAAAAAATTGCAGCACATACACCAAATTAACGGTCAAAGAGTTAAATATTTCTGAGAATAAAAACAAACCACGTACAGTGCATGCTAAAATGTGTAGTAGTTAAAGCAGTGCACTACAGGAATTATGCAACTGAACGTGATTGCCTTACCGCTGAGTTCCTCCCAGTGTTTCTTGTAGGAGCTGAGGATGTTCTTCACCAGCAGCTGGTACTTGGTGAGCCGTTGCCAGGTGATGGGCATGAGCTCCTTGAGCGTGAGTCGGTGGCGACGACACACCGGGTGCAGCTCCGCATTCTGATCAATGTGTGTGCGCGAGAATACGGTGTTATGAGCGTATGCTGCTCATATTCTCTGTGGCTGTTACTCACTTTGATGAAAGTCTTGAACTTCTCGTTTTTTCTTCGCCAGTCCTTAATCAAAGTGTCAGCATTCACCTATTGCATACACATTGGTTGAGTCAATACATAACTTAAATTGTAAGACCAATAGTTAGTACTATTGATGTACAAGAAAAGCAGTAACCTGGTTAGTGGCAGATAATGAGCAGGACTGGCAGAGCTTCTTCCCAGCATCTCCATCAAACTGCATGTATTAGAAATGTCCGCCAATGAAGATACTATAAACAGGTTGTATATGATATAGCATCTCCATCAAACCAGGAAAATCTCTCAATTTGGTGGGCAAACGATCGAACAATTCAGATGACTAATTGGCCATCAGTAGAAGTGTGTAGCTTTCAACATGTTTGCACAAAAAACACTGTGTACTAGCTAGTGATTGACTTGCCCTTGGCAGCAGGACGTCTGCTATTGTCTTGACCACTCCATTGGTTGTGTTAGCTGTATATTCCACTAGTTCTGCACAGAGACCATCTGCGGGAACAACAACAGCAACACAGTCCAGTAAGGCTACACCATCTCACAGCCACAAGAGAGCAACCTAGCCACACGTGGTGTGTTATACAGGGCTTGCTATAGAGAGAGATGTATACGTGTAATAGTCTCACCATGAAATTGAATGAGTTCCTCCAGACTGGAAAAGAGTTGGTCGACCTGTTCTGCCGGTAGTACACACTCTCTGGTCATGGGAACCTTGTATACCTGGTAATATGGAAGTGAAAGAAGAAAGAACAAACATTTGTGAGTATATACAGTTGATTAGGCGTGCATGTACTATAGTGAGCACATGCAACAGATAGCCAAACTCTAAGAAAGAAGACAGTAAGGCCTATTACAACTAGGGAGTTGAGCAAGCATTATTTATGTGGACAAATGCCGCGCGAGGCAAAAACGTGTGTGTATAGAAAATGAAAACGGTGAGAATAGTGCAAAGAGAGGAAAGACGAAAGCCCACATATTGCATGGTCTTGAGCTTGTGGACGTGTGTTCTCTCTGTGTAGACCAGTTCTCTGATGTACTCCTGTCTCTGGACCTCGTACGGCTGCAAGCTCTGAACAATCTGCAACAGACAAGAAGACACACATTTTGTTAGTGTAAAATTTAGCTGATCCAGGATATTTCGTGATGTCTTAAATCACAGTAACAACCCACATTTTTGTTGTAAGGCAAAGGGTTCATTGCCCACGGCACGTACTAGATGAGCGATGGTTATGGTCACTGCTAAAAATCGTTTAGCATTGCATACCCCAACTCTAGTAACTTTAAAACACAGTAGTTTAAAATCAACCCAGTGTAGCACTGAACCTGCTATTTACCTGATTTCGTGCGCGCGGTGGCAGAAAACGTGGTAACAGACAGACTGACAGACAGACACACACACTTACGGGACAACTACCGTAACCCTCGCTGCGCATGCGCGCTGAGGGTTAATTATGTGTATGCAAACATGAAGGTATGTACATTTCACAGCATATGTACATACCTCTCTTTTGACACTTAGTGCCCATGGAAGCAGCTCCTCCTCAATATCGTGATCCAGCAACTCCTGTAATACAAAGATTTAAGGTATGGTTTGATGTTCTAAGGCGGATGGTAGAGAGGGAAAGATTAAGGCCTTAATGAAAAACTGCTATACCACTGTGTCACTCTTTTACCTTGATTTCCTCATCAAAAACAGCTCCGCCTCCCTCCACAATGGACTCCAGCTTGGTTCCTCTGCATAGGGGAAAATCCATACATCGTACATGGTCATGTGACAGTCACATGACTGGTGGGCGGAGCTCACATGAGAGAGTCGTCAGAGGAGGACATTGTCATGTTGTGGGGGTCTGATATCTGCTTCGAGGCCATGTGGTCTTCACGGTTGTCGTACTTTGCCTTTCAGTGGGACAGAGAGTCGGGGAATGGTAGGAGAGGGAGGGGGAGTCAAGGGGTCAAGGGGAAAAGGATGAGGAGAAAGGGGAGAGTCATGACGTCGGAGGTGCAGAAAGACAACATAATGGCAGTTAGAGTGTACATACATACGTAGAACGGGAGACACATATTTAGAATGGAAAGTCACAGGTAGTGGAAGGGGGCGTGGGGGAAAAGGAAAGGGAAGAGGACAGATGTGTGGAACTGTAGATTGGTGACGGAGAAGAAGAAGACGGAGGAGGAGTCGACATGGAAGTGGAAAGGGGAGGCGGGAAAGATAAGGTGTATATGGGAGCAAAGTGTGTGGCAGTGAGAAGTGGAAGGGGAGGGACACTGTCTAGTGTAGAAACACATTCATACATTGGTGTACATGTCTATACTGAGAGACAAGGTCAACAACACAGGAGTAAACTGACCGATTGTGTCCGGCTGACTTTGAGTGACTCTCTCTTGGGATGATGATGCTCTGGTTGCTCCCCAGGCATCACCTTTGGAATATAATATTGGATACAGTACACTGTCAGTGCACATTATCCATTAGCACAATTCTGCACATTAGTTACTCTGGACATCGTGATGACTATGGTGTAGTGTAACCTATCACATTTTGTTCAAAAGGTCTGTACGAAAGAAGCAGTGCAAAAAAAAACCTTTACGGATTCTGTGGTCTGAAAGTAATCGTGATTTTCTCCTGGGCACGAATCATTTCCGGACCTATTTTGAATAGCGAACTTTTTAAAGACATTACGACTCGCAGCGTATAGCCACCGTATACTATGGCTACACAGTAAAAGGTCAGTTTAAAGTGGTTCTGTGAGCACACACACACACACATGGAAAGAGGCATTACATTGTAAACTTCAGACTCACAGAAGCACTCTGAATCAAAAGCATGTGCTTTGGGTCCGAGGTCGAGCGTGGTTTTGTGGTCGGCAAGTGGCGGTCGTCTCCTCCGTCCATCTCTCTCAACAGCTCTCCCTCTCTGCTGAGGAAAAGGAAGGAGAGAGAGAGAGAGAAGGCAAGAGAAAAAGAAAGGAGGTATCATACTAACTAGACAGTGGAGGACATGGATTGCTTGTGGCTCACCTGTCAAGCGAGGCCGGTTCCAAGAGTGGGCTCTAATAGGAAAATGAAACAGTCTCGCTGACCAGTTGTGTTCATTCACACCCATACACTGCCATGCTCTCACGTCCACAACCCACTTTGCAGCAGCAGAAATGCTTCAATTGGTTACATGTACACATGTTTATACTGACACCCACACACCCTTCCGATTCCACTGTGTTATATGTACAGTACGTATGAATCACACTAACCTTTCTGCCTCCCTCACTGTCGATCCTAGCGAGATCTACATAGTTATGGAAAATTCGTGATGACAAACAGTGGTGTTCATGTGGTGCAGTACAACATGCTTTGCAGTGTCATTTTAAGAGGTGAACAACGTGCTAGGGCTTGTTTCGGGAGTTCTCAAAAAACAGCTTTACTTGGTTTGACAAAACACTATGCAAGAGTTTAATATGAGCGTGAAATGCTATCACGGTTACTATATGCTGGCAATCCATCAAGTGTACTATACCTATATCAGTGTCTTCAAGAGGTGGCGGTTGTCCAGTGAGTATCGCTGACACTGTGAACAGAGGACATGTAAAAGAGTTTAGCTTGGAAGTGAAGCCACTGCACACTGACATCTCGTCTACTTGTCATAACAATATACTGTATTGAGAGTGTGCATATTTGTCCTGCATGACTCTCTCACAGTGTATCTTCTTGGTGCTGTGCTGAGGGATGCGTCGTTTCCTACTGGTACTCATGAACCCAGGGTTCTTGCCCAGACACGGGTGCTCCAGCTGCCCCAGGCAGTAGTAGCGGTGGATGTTCATCTTGCACTCTGCAATCAACACACACACAATAGCATATGGTGCACTTTTATGCTCACATGCATATACTTGGCTTGGAGTTGGGCGTCATTGGTGGTTTAATTATCCCGGTCTGCTCCTACATGCTAAGTGAGAGTTTACTGTGCCATAGCACAGTGGTTGGAGGTTTGCCTTGTGTTGTGTTGTGTTGTAGATTCGAACCCCTACCAGCTGAGTTGCCCTGGTAGCTCAGTTGGTAGAGCGCTTGCCGAGACTGCAGAGTGTCGTGGGTTCGAATCCCACCTAGGGACAGCTCCCTGGGTGTAGTTGACTTGTTTGCCTTGCCTTGCCTTTCTACCAGTTACCAAGTTGTTGAGACATGTCAACGGGCGATTTTCCCATTTCTTTCTATTTTCTATTCTTTTTATTTCTCCTTGGAAAAAAAGGGCTGTCCTAGGTGTAGTTGATTTGTTTGTTGTGCCTTTGCCTTTCTACCTCATAGTTTTCACATGCAGCAGCGTACAGTGTGCGACTCAACTGCAGCACAGATTTATCGATTCACTACACAACAAAACACAACGGTTCAGCTCCCAAGGTGTGTCCTTATCTACAATAAACACGAAGGCTAAAGACCCGAAACGTGTAATATTGTGCTCACAAATCCATATTTGACCCAACTGGATGGTTGTGTACCAGTCTAGTAGAACTAGAGTGTTATCATTCCACCCTCTACCTCCTACAACCATTATGTATGTACATACAGTACATTACAGTTGATGTAGGAAAAGCCAGCACAACCACAAAGTTAATACAAAGGGCCACTCCCAGATAATTGTGTGGTGTCTAGAATTACCTTGTCCAATCTACCATGGGACAGACTGAGGGAAACAGGTGTGTAGGATGTGTGTGAGTTTACCTGAGCACTGGTAGCCCTGGTAGATGATGCCCCACAACTGTTTACTGCACAAGTCACAGAAGGCAGGCCTGGTGTAGGTCTCTAGGTGAAGGTTGTGTCCGTGCTTTTGAATTGTGTTCTGTGTCCAAAACCATTAACAAACATTTAACCACATAAAACACTGACACTGTATTAATTGGCAGTTGGACTGGACCAACATTAACCACACACATAAAGGGGGAAGACCCAGGCTCTAAGGCTAGGTTCACAACATGTCGCACTGCCGTGTCGCGAGGATAGAATTCTTCACGGTACGATATGATGCGGCGCAGCGCAACGGGGCAACACGACATAATGCGAACCTAGGCTGCAAGCACTCAACCCATAGGAAGCTTCCAGCTTCATGCTAATGCGTAATTATACTGAAGCATTTGGCTCTGCAACTTCTCCCCTGTAAAAGCTCCATTACACACAATACGTGCAGAGTCAACACCAGAAAGCCTTTAGGCACAATCCACTACCAGGCCTAGATTTACGTGACATTATGTGAGTGAGTGACTTGGTTGCCAACCTTTTTCTTTCCACCGCGACCCTTCCTGAGCAGGATATCGCCACGAGTGAAGGTCTGGGTCTTGTCAAGAGGAGAGCTGCTGGTAGCCTTGGCAATGCCTGACTTCCCAATGCTGTCCAGAACAATCGTTGCCAGACATGCTGCCGCCGCATGGCTGCATTATTATTAACACGTGGAATTTTCGGTCATACATGTACAGGTAACATGACAGGTTTTAGAAGTCTGGGCATCTCTTTGATCTTAGTTGATTGCTTGACTGTGCTATCCTACAGCCCTTAACATTGTATGTATGGTAACTGAACATTTATGTAATGGAAGTCATAGCAAAAGGCCTTAGACTATGCGGTTATACAGTTGGTACTGTTGAATGAATAAACCCACCTTTTACTGGCCTCCATGATGCTTGCACAGTGTGTATCATCACTGGAGAAGAGAAAGGAGAAGTGATCAACAGCAGTGCAGGAAAGAAGGCGTGTGGTGTGGCTCACTTTTTAGTCTTGATTTGAGGAATGAGAAGATTCATGACCACCTCAGTCTGTCTTGAGATTGACATATTGTCTGTGGAGGAGGATGGGGGTTTGGGGTTGGGGATTTTCTGATATCACGGTACAGAATAATACCTACTAGGTCATTTGTACTCATGTGTGGGACATGTGTGGGAAACTGAAACTACAACTTACCCAGGGACTATAAGATAGTATCCTAATCGACATGTTACTAGTAAATGCCAACTATAACAGGTTTCCCCTATTCCACACAGTCACATGAGTGGTAAACAGTGTTGTAGGCATTATGTTGCCCATGTGCAAGGAGAGAAGGTACAGAAAAAGGGAATGAGAAAGAGAGGGAGAAGCTCCGGAGAGTTGGGCAGAAAAGAAGAAAAGAGAGGGGAAGGGAAGGGAGAGAGAGGGGGTAATGTAATACATAGCAGAGGTCTCACTGGTGAGCATGTGGTCCCCAAACATGCCAGCCAGCCCCATGACTCTCTTGTGTCTGTAGTCAGCCAGGTCGGCAATGATGACCTCCGACAGAGACTCTCGAGCCTCCACAAGCGCACTACGAAGATGGTTCTCATTCTCCTCCACCTCTAGTGTGTGCTCTGTGAGGGTGGGGAATATGGGATGGTCAGTAGGAGGGGAGAGAGAGAGGAACAAGGATCGGGCGAGAGGATATAAGCAAGGACAGAGGGGGAGAGAAGGAGGGGGTGGGGTAGAATGCTGGAAACAGGGAGGGGTCCAGTAGAAATGGACTAAAATGGAAAGTTTTTGAGGGAGAACTCTTTCATAATTCTCCCAGTTTGTAAAATTACGCATGCATTGACCATACACCTACAGGTCAATAAGCAATCCAAAAGCTTTGTATGGGGACAAACGTGCCGAATCGTAAACATTTTGTTCCCTGAAGGTTTCCTGATGTACGGCATAAACTTACGTGCTCTAGACATAATGGCGCTATCAACATCAACAGGTAGGGGCTACAGGGGAGGGAACAAGTACACATAATACACATGTTGAGAATAAAATACTCAAGTAGAGTCTGTATACTCAAGTGGAGAATAGAATGGCGTACTGCTTCGTCGGTGAAGAAGGTCCAGAAGATGTCCATGCCTCTCTGGCGGAGGTCAGCTGTCTTACAGTGGTTCTGGTAGCTCAGGGACACCAGGTAGAACAGCTGAGGAAGACAGAGGGGCAGAGGGAGGTTGGTGGTGACAGGAGAGGCAAGGATGGGGACAGAGATGTGAAAATTAGGTGACTTTAGCGGAAGCTCTCCACGCAAAACATCAAAATGTGACAGATGCTATATATGTGTCCGTGATGGATGTCAGCTATTTTTACAGCAATCAACAGTTGTATTGACTGAAAGCACACCAACCAGACTGCTTAACTTGTATGTATGCCGCATGTGTTCACCAGTTAAATCATTCGTGCAAAACCTGTTCAGTGGGCAGTATAGGGTTTTGAGGGTTTTGCAGGCACACAGCTAAGGGGAGCTGGGGTAGTGTCCGTCGTACCAGTGCGTTGGGGTTCTTGTTGGTGTTGAGGTAGTGGATGAAGACGGACATGTGTGCCGGGTTGTTCCGTAGCTCCTGTAGAGACCCAAACGGCCCGGCCTCTGAGGCCTGTGTACAGAGTAGCAAGTGAGTGAGCAAGGAGAGAGCTCTTCACACATTAAGCTTATATACACAAAGATAGAAAGGAAAGGCATACAGCATACACTAGTACATGGCAGTATCAAAAAGCGAGAAGTTTCCAATTAGCTTTTAATTTGCTCATGCCTTTTGTGAGCATAAAGACTTGGCTCTAATCATAGGATATAGATATAGAAAGTCACAGACATAATTCCCACCAATTCCAAGAAAACAGATGGGCACGAGGGACTTGGCCCTGATAGATGTGTGTTCTCATGCAAAATTATGGAGCTACAAATTGTCGTCACAACTATTATAAAGACAGAAGGGTGGGTGTATAGGCTCATCACCCCATCCACAGCATCAGAGAGGTCATCGTCATCCGATTGGTCGGAACTGTCGACAATGTGTCCGCTGCTGCCACCGCCGAGGAACCCCAGCATGTAATGACGTCGCTTCGACGGAGAGATGGAGCCATTGTGGAAGGTCTGAAGAAGAGGGAAGAGAGGAGGGGAGGAAGGACGTCAGAAGGCTTTTAGATTCATTTTTAATGTCTGAGATTTGCAGCTTGTGCAGGTCTTACGTATGTGTTGAGAATGCACGTGACAACAACCAGGTGAGGTAGAAAGGAAGGCCAAGCTAACAAGTCAACTACATGTACACCCATTTACAGTATTGCAGAACTTCTTGGGGCAGTTGTTTTTGTAACACAAAGCTTAATGTATAATCTCAAACTTTAGTCGAGGAGACATGGTATGCACGTGTAAGACATAACTTACGGCTGCCCTCGAAGGATGCTTTACACTTCCTCCCTGCAAAGATGCATACATTGTACATAGATGTGGAATACGACAACACGACAGATTAAAGAGCACTCTACCCACTTAACTACCGAACTGTGATACAATAGCTAGTACATACAACATAAACTGGACGGGGAGGGGGAATGGTGTAGTTGGAGGCATATTATGTGATCAATTGGATGTGTATGCAGGATTGCAGGTACTGTACAATGCAGCTTCAATTCACCACAGTTAAGAGTAGCACAGCCTAGAATGTTGATACACACATTCTCCTAGCAGAGAATGCTACCCAGATCGACCACCTCGAAGTGTGTTCTCCTCTCACCCATTGGTGTTCGGGGATGCTAAGGGCAACGGTAAGTTGAGATGCCTGGGAGGTGTATTACAAAACGCCCCATCTTATGTGTTCATGTACTGTTGGTCCTCTGGCTCCCGCTTGAGCATCCAATAGGCACGTGTACCGTCGCTCTCACGTAAGCACTGACCTTGACAAAGGCCTTGCCATGTGTGGCTGAGGTAGTGGGGGCCTTCCGGGAGGTGAGGAGGTCCATGTCGTCTGCCATCTTGGTGACGGGGTGGCGGCTGCTCAGGGCCTGGACACTGGCAGCTGTCGTCCGAATGTGTGCCTAGCGGAATTGAAAGTGCCACGACTATATCTCGCGGGAAATCACACACCCGCACTAATTACTCAGGTATCTTTACAAGACATTACACATAATTACACCACACTGTATGCACATACTTATACATAAGACAATATAAGTGACAGCTGTACATGATGATGGCCTACCACCAAAATTACTGTATGTGTCTTCATATGTGGTTCTTCTAAGAAATGCTGCTATAGGCAAATGACACACATTATAAATTTGTAGCTTTACAATAGAGGGACGCCCAGTAACTGCAGCATGTAATAGAGAGACACAGGGAAGGCCTCACGCATGCAAAGCGTGAGACATGTGATGATGTATACACAAATTTTCGCATGGAATGGGAATAATTAGCGCGAGATACGTATGTATGTACAAACTATTGCCAGATGTGATGCAGAATTGTAGCTCAACGCTAAGGCTCTCGGCAACTTTGAACGTGGATTAATAGACACTAAGAAGTGTTGACTATCACTTTTCTATTTGGCGCTTAGGTTTTGAATGGATGCTGTGCACTGTAACATGATGACAATCGTAGGAGGTGTACTAGCTGACCTGGCCGAGGTAGGTTTTATTGTTTGTCAATACGACCCCCTGAAAAACTGATATATACCTCAGAGCACAAGTCGTTCTTGCATTCGTGCACTACAATAGAGAGCTAAACATGAGCCCGTATCGAAAGGGTGATCGGTTGATCGATCAATGACGTGTGATGGCAATTTGTAGGTCAATTAGTAACCGTGTCATAGTCTGAAGGTGGACGAAGGCTGCCTCAAATTGATATTCATTTCAGAGCCTTCTTGTCTTCTAATGCGCCACTAAACTGCATTTGTATGTATCTATGTATAACACATAGCAACCCTCTACCAGACATGAATGGGACACAAGAAAGTGTTCATATTAGCAAATTGTTCCCTATATCAGGAGTTAAATTGCATGCAAGATCTGCCGCTGGGGAAATAATAAAAGGTGTCTTCATTAGAGGCGTCCTCATGTCCTTCGACTGTACTCTAGTCTGCGTAACTTACATCAATGGGTGGAGACTTGGTAGCAATCTCGGACTCGAGCAGTTTGATGATGGACTCGCAGTCCTGTATCTCTCTCTCCAGTTTCTCCGACGGAGCCTTGCAGTAGTTGACGGACAGCGTCTCGTATGTCTTGCGCTGCTTCTGCAGCATGTTCCTCATGGTCTGGAGGGTCAGCTCCTGCATCTGCCTCGGTGCCGATATCTCCACTCCCGAATCCTTCACCGCTGGTTTTAGGGGGAGGAGTTAATTGGTGGTGTGGTGTATAAGAAAGTAATTTCATCCTATAAACAAATTAGTTGTAATGACAGGGCCACAGCAGCTTCCCCTAATTATAATGTCCTATTTATCTCCGGGGAATAAAACATACAGAAGGGGGGGAAACGCGTGTGTGAGAGAGATATTGGGAAATCAGCGTAAACAGCTGCAAGGCATTGGCTGAGTTCCAACTACGCACACTTCAACAGCTACACACGACATACCGAATAACTAACGAGTCGTGTGCTGTATTATGGAGTATGAGCGTGGGCAAAGGAGGCGCATTGTTTTGAAGCTGTGAAGGCTGGACAACTGTAATCCACTGTAACCAATGAGCAATTTGTGAACTGTTATCCAAATTTGAGTGTGTCAATTGTGTGAGTGGTGGATATCTTTACCTCTGGTCCCGTTCTGTGCCAACTTCCCCTGTAAGGTGAGGGTGATATGCGAGCACTGTTGAACCATCTCCTCCACTTTTGGCACTTTCATACTGCCAACATCTTGACCGTTCACCTGTAGGAGAGAGAGGGGGGAGAGGGACAGGGGAGAGGGAGGAGACGGAGAGAGAGAGAGGTAGGGGAGGAAAGGAGAGAGAAAGGGAGGGAGAGGAGGAGGAGAGGGAGACAAAGAGTGAAAGAGGAAAGGAAATGTATGTGACTGATGGGTAGGACACATGTTTTCGTGATGGGTTTAAGGAGAAGGGAGTGGCATATATGTATACCAATCAGCAGAGGAATATAGGAAAGGAATGTCCAGCGGAAATGCGCATTACACGCATGTATGCCAGGCATGTAAACCAGCTCATAATTAAGCCACTATGGAACGTCAGCGCCTGATTCTGTGAATTACACCAAAGCACTTTGTGTACACTAGTCAGTGGAGTATAGTCGTGGGTTCAAATGCCACCGAGAGCCAGATCAATTTCCTTGAAAATGGCAACTTACTCCCAAGTGTTTTTAAACACACACTTGTGACACACATACATACAGCATATAACGTATGTGTATATATACATGCATTTGGGACCACCACTTGAAGCAGTGTAGAACGCACATAGCAGTTGCTTTGGAAATGTTGTGTTTATATATAAAAGAGTGTTTTGCCCAGAATGGTGGCTAGGCCAGGGCCATTCACAGCTACCATATAAGTACACACATTACAGGCAAAAACGGGTGGCGGTTATTTGCAGGTAGGGCAGTGTGTGTACGTACCTTAACCAATCTGTCTCCGGCGTTGACACCAGCCCTCTCTGCAGAACTTCCGGCAGCGACTCGTGTCACGACAGGCCCCTCCTTGGAGAGACTGAACCCGTAGCCACCATCTCTGTCCTGCTTCAACACTACCGTTCTCTCCAGAGTTGACTTGGCTGTGGGTTCATTAGGGGGGGGGAACTGTGTACATTTGACTCACAGAACAGCTTCACACCATAGGCTGTGCAGTGTGTGTGGAGGAGAAGGGGGACACGCTCTGTATGTGCATGCACTACTGCCATTATTAGAGGGGGAGTGGTAAAAAAGATGCCGGAATGTATAGTTGTGAGAGAAAACTGAGGGACACGCAGTTATTATTATAATACCTGAGGCATCCATGACAGGTGTGCAAGCGTGTGTGTTTTACAGATCCTGCATAAAAAAAGAGGGGCAATTAGCCGTGACATTATTTCACTAAACTCTCAGTTAACACATCTATGTATACCACGACAGTTATGTGAACCATGTCCATGTAAAATTACATGGGGATGGTCCAAGTGCTGAGGGCGTCCATGTTTAATTTCCAGCAGCCGACGCAGACACATGCAGGTCAATTAGTGAAGTGTGTGGGACAAATTAGGAGGAGGACAAAGGAGCTAATTGGTGTGCCGTGGTGAGCACTGACGACACGAGAAAAGGTGACCAGGGAGTACATTATGTACATATAGATGCACTGCTGATATACTAATGACCTACACTACTGTAGTGCATTATGAGGTGCCAAACTAGTCAAAGGGCATGCTCATACTGTATATACAAACAGCTAGATTTTGGGCCTCTGCCAGTAAGAGTTATTGTTTTGGACACGATTTTCGCAAACACTCGGCAAAACACAGGCAACATAGGCTGTATAAACTGTGTATATACAACATGTGTGCTAGTGGAGCTTGGGGAATCGCCACAGAAGCTCTGTCTCGTCAGGTATGTATCTGCCCCTCCCAGCAACCAGCCAGCTGCCTATGCAAACCCGTCCTAAGGATTCACGGGCTATGGTAAGGTTACATCTCACAGCATGTGTATACACAGTTCCCAGGATACACACTGATGATATCAGTGCCATTAGCAACACCAAGGGGTTAATTGCACACTTATGGAGTAGCTGCATGCGTGACCGGCTTATGAATGTTGACTGTGCGCAAACTCCTCTGACCAGTGGTTACAAGTGACAGCACTAATTTGTTCAAAGAGCCCTCAAGATTCACCACATACCATCTACTAATTCACAGTGGACGCATAATGTTACTGACAGTGATTTGGGTGTGGGATGTGTAGACACAGAGGGCAGGAGTTAGGAGAGTGTATAGACGTTGATCAAACGACCACTTTAAAAGAAGGGAGTGTAACGATGTTGGCCGCCACATGCCGCAATGGTAAGCTTAGCACTGTACAAGTATACATAGGTGTATAAGAGATGCAGCCTCCAGTGGTCCAGATAGTAGCCTCCCAGTGGTTCAGATTAGCTTTATAGTGGTTGTGATATCCCCCAGGGGTTCAGAACGCCTGCCAGTGGTCCAGATAGTCTGCCAGTGGTTCACATCTGTTTCTAGTGGTTCTGATAGCCTCATACAGCTTGCAGTGGTCGAGATAGTCTTCCAGTGGTTCAGATAGCCTCCTAGTGGTTCAGATTAGCTTTCCAGCGGTTTCGATAGCCTCCCGGGGGTCCAGAAAACCAGGTAGCAGTTCAGAAAATGTCCAGCTTTGCCCCACCCCTCATCTCCTGCAGGTCTTCTCCCCGCTATATCAGTGCACAGCGTCATGAGGTCACATTCCACCGTCCTCGAGGCAATCCTCATTCCTCGAAAAATTAGCAGCTATCGCTTGTGTGTCGTGGAGGCCCAGGTGGTCTTCCTGCTACGACTAATACTGTGTAGGGTATTGGTTTAGCTATGTGCACCAGCACAGAAACATGCAGATCCACTATTCCAAACATTCCATCTTCACCATCGCTGTAGCTACTACTACAGCAGTCCCTCCTGGATGCCAGATTCCATTTATGCCCCATAGTTCACAGGCCACACACCAGTCAATTACATGGAGGAAAAGGGAGTTTCCACCAAGGCAAACCATTGTCCATATGTACCAAGCACTATATCTGGGAAATTTCAAGGGAGAAAACGTTCATATTTTGGTACCAGTTCAGATTGGTGGTCCGGCACAGAGTTCTGTAATACAAATGTATGTGCTGCTGCCCATTACATTTCATAGACAAAACTTTCACGGATGGCTTATAAACCATCAGGTTTGTAGGTTCATTTCTAGCTATATACATAATAAAACCTGAGGACTTACTGGATGAACTAGTCACAGCACACAACGTACATACATGTGTATTTCTTCACGGTGTCACTCGGTAGTGAGTGTGAACCTACAAGAGGAGGCTCTTGGTGCTGACAAGGACCCATTGTGTCTGTGAGAACACTTCCAAGAGCTCTGTATGAGTGGTGTTCCAATCAACATGTGACAGGAACCATTAGGAAGACAGCAATCTACCTCAATCTTGCAGTGGTACAAGTCAAGACCTTGCGTAATATTAGGTAAGTTTACACTGAGCACTTTCCCCATAGTAAGCTGGAAAAACCAGGAAATAGGGCAGCTTCAGTTCCGAACAAAAACAACTGTCCCCCAGAATACTACTTACACAGTTTGGATACCATTTGAAGGGCCAGATGTTGAAAGTTCTTCCCACTGAATTGGATTAAGGAACAGGGACACTAAAACACTGCCTACTGAATGTGCTCTTTCACAGCCCACCACCATGCTCCTACATACACATACAGGGCAACTTGCTAGCAAGCCATTCACACCACGTAGTAGCTCCGTGTTCGTAACGAGTCGTTACCTATTACAAAGGGTATAATACATACATCAGAAGGCAGATTATTACGGTTTCTATGAGCGCGACACATGAGGCACACACGTTTGCATACACACCAACACACACCAACATGCAGCTATTCAGTGGTGAGCGGTGTTTTATACACCTCCAACCACCACAATCAAATGGTGGGTAACGTTGATATGCAAACAACGGAAGCGACCACAATGGGAGATTGTAATTTGATTGGTCTCCATTCCAGTATGCATTGGGAAAGAGGTCATCGTTGAATATGTAATTATATACTCCATACCACTCTACTCTACTGCCATTAGCTCCCAAACACAGGACTCTTAAAGACCCAGGTAGGGCTGACACCCAAGAGAGATGGGTTATGGTATACACAGTGCCCAGATGTGATAGGTTTTCCACACGCAATGAATGACGCTGTCTATAATGGCACGAGTGCTTATCGTATTCAGTGTCGTAGTTAATTGCCTGTGCTACACTTCTACCACTAATACGCAGCCTTACAGTACACCAGGCCACCACAATAAAGGGAAATAATAGAGTCATAGGGGAATGCTTAAACTGTTGAAGTTACAGTAATAGCAACCTGATGCCGCCTTGTACCATTGGCAAACTTGCAAAGCACCGTGATGTAGGTTTACATGTAGTGTTGTTCTCGCACATGCATAACGTACACGAAGTCAGCTAGCATCCAACACAGATCAGAACACACTGAGGAGGAAATCTGCCGTAAAAGCTTAGAGGGCCAGAACCAAGGGAAAATTGTACAACAGTCACAGTCACTTCGGTTGACATAGGAACAGTGTACACCACTTCAGCTACAAACTCCTCCAACTTGGAGTAAGGGTCCTCAGATAATAGATGCACTCTCGAGATTAGGGGGGGGGCGAGTACCAGAGATGGGTAAGTGTGTAGTGTACATGTGTCTGGGGCGTATTTTTGTGTCAGTTATCACATGCAGGTACACACAAAATGGAGTAAGAACATGGACTTAGTGGTTAAAAGCTCCACAACCATTCCCAACATTAATACTCTGGGTAAAGATGGCTAGAGCTACTAAAAACAACTGTGCACAGCTGCAATAGGATCTGGGACAAAATTTGTTTTCAGCATGAAAGCAAAAACAATACAGTTAAGGACTACAAATGCAGAAAGTACAAACGAGTGGATAAGGGGGAACCGTCCAGTATAATATTATACTGAAATGAAAGAAAAGGTAACTAACTGCCCCCTTCAGATCTAGCAATGTCATTGCTCCCTGCCTTTCCAGCACACAAGATACACCTTTCCGAAAATCGTGTTTAGAGCCAACCCCCAGGCCCAGAGTGATGTTTTTGACAGCTGTATGATGAACCTTTGTACAAGCAAACTACGGAAAACACGCTTCTATACAGTAGCTAAACAAGCTAGGCACACGCTCGAATCACTCCCGCCGCGCCGAGACACGGTCTGTTCAAATTTTATCCACACACAACAGTACACAACTTCACGCACCTTGTTCGACAGAGGGACAACAGCTTGCAGCTCAGCGTCTCTAGCCGGAGTTACTCCTACTGGTGTCGCTCTAAAACTAGCCTACAGCTATCTAGGCAGAGAGTAGCTCGTTAACGGACGGGAGCTTTGATATTCATGAGCGTAAACGCGCATGCGCCCACGTACGAGCGAGGCGGAGGCTAGTTTACGAGCGAGTCGCGGCCGAAGACGATCGACACGCCGTTAAGGCCCGTTCCGAAAGGGTATGACGTCTGAAGAGCGGCGGGGTCTCCTCCCTAAGAAGGAGGAGGATGAGGACGACAGCTCGACCGAGAGTTCTCAGGTGGTATTCAACGGCGGTGGTCAATCTGGGAGTTTCGCACTTACTAACCCCGACCCTCACTACTACAGCCGCGGTCCCCTTCACGTTCCACTACTTGTCCAATTATCAATTTCACTCGGACTGTTCAAATACGTTCCAAAGCCAATCTTGTAAGTTACAGTGTCTGGGCAAAACCTTTTTGCATACGCTGTGCCTTTTTGCATAAGCTCAGTCGTGGCAATTGGTCGCCCTTGCTACAGTACTTCTCTTTCATTCTTCTCCGTAGTTTCAAGGTGTTGGTGTACATCCTTACATTCATTGGTTATGCAACTTATCACATGTCTCGGAAACCGTTCAGCGTTGTAAAGGTAACTGTGCACGATGCTCAAGCATGTAGATGGATAAGCCTTTTTTATGATTGTCACTGTGATGATTTGCAGTTTACTTACTCCCTGCAGGTTGTACTGAATCCACCAAATGACTCTAGCAATGGATGGCCTCCATTCAGTGAGTGCATCTTATTGCAAAAAGCTGTAATAGTGTTTGTGAACTACTTACGCATTTTTCAATACGTCTCTCCCAGATACCGATGATGGAAAGACTCTGCTTGGCGGCGTGGACAATGCGTGGGGTTTCTCTTACGCCTTTGCCATGTTCTTCAGGTTGGTGTGTTAGCTAGCTACAACATACATGTGCAGCCCATGTGCAATCCATGTGTATAATGTACAAATGCCATATGTTGTTCTATGCATACACACAGTGGGATAATAGCAGACAGAGTGAACCTACGCTATTTTCTGACAATGGGCATGCTCGGTGAGTATTTATTACTCATTGCCTCCGTGTCATGTGCCTTGCAGTTTTTACACTGTTATGGATAATATGTTCCAAGTTCACTGTCATGTCCTTTGGTCTATGTGCAGGTAGTGCCATAGCTACAATGCTGTTGGGCGTTCCTTACTATGCCGGCATACACCTATATGCCTACTTCATACTGGTGCAGATATTTGGAGGAGTAATGCAGGTGTTTTGATAGCATTGTGTCTTTCATACTGAGCACTCTCTTGTCCAAACAACTACACTGATACTGAAAGTGTACTTTTCGTGCACATTATTGCACATTTCACTTGCATAAAGTTGATCAGTTGAGGATCTAACCCAGGATCCTTGGTTACAAACTGAGAGTGTATGTACTGACACTATGGTACCACTAGTGGTGATGCTACTTTTAGGTGATTTTCTGCAAGTTCTTGCTAATGGTTTCCAAATTTATTCATGATTTCTGGGATTGCACTAAATACCACTCTTTGGTACTCAAAGCATTTTTTCAGTCCACAGGCTGGCCCAGTGTGGTTTCCATTATGAGTCACTGGTTTGGAAAACAAAGGTATCAACTCTTTATATTTTCCTGGCGTTTGTGGGCATTATATTGAGGTGGCTGTACTGTCTTGTATTGAGCATCATTTCTCTCTGTGTGTGCAGACGAGGTCTGCTGATGGGGATCTGGAATGCCCACACCTCTGTTGGTAACATAGTGGGCACCATTGTCCCCTCCTTCTGGGCCAACCCCACGCACTCCGACCCCAACCCTGCCTGGGGCCTCAGTTTCATCGTCCCCTCTCTCATTATGGCAGTGGCGGCCATGCTTGTCTTTACTCTCCTGGTCGTCGGTGAGCCACATCAAATGGTGTATAACATGTCCCAAAAACATGAACTCCTTCTCTAACGGTTCTCTTATACCATGAGAATCTAACTGTAGATATTCTTTGCTACCTCACATGCTCCTTATCATACGTAGTGCACCGAGGGCACTGCACAACAGCTATGCTCGCAAAGGATGAGTGCACGAGTGCACAGCATGGTCATAGTTCACTGCCTCTCTGTGGCAATATACGATTAGGACCATTGTTGTTTCATACTTGTTTGTTCTCCTCTCTCTCTCTCCTCTCTCATTTACCCACCAACCCTTTTGTCACCGCTACACATTTCTCCCCAGATCCTCAACATGTTGGCCTGAGTCCACCAGTCCATACTCTGGTATACTATAAGCTATAAGCAGAACAATACTGCACTACACGTACTATACACATCCCATAATGCAAAATGAGTATAATTATACAGCATGCCAGATCCGTCCAATTCACATATGTATTGGAGCTAAAATGTACATCAAACTTATGTTTGGGGGCATGTCGTTTTATGGCAACATTCACAGGAATCCACTAAGTTCTCGGATACAGAGACCAATGCTTCAGACGAAAGGGTAAGATCCTGCATAAATATTACTCACCGACTAGCTTCTAATGCTGTCTCCACAGAAGGCAGTGGTTGGGGTTAATGGTGGGAGTAGCTCTACCAACAGTGGCGTACCCCAAACCAGTCCCTCTCCAGTACAAGCTATTGGGTTCTTCAGAGCCCTAATGATACCAGTTAGTACCTAGTACCTCCTACTGTGTGCATGATAATAATATAGAGCCTAACTACTATTGTAATAGGTATATTCTTTTCAGTGTGATTGTCTTAACAAAACAAGCCTATGTCTTGCCTGAAAAATCTGATGGTTTCAGATAAACCGTTTTTTGTAGCACCAGTTGTGGATTGACCACTGAATTTTAAAATTGTGTATATATGAACAAACACTGCATTAAAAGTGGTTCAGAGGTCAATGACTCACTGTGGACTTTCTCACGTTCAATAGCTGTTAGTAGTTAGGATGTATTGCTCTGCAGGGAGTAATAGAGTATTCACTGGCCCTGTTCTTCAATAAGCTCGTGAGCTACACCTTTCTCTTCTGGCTACCCTATTACGTCAAGACAAGTGTAAGTTACTCTTAAGCCCAACATGCACGGCGCAACTTTATCTCATATGAAAAGAAAAAGCATACCCGGCCAATACGGAATAATACGTGTGAAGCGCAGAAAAATGTGCCAATTCATGCGAAAAACGTGTAATGACATGTTGCGTGAGATAAAGTTGTGCCGTGTATGTTGGGCTTTAGTCTTTCCGTTATTAGTTTGGTCAGTGGGCATGCATCTAGAACTTCATGCAGGCATGTAGGGGGATATTATGGCTCTGGTTTGTTTCCTGTTTTCAGATGAAGATTTGAGCAACAAGCAGTCGGACTGGCTGTCAACTCTCTTTGATGTTGGAGGAATAATTGGTGAAAAGCCCGACTTTGGAGATCTAGCGCCATTTGTATTAAGTGTCTGTCCCGTGCAGGTGGTATTGCAACTGGTCTTCTGTCGGACTGTCCTCAATGCCAGAGCCCTGTCCTGTGTCGTCAGTCTCATCCTTGCAGTACCGAGTGTGAGTTTATTTTTGCAAGTGAAGCAAGGCCACAATCTGTGTACATTGCGAGTTGATATCATACACATTTGCAATGATTTGGGGAGTGTGCATGTGCAAGAAAATTTGCTTCAAGTACAGCTTGCACTCACTCGCCATGCATTTTTCACTAACTGCAGTTGTTCCTACTGCGATTCATTGGTGACGCTCACATAGCAGTGTACATTGGTGAGTTGCTGGTAGTCCATTAATTCTTGTAGCTATGCTTGCAGTGTTACAGTATGGAATTCTTTCTCTCTCCAGTTCTCCTGATTCTGTGTGGAATATTTATCAACGGTCCGTATGCCATCATTACCACTGCAGTATCCAGCGACCTGGTCAGGCCAAACGCCAACCAAATACTCTATTATTAATATGATGACATTTTTCGTTGCAGGGAACTCATAAGTCTATCAAGAACAATCAGAATGCTAAGGCGACGGTGACTGCCATAATCGATGGGACGGGCTCAATCGGAGCAGCCCTGGGCCCTCTGTTGGTCGGATGGCTCAGTGGCACCAGGCTTGTGAGTCTGTCGTAGTCGAGACCTGTGGCGATTTCATTTTCCTCTTCCCACCTTTTCTCTTTGTTCTCCCATTGGTTTTCAGCATTGGGATGGAGTATTCTATGCCCTCATGATCTCCTGCTTCTTGTCAGCAGTGGTGAGTATATAGCTACCTGTCTGCTCTAACCTCCCTTACAGTGCCACTACGCCTGCCTGTGCACGTGTTCAGTGAGGATTGCTGTGTTGCGTGTGTGTCTGTGTCTACTCTTATATTGTTGTTTGGTGTGCAGTTCATGTTGCGGCTCCTGGTGACTGACGTACTGGACTTTCAGAGGAGGCCCCACCAGCAGCAGAGCCGGTGTTTCCCCATGTCCTGCAGGAATTGATACATGTCATCCCCCCCCCTCTTATAAGACCATGTCACTTATGTGTTTGGTGCTACTATGCACTGTATTTATGCTGTATCAGTTTTGTTACTATAACACTGTTTTACAAAAAAAAGAAACAAGCACACTCAATTGGGTTTCTTTTCCGTGGCTGCTGTAGATTCAGGAAGAAGAGTTTTGATTGTTGGGTGTTGCCATGTCTGCAGTGCCCAGGAAGTAAGCTGGGGATTGGCATTGCACACCACCTCGTACACCACTTGCTCTCTGTCACTGTCGACCTCGTACAGTAGCAGTTCGATGAATTTCTTGGTCGGGACAAACACACCGTTGCGGAGGTACTGGAGGAACACAGTGTCCGAGAGACAGATGAATCCGAGAGAGGCAAAGAGAGTGTGGAAACCAGATGGTGTGGGGAAGCAAACCTCTTGAAGTGCTAGGTGGTAGGCTTCCAGGCGTTCGAACAGGATCTCCTCCATTGTTGTGGGCTGGTTGTAGAGAGAGCGACAAAGTGGGTTTGAATCGGCATTGAAACCCAGTGACTCCCAAATCAGACGAAGGAGCAAGCACGACTGCTTCTCCAGCTCAGACACGTAGAAACGCACATTTGTAGCGACCGTGTTCTTTGAACGAGATTGAAGACCGGCACTCATGAACTTTGTCATGACTCCCACCAGAATTTCCTTCTCCTCTGTTAGGAGCTGTGTCTGTTCCTCATCGGGCTCAAGGAAAGGCAGAGTGTCTTGTTGGCCACCATCAGTTTGCTCACGGGAGCCACGTTGTTGGAAACTCGACCGAGTGAACTGGCTGAGTCGGTCCAGGAGAGTCCCACGGGACGAGTCACCCACCGTTTCAGATTTTCGAACCACCTTCTTAGACTTTGCCGCCGGTGGGTTGGGGTGGGTTGGGGGCAGTGGCCGGGAGGACAGTAAGGAGTGCTTGTCCTGGGATTCAATCTCCTGGAGGATGTTGATGCGAGGACGGGAGGGCTGGCTGGTGACGGCAAAATAGCAGAGCATCTCAAACGGCTTGTCGCCCACCTCGTGGTTGAGAAGGTCTTCGGGGGAGGCTCGCACCAGTCGCTGGTCGGACTGCACCAGAAGCTGGACGGTGAACTTTCGGATGGGGTTCAACCGCAGCATAGCAAACGTTACCCGGTCGTCGTTCTTGAAGACCTTACCACAGAAGGTGGGTGACAAGGTGAGCGGGAGCTGCTTGCTAACGTAGCGCCGTGCATCGAAGATGGTGTTGGCAAAGGCAAACGAGAGGAGAAATTCAGAGAAGAGGCGATGGTCTCCCAGTCTCAGTGGTGACTGGCAGACATGCTCCACCATGGCCAAGGCCATGCCGTGGTGTCGGAGGCCCACAATGGTCAGATGGAGGAGATCCTCCATCATTTCAACGCTCTCTGTCGTCTTGAAAAGCTTGAGGAAAGCGGCTATGTTGAGGTTGACTTCAAAGTGGGAGCCCGACCTGTTCTCCAACACCGTCGATATCTTCTGCGTCTGGATGGTAGTTGTGATTGCAGGGGACATGAGCACCTCACCTGGTCCAGTGGCTTCGGCAGTATCCTCAGGGACGGGGAACATGGGGCGACTGCTGCACACCAAACGCCAGGTGGTGACAGGGATCGGTTGCAGGGACCCACATTCAGGATGTGGAGGAGGAAGTTGGGTATATAGGCCACCAGGAACCCACTGAGGACCATGAAATGAATGCCGAGTGGCTCTAACACCGGCATAGGCAAAGGGACCTGCATGTGGAGTGTGTGGCCATTGTTGAAGATGAAGATGGTGTAATCAAGCTTTCCACCCTCTGGCACCTCTGGTTTCTCGGCACCATTTTCAGTGGCAACAGTCCCCTGATATGCAACCCCATTGCCATGCTGCAGGCATGCACACCAAAGGCCGTTTCGGAGGTAGAGAACCTGCATGTTGATCTCTTGAACCGGGAGGACAAGAGCTAGTGGTGAGGGGTAGTATGTTTCTCCCCTCAGGTAGTGTTCGACAGTGTAGGGGAGTGGCAGTGCCACAGTTAGCACTCAGGTCGTGCTTGTGCTGTGCAAAGCTGTAGCAGTGAAGAACAATCGAGTTATCCCCGCTCAGTAGGGACTGCATCCTGGTCCCGGAGCTCTCAAACTGGGCTAGGTAGAGCCACTGCGTGGAGGGATCCCACTGGTACCAGTGAAATTCGCTGCAGAGCACCTCTTTATCGGGCTCATGAAGTACCACATAGCCGGTGCGGATGCACTGGATCTTGAAGGTGTAGATGGCCGCAAAGTTGTTGGGACATACCACCAGCAGACAGGACTGCAGTTGCTGCTGCTGTCGACCGTGCCTAGGCCGCTGGGAGGGCTCCATGTGGACAAACTGGAGCCTGCGGAACTCGGAGCTCTCGAGATTGAGGTCAAAGACTCGACCCTCAGGCTGGATCTCAGCAACAAGCGAGTTGTATACAATCTCACCGTACATGTCTTCCTTTATCACCGTAAAGGCCAGGAGTGCGTGTTCGTAGCTAACAGTGGCAGCATGGATGGTTTCATCATTTGAATGCCTGCAAAAAAACAAACGTTTTGATAATGCTATGTAATGGACTTTGCGCAGTTTCTCTTTTAATTTTGGACGCACTCACTTGTAGAGCGTAAGGAAATTGTTTGTGTTGAATACATGCCATCCAACACATGTTACTGCCCCACTCCCCACATCTTCTTTGTTCTCCTCGTCTGGTCTTGGTCCCCCTGTTGGTTGTCGCCAAGAAAACAGTACTCCCCCATTTCTCTCTTGACCTATCAGTCTGGCCTGAAGGAGTCCCGGGTCATCCAAACCAGTTGTGGGAAGGAGATGCTCCCTGCAGATGGACCATGAAGGTGAAGGTCGACAATAAGAGTGTACGGTGCGTACCTTACGAAAGACGAGAGTCTAAAGGTTTCACGAAACCCCAGCAGCTCCTCGGATTTTCCTCCCGGTGATAGCTTCGTCTGCTGCGCCGTCTGCATCTGAGCGCGTTTCTTCGTAGAGATTAGCTAGATGCGAGGGGGGCGGGCTAGCGAGTCACATGAGCTAGTATTATTTATGCGCTTGCGCGCATCGAAGTGTATGCGCGCGCGACCGGCGGGAGATTTTCGCTCGTCTCAGCTCCCTTTATCTCAAACCTGTATTAGAGTGAGCTAGGTTCGAATTGACCAATCAGATTGCAAAGCCGAGGTTTACTATTTCCCGTAGTAAACCTCGACGGGGTTTACTATATAGTAAACCTACAGATAAAACAGGAAAACATAACAAAATGTACATGTAAACAACAAGATCAACAACTGAATCTACATTGACGCGTCGTCCACGCGCACGCGCAGACCCCCAGCGCGCAACCAGAAAAAGAAGGCGGAGTCGCTACCGCGTGTCTCTGCCGCTTCGCTCTTCTTGCACTGCATTAACTGGCGCTCTGAGCCAGTCTCCATCCAGTCAGCTCCGCCATACGAACGAACAGGAAAGCCAGAGCGCTCAACGTGAAGCGCTCACTCTAAAATAGTTAGACGCTGATTCCTCGGTAACCACGCGCCGGTAGAAAGCCTCGTGCCCCCCGGGGGTAGCGCCCTCGCTGCGCTCGGGGCGCCACAATGCCGGGGCTCTCGGCTTTCTACTGCGCGTAGTTACCTCGAATCAGCGTCTAACTATTATCTATACCAAAAGCAGTTACTCAGCCCCTGCATGTAAGAATGCCTACTGAATGTAGAAGGTAACTTACTATAATACCAGTTACAACCCTTATTGGACGGTGGTGGGGGGAAGGGTAGGGGCACATTATGATAGGCAGAGGTGCAGTGAGAGTGTCATTCCACACAACTTGACTGAAACTATTAGGGATGGTTGGTTAGTAAGTTAGTTCATTCACGTGCCTGAAAAATTAAACTCTTATTGGAAGGTGGAGTGTGAGTAAACCAGCACTCATGAACTTGTTACCAGAAATTTCTTTGAGCTTGCTGCTAGCGAAGTCCATCATTATCGATACGACCCAAATAGAGACGAGAAACGCACGCAGTGCTGAGGTTCACCGCAAGTGATCTTAGCCTAGGTCTCTATACCCGCTCACTAGGACAACCTGGTATGGTCTCTTAGTAGGTGTACACGTGGATTCATTTTGGAGCAATTCAGTCAGCAGGCGTGCCAGGGACTCATCTCAGGTGTAGCTTCTAAAGTCTGCTTGCCCAAAGGATTTCTCTATGGTAAAGTAGCCCGCCATGTGACTGCAACAGAACCAGGTTTCCCCGCCCTTTTCTCACATCATCATGTGGTGAAACTACCGCGGCCAGCGGCAACGAACGGAACAATGGAGTGCGCATGCGCAGAGAGAAACGCAGATTCACAAGCAGCAAAATTCTTTAGTTCACACTCTGTACAACACCACAAGACAACTTCAATAATAGTCTTTATTACCAGTATCATAGGTCCACACATAATTCTAAACACAGCACCACACACAAAAAGCACAAATAAAAAACCAATAAAAAAAGTTTACATTTTACATTTCACGTAACAGGCTGTACAGTATAACTCTGTGACTGGGGGTCCATAAGTGAAAAAAACTTGGTAAGTGCATCATGGACAAGCAATACCAGTGAGTGTGAAGAGATTGATTCATGTACATGTGTCGCAATTGTATATGACTAGAAAAAAACCAGTGATTAGTGATTGTAGAAGAGGGGAAAACATGTGCCATACAAATAAGATACAATAAGTGACAGTTAACTTATTATTGCGAAAATATAGCGAGACAAAAGGACTGACTGCAAAAAAACACGTACTACTATAAAAAATATACAAAGGGTGAAGAGAAAAAAGTTGTAAGTATAATACCTAAGAAAAGAGAGTACCAGTATGCCTGAGGGGCCAGTGCTTGTCGGAGGTTTTGTGCCATAAAATGCTGGCCAAAAAAACGAAGCTAACTCGACCTGTTTTCGTCCATGTCCTGGTTCTGGAAGCTAAGGGAATGAGAAAAGATAGAGAGAGAAAGAAAAAATGAAAAGCACTTGAAAGAGCATAACCCTTGCCACTTTGGGTTAATGAATAACAGGGGGAAATTTCCACAGACATGAAGGGCCACTTTGTCTTGTCACCCCAGGCATACCCAAATATGCACATTACGCCAGACCACCCAGACACAGCAAGGACACACACACACACAGTCATTACATACACCAATGCCCACACTACTAGCTAAAACGGCCACACACACACACATCCAGTGCCACTCAGTCAGATATGTACACAATGGGATCAGATCACTCGCCCAGAGTATTGTACACACACTAACTAGGGTCTGGGACTGGAATACCCTAGGGAGTTGGGGCGTGAGATGACACAGGCTTGCCTTCCTGGGAACAGCTGGCAGGGTATGTGTGGGTGGTGGCATGAAAGCTGAGGGTTGCAGAGGCCAGAAGACAGAGTGGGAAGAGCAGTATGTCCAGTGTAGGAGGCCATGGGAGCAAGGCTTAGTGGCTACTTCTTACCAAACCAGAAACCTTAGCCTTCATGGGATTGTGCAATGGTAAGCACTTCAGTGTCTACTTTGCATTACACGTGAGGGGGCAACTACACACACGCTAATCTATTGCAAAACCACCCCTTGTAAACACTGCAAAAGAGTAGGCGGTCATTCAAACCCTGACCAAAATAGGAATTTTGACTTTTGACTCTGTAACACCAACCAGGATGCATATATGGACCAACGAGTATCAACAATGACAACAAACCTTTCGGCCATGTTCTGCTCATCCCTGCTTTCATCCTCTGTGTTCTCTTGATAACCACTACCTCTCTCCGTCGATAGACAGTCTATGTCCATGTTGTGCTGTTTCGGAGATTGCTGCTGGTTGGCAGTGGGAGACATGGATGCTATTGGCGAAGCTGTAACAGCATTAGACGCCACAAACTCGTTGAAGGTGTTCTCGATTTGGGTTGCTGCGACAGTCTCACTGTGCGTGGAGCTGCAAGGAGAGGAGAGAGCGGTGGTGGAGTAGCCTCCATTGAAGATTCCACCTTCCATCTGTGATGTCTCGGTGCCGTAGGCCGGGCGGGAGGTGGGAGGAGGAAGAATGCCACCAGTAGCAGCACTGACCGCAGGTGCTGGCTGGTGAGGGTCTGGATAGGCGAGATAGCCGGAGTCTGTTGCAAGACTGCTGGCAGAGTTGGGGTACCCCATGGAAGAGGTACTGCCACTGTGGCCATAGTATGATGGGAGGGAGCCATAGGAAGGTGGGTACGACTGACCAGATATACCACTGGTACCGTAGGCTGGTGGGTAGGCCGAGTACGAAGGTGGGCCTGAATGGTAGTTGCTCGGTGCATGGTTTAGTTGGAAATGGGATGAGGACTGCTGCTGCTGGGAGCGGCGTGTGGGATAGTAGGGATTGGACATTTCTGCCGGATTGTACGGAGCCATCATGTTGGTTGTGTTGTGTGTGGGAGTGAGGGAGGAGGGCTGGCCAGCAATGAGGACAGGGTTGATCCGAGAGCTGAGCTGGGGAAGAGTGTTGCCTCTTGTGGCACCCTTATTGAGGCCGGGGGCAACACTGGAAGGAGGGAAGATGGTGGTGGAGTCAGCGGGACCCGGAGCAGGCGGGGAGACAGAGTCACCACTGCAGAAAGACTGCGATCCAATTGCAATGCCGCTATCGGGGGAGTTATTTCCAGCGTTGGACGAGGGGCTGGAAGTAGCAGGGATTAGGGTGGGAGAGGGCTGGGAGGGCTTCACCGAGCTCTGGTCAGCATGTCCGGGGCTCTGCATGTGGTGGACGAGAGCAAGACAGATTAGGTCACAGCTGTTCAACAACAGTGGGGGTGGACAACTGATATGAGGGGGAAGCACTAGCCTCCTCTTTTCTCGGGAAACACTATACTTATACATACAGGGAAAGTGCCACTATGACAGGAACCATGGGAGGTCTTCTCAGATGGCGGTTCGGAGGCCCCCATGAGAACATGACACCAAACACGGATAATTGCACTCCAAAAATAACCCGTCAAAAATCCCTAATGCAAAAACCTACCACGTGCTACTACACAAGGTCGAGAAGGATGGGTGTATGATGCAATAGCTATTGTCGTTCACTACACTACACTGACCAGTGCATAGTTCCGTCTCCTTACATAGCCGTTACCAAACAATACAGGCTGCTACGCAACAGATTCACCCAATAAAGAAAGGATTGATTTTTAACTTCATTATGTTGGGACATTTCAGCACTCCCAAAAAACTAATTAATGCTTAATCCCACGGAAACTAAGTGCCACAGATTGCTTAGAGCAGCAACAGAAAAGCCTAAGATTGCCACCTGGTACAGTTCAGTGCCTGTTACATGACGATACTACAAGATGATTAGAAGAAACAGCTTGATAGGGGAGGCTATGATATGAAGCCCTTGTTCCCCTCCTCAATATTTACACTGGAGGGTAAGTACTAGGTACTAGCTAGAGTACACAAACACACACCCACCTCTGCCAGGACCAGCAGTGGGTGGTCCAAGGTATAACAAGGAAACCACAGCCTGCGGAACAAACATCCGCCCCCTCCCCCATTGGTGCTTCACTAGTTTCAAATGTGAGCAGACAGCCACTATATACCTGTCTCTACACTAATGTTGATGTATATACATGTATAGTAGCACTTGCATCCACATTCTGTGCAGCTTGAGCCAATAATGTCCCACCGGATGAGCTAACTGATTACTCCAGGGCAAAGGCATACTCCAAAAATTCCCTGCATACACGCACAAAGTCCTGTCTACCAGACCTGCACACTGCACACCCTAATAAGGCTGTGGTTTGGCAAGCAAGTTGAAACTCAGCAGGTTTGCTGAGAAGTGGCAGGGGCTTACCGTACACCCTCCCATTACCTACTTCGGAGTCACCCACCCACCAGTATACATTGGGAAAGACCAGGGTGGGGATGCGCCTTAAAAGGAGACCTTATGGACAATAGGGCCTCAGGCGCACAGCGAGGCCGCTGTGCTCACACCCGAGATGCTAAGTGGCAATGCAGGGCACACATCAATGCATCACCGCTTTGTGGATACCTCCTGATAGGTGATTCTCTGGGCACACTCATGTACACTGGTGTGGATGCATGTCATGGGAGGGTTCATGCACCATGGACACCTTATCAGTGCAAGCCAGTGCAGGAAGCTCCAGTTACCAGCCAAACTGGCACCAGTTAGAGGAAATAACTTGAGGAAGGAAGTGGAAATAGAAAGCAAAGACCACCCACCAGACATGCAGTCTGTCTCTGGAGCTCATGGAATGAAAGCCTACAAAAAACCCAAGCTAAGGAAAAAGTAAAGGAAGTTTCCAGACATTTCCTCTTTGGTCTACACAAGTTCGATATTCAATGCTTAAAAATAAAAAGATTGACCACAGCCCTCAAGTCCAAAGACTGAATGCTTTGTGCTCTTAATTCCTTTCGAGGCTATCACACACTAGTGATGCTTGAAAACCAAGAAGTGTGTAACGGAGTAGTGGATGGAGTAAAATTGCACGGCAGTGAAAACTTGTGAGTACCAATGTGCAGAAAACAATACGTGCGGCTGCTACGCTAGATGGACGGATAGAGCGAACAGAAGGGAAAGGTTGGCTCTGGCCAGATGGCACTCTAACAGAAACTTGCTGACCACATTATCCTCCTAACAAAGGCTGTATGCGAGTTCACTGACCACAATGACCTTCTGCATAGTAAGTACAACCCGTGTGAAAAGCATTCGAATAACTGACGCATAAAACTTGGGAGATTCAGCAGCAAGTCTCATGCAACCACCATAAAAGCTCCACACAAACCACATGAATACATAAGCATTGCATAAAAGCTGGGCATGTATTACCATCAAATGCAGCAGGTTGCACACAACACACAAGGACGGGTTTTGCCGCTCACTACCGCAAGCAGTGAGTACTACAGTCCAATACCACCACCCCTCTCTGCGGCCTAATACGTACGTGGGTATAGGATCAGCGACGCCACTAATGCTAGTAACTATACCAACTTTAGGTTCCAGGGCTCTTTCCCAGGGAGTGGACCCCATGTGTTTTTGGTAAAAGATCACATTATGGTACAACACTAAAAGCCATGACCACCAGTAACGTTCCCCTTGCTGTAACTACCACAACCGCCATGAGCTCAATACACCACACATTCCTTTTACAAGTTTCAAAACACCACAGCATAAATAGCACTTCACATTTGTCACCGATCACTCTGAAGTGGGTAACCTTACAGTTACTAGTGGTAGCATAATGACACAATCATGCGATACTCCCACACCGTCCCTCAGTCTGGTTCTGGTCAAGTGAGGCTCCCTATACTGTTGATACTATTTCACCAGAGGCACCACAGGGTTTCCCTCAAGGCAACACTGGGTGGCTGCTGAAGCTGTATACATATGCTACCAGTACGGCTTCTGAATCTCTATTTCCCAGACCAATCTAGCAGATGTACGCTTACATGCACACATAATGGGGCATTCACAGTCCTACACACCAAAGAGCAGTAGAAACTCACATTTGTGTTTCCCTTGCTGTTGGGGCAGAGAGGGCCGTTGTTGTTGCTCGAGTTGCTGTTGACAAAGTTGGGCACGGGCATCTGGAATGGCGAGTAGAAATGGTTGCTGGGGAACCCCATGCGAGTGGAGAAGTTGGGGTAGGGAGAGTAGGGTGGAGTCGGGATGGGGGATTTGCGAGGGTTGTGGGGTCGCTGGTAGCTCATTGCTGAGGCGTGAGAGTAGTCCATCATACGGGGCGGGCTCAGAAACACGTCACTTGGTGAGGGAGAAGCGATGGCGGGTGACTGGAGTGGGGAGAAAGAGGTGGTGCTGGTACGGGTGTTGCCCAGTGTTGCTAGTCCATACACAGCTGCCTGCTCGGCATCACTGAACTCTTCCCAAGCACTGCCAGACTGTTTCCTGTCCTTGACTGCTGTTGCTGCTGCTGTGGGGTCCCTCCCATTGGCTGGCATGGTTTTGCACGCCTCAGTTTCCTTTGGAGGGGTGCCGTCAGATGAGGTGGAAGTCATGTTGCTGTTGGCGCTACCCTGGGATTGGACACGACGTCGTTTGGTAGGTGAGTCCTGGCCACTGCAGTTCTTTGAGCTTCCCTTGTCTGCACCGTTTGAATCTGAATGATCCAGGCCTGTTGACAGACTGGAGGTGCGTTTCCCCCCAATGCGTCGTTGGATGGGGATCTGTGGCGGTGTGGGTGAATTGAGGTGCTTTGAGCAGAGGCCGCACTTCTGCGACTCCTTCCAACAGTCGTCAACACCACACAGCCTCCTCCACTGTTTCCCGTTGAACTTTTTCTTGATACCCTCAGGGGTTATGATGATTTCGCCCTTTTTGGCATTCTTGTAATCCTTTAGCTTTATCCTGGGTCCCCGGGGTAGTGGAGTGTAGTAGTCAAAACCCGTGGCTTGTCCCATGGTGAGATGCACAGGCGAAGACTGAGAGTGGGCCGGGGAGATGTTTGGGATCCCAGGTGAGCCTTGGGAGGAGATGGGGGTAAGAGGAGGGGGTGTGGGGTGGGAATGTTGCACGGGGATGCTGGGCGAGTTGTACTGGCCGAACCCAGCGTAGGGAAGGCTCACTTGGTGAATAGCATCCATAGTTGTACAGGCCGGCAGAGAGCCGAGGGACTGCATTGGGCCATAGGTGGGGGCTGCTGATCGGATGTTTCTGCTGTACAAATCAATGTACACCGACTGCTGCTCCATTGAGCCTACAGGATTGGTGATGGGGAAAGACGGTACACTCTGGTCAAACACAGTGCTTCCAGACATATTTATTGTGGCGAAACTGGTGGCAAAGAGACCTTCAAGCAAGCGAATGTCCTTCAAATGACACAGAACAGACTCGCTATCGTCTTCCTCTTCCTCCTTGACTTCCTTCTTGACTTTCTTGTTGCTGCTGCTCTGCTTGGCCGAATCGGCTGCGAAAGTTATCTGGTACGTTTTTGAATCCTCACGAATGCTCTTCACCTGGCCGAGGTAGAATCGGGTTGATTTGGCGGGCACTCTCACACAGACCTCTGTGCCAATCTGGAGTGATGCTGGGTCGGGTCCTTCGTTTTTGATGATGCAAATACCACCCTGCGAATCGGCCTTGCCTTCTGGTGAATTTTTATTCCGGTGTTCGCTTCCCAACTGGTAGGATATTGTCTGACTTGAGTCGTAAAGTTTCACTCCAATTGAAGACCTGTCTACTATTGTGATCACTGCCGGTCGAAAGACTCCGTTCCACTTTGCCAATACTGAAGAACCTAATTGAAAATGCTGCAGGTGTGTGTGTATGTGGTGGAAAGAGAGAGACAGAAAGAGGGAGTCAAATTACATATGTATACAGCGACTTTAAGTATGTACATTGCGGACACCTGGAGTCCAAGCCACCTGCAATAATGCTGAGCGTTGTATAGATATTTGTCCAGCAAGGCCCTGCCATTAGACAAACTCCCCACAAGTTTGTTACACTAACTCAATAGTTCAACCACCCACTCACCCACCCACTCACCCACCCCTCACCCACCCCTCAACCTCCACCAATGACATTGAATAAACTCAAAACTCATCCTACCATGACATCACCCCAGTAAGCAGGAAATGGGGACACTTTGTGGTTTTAGAGGGGAAGCTGGGGAGAGGATTTAGTTCCACTTACCTATTCATTCCTACTTAGCAGAGTAAGCAGGCCACAAAACTTTCCCAACTTCCAATAAGCTACTACTGACCCTGCAATATCGGAGCTGCAGAGGTAACCACGCTCATATCCGCAGTCTGCATTGTCCAAGTGCAGAATTGGGATCTCTACGTCCCACGAGGATACCTGCCTAAGTTTTTACTGCATGGTGTCAATGTTGGGTAACCCTTTCCTTATTTGTATAGCCAGTTTAGTGAAGTACATACATAGAAGGTATAAGCAAAAAGTAAGGGGTTCAGAAAGTTCTAGCCCACAAAAATGTGATGGCTTTGGTATCGGTGTTCAACAACACCGAACAATAATCAGCTCACCACGCAACACCAAACTGGCCACAAACACACAAGTCTGTCCAGACTCTTGAAGCCAACAGCACTACAACATGCTCCAGCTTTCCAGTAACTCAGCGCACGGTTTTAAAACATGCCATTACATAATTCCCGGGTGTTCTTACAATATAACAATATAACTGTGGTTTGTGAACATGAGAGACTGTTCCAGTTGACCACAGTCTCCATTTCACTTCCTTATTGTCAGTGGTTACCGCCACTCACAGAACATCGAAGGACCTTTCAAGCAAAAATTCCACTGCACAAGGGCAGTCTAGACAAACATTTACAGCCAAAGGCTGACGTGCAATCTACAGACAACACATTAAATTATTTCTCTGCAATATTATCATAATGATGAAGAATGTGAAGACACCACAATGTGAGCAGCCTCACCAACTAGTGGTTGAAAATAAGGGACCAGCAGGTAAGGCAAAAAGAAATGCTTCTTGACAAAAGCAAAAGCTTTACACCTCCAAACCCACACCACCACACAATTAACACCAAATGTAACACCATCTCTTGTGTTAACCTGCAAATTCACCATGCAATGTCCCAGGCATTTTCCTGCACATGCATCTTCCTGTACAGCTGTGTGGGTTGGCCACTCAGCAAGCTGCCTGCACCAGCGGTTGTTTACAGCATCACCCAAGGCTGGTTGCAGACAGGTGCCACCAACAACACAAATGTTGCACTCCACACATCAAAGCTGCAGCTGGGGCCCCAGGGAGGAAGAAGCACCACAGCTGCAGCATAGCACTGCAACCTCTCCCTTCCTACCACTAACTGTCTGCAGCATCTCACTAGAAATACCAAGCTGACCAAGTCACCAGACACTGAGCTACCATCCCAAGCCACAGCCACTGAAAACACCAGCAGGTTCGGCAGCAACAGTCTCTGTCTCAGAGTGTAGTTACACCGGCCTTGACTATATACCCGGAGCCCAGCCAAGTGCAGCTCCCTTATCTCCAAACAACACCAGCACAGATCTCGGCTATCATAACATTCCTCCCACCGGCATCCAGAGGTCTCGCTTGCACACACACATACACGGAACTATTCAGGCCACCAGCAAATCGCATTGCTATCAGCTGAAAACTGGGCAGAGCTGCTTTAAGACAAAGCATGCAGAAAATAAATACCATCTGCACAGCATAGACTATACTTAAGTACTGCACAGCCCTTTGCAGTAAGCTCTGGGGCTGCAGTCTTGCAAATTTTAGTTCCAACTTTCGTTCAGCTCCCGGATAGCTGCTGCATCAGCTACAACAAAAACATACCTTGCTAGCGTCTCCAAGAGAAAAGGTTTGTATGCCGTCACACGCTATTAGCTCAGTAGTACTCCAATAGGTTGTGGAATCCTGGAGTAGCTGCAACCAGCTCTAGTATATACCTACCAAATGCTAGTATATACTCCGCTCTGAGTTGCACAGCAGGTAAGACTAAGCAGTGCTGAGCCTACTCTCCATTATAAACCCCGTTAAATATATTCATCTGCCCACATCCTGCACTTGCAGGGTTTTGCGTATTCCAGGAGGTATGGCACTTAAAATACCAGCGCTCACACTCTGCTAACACATCTGTTTACACTAGACTTAGTAGTCCACTTATTCATCCCCCTGCCTACCTGCACTTGGCCGGCTTCTTGGAGTTACCCCATGACACAAGGGGAAAAATTTGGCTATCAGAACATTTTCAAATTTGGAAGAGCATTCCTTCAAAGGCTGGTCAGGTGCTGATGGAAGGATAAAAAGACAAACCACAAGCAGCTAGGCTAGAGCTGGGTGGCTTGATATGAGAGGACTGGCTAAGTTCCAGGTGGCATCCAGTCCAGTGTTCACTTTCAAACCTTATCCTTCGCTGGGCACCACATCTGATGCCCAGTCACCTGACTGTCCAAGGCTGCATACCGGATTGTGCATTGTCAGAAACCTGAATCAACAATCTCCAAAACCAATACTATGAAGTGGACAGCTTCATTCATGCTTCTTCCAAGAACCCATGTGCGGAGTGCTAACAGTAATCACTTACGATTGTTATACCTTAAAGCCCACACATCCTTGTTGCCCATGACAACTTTGAGAAGCCACCTACCTTAGTGTTCAGTGTAAATTCATTCTGCTAGCTAGCACTCTGGGGCAATTTGTATCCAGAACAATTGTTAATTTGTTAGAACTCAAGAAAAGTGTTTGGCATCACAAGAGGCTAGTCTCCAAGGAAATCAGCACATAATGCACCACGTGCAGAGTACACACTCAAGCCTTCCATTTTTGCTTTCAATCTCAGCAGACAAACACAGCTTGTTAGCTACTGAAAGCAGGGACTTTATTAATATTACCGGTGGCATAAAAAATTTAATCTTTGTTCTTGGAAAGACTGAACAAAATCATTAAATAATTCTTAGCATCCTAAATGAAAGAGCCAGTAACCCACTAACCCACACCAAGACAAAAACCTTTTGACTGGGGATTATTGAAAGTGAAAACATTAGCATCAATTAGAGCATGGGGGTATACTTAATACTGATTTATTTACATAGTATGTGCAAGATACAGGGTCAAAGGTAAGTGATAAAGCTTCCGAATCACCAGTTCTGCAGGAAGACAGTTTCTCTGACTGGCCATCTGCTAAGATGTATGTATACAAACAACCATGTCGCTAATCGGATATGCTTGTCTGCGGAGTATTACATGTCATTGAAATTATATGGCCAAGTGTACGAACAAAGCAATATTCACACGTGCATGAATAAACTTACCACCACGTTGTCGTTGGTGGCACGCAGCAAAAGGCACCATGTTTACTAAGTTCCGCTTATCATGGTGGAACAACACAGTCATGTGCAGTAAAACAAACTTGCTGGGAACTCAGCCTTGTTTTCCTTGCTTTTTATGGCATCCCTATATTCCACACTTCTTTGTTTTTTACTGCATTCACACGCATGGTGTGCCAGGCCGCAGGAGGAGGACAGGAAAGATGCTTGACATCGCACGAGGATATGAGGCGATCTAGGTATAGTCAGAGTGCAGCTGACTTTGACCCATTGACGTAAGGTTTAAAGAATGCACAAGATAACCTCCATAGGTTGTAGGGTTTTAATGGTATACTTTCCATGTATTGCACATTTGGTACACCATTACTTAGGTTAAGGATAAGATGGACTTGATCATACACACTTTGTGCCTCATAAGGATAACCGTATTAAAGCAGACAGTACTCAGACCACTTCAGTCTTAGGACTGCCTTTTAAAAAGTGCATGAGTCTGGTATTATTATCCAGGACAAAATTGTAGTACTACATTCCTCCTCATAACTAACATCATAACTCAGATACCTTTACGAAATTGCTAACCTGCTAACAATGTTAGTATAGACTGCATTATAAAATAAGCCACAAAGGTAAGCAGACAGCAAGGCTAAGAGGATTACCTTGTTCGTTAATGAAAAGCACCGAAGTTATAAAGTTTCATACAGGAAAACCATGCAGCATCCAAGACCTTCTGTCTGTGGAGGACTTTAGCAGGGCAGTGTTTACTCACGAGACTGGTAATCAGGTTCTGACTGCCCACACAACTGCCGGGAGTGTTAACTGACAACAGATTGAATTCACACCGGGCTAGACTTGGTGTGGGCTGGATAAAGTTAGCAGTGCTTCAGAGTCAGTGCAAACAGGAAGTCAAACTTAATCGGACTGTACTTGCTGGTAGGAGTGTGGATAAGTAAGTATATGGGCAGGGCATGAACAACGTGTGTAGTGCGTAAATGCTGGCTACACTTCTTCATGTGAAATATCTTCCAGTGAATCACACATAAACACCAAATTCGATGACAGTGGATCAATAAAGATTGGCAAAAGAAGGGTGGATATTAAGAGGGTTTCCGGCTTCCGTTTGGTCAGGGATGTGGTTCACAAATCATCGACCTTCTCACTGTATGTCTACTCTACACCAGAGGTAATTTCTGGCTTTGATGTAAGAAAGTGATAATGCACAGACGATGCTCCTTTCCAGGGCAGTGCAACTAGAAGCAGAGTAAGAAATGGAGTAGTGTGCCCATGGGGAAGGTTAACCGCAGTTGAAATAGTGGCTAAGTAAACTCCCGGAGCAGGGCTGACAATGCAGCAGTGAGTGAAGCACTGAAAGAGAGAGCCAACAAGTGACCGCTTATCTTCGCCGTACTACAACCTCACTCTATCTGACAGCAGAGAAAACTACGCTAGACATTATAATATACCCTTTTACCATGTATAGAGAGAGGGATCGAAATGTGCAGAGTCTGTAGTAACAGATAAGGTACCCGGAAACCCAGAATGGTCAGGTGCAACATGAAAAGTTGTGATTATAGGTGAAAGGGTCTGAACACCTGTACAACTAAGGGATAACCCTGTCTTCGTAACAACCAATACAAGAAGGAAGTGGGAAGATGTGGATTTTGTAACAAACACAAACAAACATGATAGGCCTCCTGGAGGTGGAAAAATACACCGCGGTGAGAAGGAAAGACATCCCTCAGATCACATAATGTGTGGGCGCCCGGACTCGACATTCCACAGCTATTACGCGGCTAGTGGAGCACATCTCAGTGGGCCTTATCAGCCTCAGGATCTCTCCAGGATTGAGGGGGGACGTCTCCCACGTTCCCGGGACTGTGGGGGATGCCACACCACAAGCAACACAAGACGACCCACTGTCCCTTCCCCCTCACACCCTCAGACGCTCCATTGCCTGAAACAGCCACCTTCTCAAACTTCACACTATCCTCTGAATACACACTAGCAAAACAATACTCCCCCTGTCCACCTGAAAACTGTGTCAGCCATCTGATAAAACCCCTCTCCCCCTCCTGTTAGCTTTAAGGGTCCATCAAAGCACAGCACTCCTACACCTCGTCCAGCTACTCAGTCCAATTATATTCACAGCACCATGACTAAAATGATGCAAAATAAAAAGGCTGTTATCCCAACGTGTGGCAGAGATCACATGCAGCCAAACAGGCCACTTAACAACAGCCACTTTATTCTTGTTATCAACCGGCTATACTTGGCAATGCATGATGATCACATGCCTTGCAAAAACTTTATTACAACTCTCTTAAAAAAGCTACACTCACTTTTTTATCTGCTATCCAAACTTGGTAGCAGACAGGCACGAGCTAGCACAAACACCCATAAGTGGAAGCTATGACAAGTCCCTTCTGCAGCTGACCTCCAAAAGCACTAGCAAGAATTATCTTGCTTTTGCCATCTGCATTCCTGAGCTGTTGCCATGGAGACCATTGCGGGATAGGTAAAGAGAAGACTGACATTATTCGAGAGAACAGATGGCCAGGGCTCACCTTTCATTAAGAAATATGCTAGGCATTTAAAAATTGGGAAATGCCATACTTGTGGATTCTGCTTCTTCACTCTGTCATCCTTGCACGTGATGCTTCCCAGCGTTTCATGATACGGCCTGAAAATCAGTGAAAATCCCATACAACAACTAAAAATAGTGCAGTTGAAGATGTAATGTAAATGTTAGCTATCAGTAAGGCTAAAAATGTGAAGAAAGCTGATGGGTGAGAGCTAGAGGTCCACTCGGCCCAGTGAGTAATGTCAGTTCATTGTCTTGCTACACAGGTTTTCCACCCATAGAAACATGCTCTTGGTATATTATACTAATGTTACTCTAAAATGAGCTTTCGAAGTTTTTATCCAACCAGCCAGTTGCACTTCTTGTGTTGCAACTTGCAGTAATCTCAGGCCTGACTAAATGCTGCAGTGGAGGTACCCAAGAAAACACCCTTAGCTGCCCACTTCCCCTCTCTTCCCTTCCAGTATACTTAGTGCACACGTGTACGCGGATCACAGGAAATGGAGACATGCAGCATTGTGGGAGTGGGGAGAACTCTTCATGTGGGTGTGTGTGAATATGTGTGTATTGTCAGCAATGTTAGAATGTGTACAGCATGTCGTCATGCATGCATCGGTCATAATGGTTATGTAATCGTTCTGAATGTTCATTTTCTGATGAGGGCCAACAAGCCCAGAAACAGCTGTCCAGACAGCTGCATCTTTTTCTCCTGCATTCACATATTATTTTGTACATGTGGTCATGTGTGCATTGGTCATTATGGTTATGTAATCGTTCTGGAATGTTCCATCTGTACACGTGGTCACCCCTTTATATAAGTTTTGTACTCAGTAGTGTGGGGAGAGAGACTGTCTTGAGACGGACTGAAGTGTGTGTGCCGTCTGTGGGTCGTGTGCCGAGTACCTACGTGTGTGTCGGAGCGGCTCTATCACAAACATTAGTCTATAGTTTTCCTCTTTCAATCTGACTCTGCTGCATAGATGTTCTATGGCAATACTCCTGAACCACCAACCACAGCAACTAACCTCTCCACCCTTGAATGGATTGAAGAGTGGAATTTTTGTAATATCGAATACCCGTGACACCACTGCAGCCCCTCTCCTCCAACCTATCCCTTCCTCTGTATGTGTGCTGAATGCTGAGCTTTCTTGCATTATACTGAACAACAGGTAGTCTCCTGTGGCATATAATTTGAGGTTCCCAGAAACAGTAGGAAACTGTTCATCACAAACAATCCTGTGGTAGGGTTACCTCAACAAGGCACTAAGAGCAAGTGCATGAGTGGTCATGAACTCAAACAGTGAAAGCCATGCAAGCGTCAGGTGGGAAGGAAGACTCCCGGTGGGAATTGGGGATGTTGCAAATTAGTGGTCAGGGGAGGGCATTTCAAACCCTTCTACGTACCATGAGCAGGAACACCTT